ACTTCTTCAGTGATTAGAATAAGTTGATGTGAATTGCAAGTGTTCATAAGATAAAAATAGCCCTTTGAGTAAAAAATATTCTCCAAATTCAGACATGCCTGTATCAAGGTCTGGCCACACTGTACACAGAGTCGAATTAGTCGAATCTGGTTAAAAGGTCGAAGGTTCGTCGAACCAATCGAACCCTGAAAGTTCGACCTAAAAATCCGGTTCGGCAAAAGTTCGCGACATCCCTAGTACAGAGAGAGGCGCGGGCAGAGCCAGGGCGTGCACCAGACGCAGAAAGAGGGCTTGACATGTAATTTTGGCTAACCAGAAGCCGAAAAGAATCCCCTAGCGGTGGTTGCGAGAAACAGTTTTGATCGTTTTAATAAGCGCGTAAGAATTAAATGTAGTAACCCTTTATGGTTGAAAATAGGGTGGACGGGATGTTTCGATTATGATAATGTAAAAAGATGTAAGAAACGAATGTGGCCGCTCAAATCTGCTTTGCTCGAACAGAGTGTGACCTCTCGAACGGCAGATTCCCGGCCCTTGGCGCTTGGCGTACGGATTATGTCGATCGTTTCGCTAGTCGCGCTCTTCCACCGTGATTTTGCATGACCGCGATTGAAACATCACGTGCATCATATTTTCAGTCAGCGAGAATTACTCCGACGCACTTATTAAGTTTGTTTATCGCGACCCCCGCCAGGGTATTATTTCCGGATTCTGGTTGGCCCCATTTGAATTTGCAAAAATGTTCCAAAAGCCGGGTGAATTCATGATTGAAAAGGTTTACTCCGACTTAACATAACAAATTAATAACAAAAGGTATATAGGTATATTGTGAACGAAGAGGAAAGAAGGTGATTATTGAATTTATTGCATTAAAGTTAGGGAAGGGAGCTGGCGAAAAATTGGGCCAGGAGCTCCTGGCCCAATTTTTCGCCAGCTCCCTTTCCCTTTCCCTAACTTTAATGCAATAAATTCAATAATCACCTTCTTTCCTCTTCGTTCACAATATTACCACGGCTGCACTTGTCAATCTTCACTCATTCCCATTATATATATATGTTATCTTTTTTTTTTGCTGGCGTTAGGTTGAAGATTGAAGATACTGCAGCTTTTCATAACGAAAGACCATAAAATGCAGGAACTATGCCCACAGCCGTGTTCCTTACAGCATTTCAGTACAGAAACTTCGAAAACTTGCTTCACACATCAATTCATTACCATTATAATTACCAAATCCATACCATTATTATATTGTTTGTGCTGACTTTTTTTTTTACATATACTGTAACACATATACTGTAACACATATACTGTGTTTTTACATATACTATATACCTATATACGGAACGTCTGCACCTTTTGTTATTAATTTGTTATGTTAAGTCGGAGTAAACCTTTTCAACCATTTGAATTTGTGAAGACGCCCTGGAACACGCCCAGCACGCTTTCGGCGAATGGCGCCTTTTGATTTGTCTCGTATACTTCCCAATGAACGGCCCAAACTCTCTACATACATACGGCTCTGTTCCATGGGTGCCGCCATGTTTGTCTATGCTGACGCTATTCATGACACAGTCATGAATGGCGTCAGCATAACAAACTGCGCTTTTTCCATGACTCAGTTTTCTTTAGAAACCTTCACACATATAGTAGTGGAAGAACGTCAGAAATGTATAGTCACGAAGCTTCAAGAACAACACCGATGCCCAGAATGCTATAAAAAGCAAAACAAGAAACAAAACAAAAAACTTGTTTTATGCGCAGCTTCGCTCTTCATCTTGGAGCCTGCGTTTCAGATTATCATATCTCATTTTTTATCGCAGGTGGTTAGGATATCGAGCACTGGTCTATGCTTTTATCGGCTGACAAATATCATCATGGATGCTATCAGGAAATTTCACACTCTAAATGAAGTTCTTCTCTTATTATTAAATGAATTATTTTTGACATGCCGGAACGATCTAATGTGCAGCTTTCTGAACTTGCAAACGCGTTTATCTCAGTTTCACTTTTTTGGCATCGTATCTTGGTTAGAGAAAACTATGTCTAATTATTTATTTATTTCACGTAACCTTCTCAGGAAAGGTACTACAAAAAAAAAAAAAAAAAAAACTCCTGTTATTAAAAAAAAAAGTCAGCACAAACATTATAATAATGGTAAGGATTTGGTAATTATAATGGTAATGAATTGATGTGGGGAGCAAGTTTTCGAAGTTTCTGTACTGAAATGCTGTAAGGAACACGGCTATGGGCATAGTTCCTGCATTTTATGGTCTTTCGTTATGAAAAGCTGCAGTATCTTCAATCTTCAACCTAACGCCAGCAAAAAAAAAAAAAAAAAAAAGATAACATATATATATAATGGGAATGAGTGAAGATTGACAAGTGCAGCCGTGGTAATATTGTGAACGAAGAGGAAAGAAGGTGATTATTGAATTTATTGCATTAAAGTTAGGGAAAGGGAAAGGGAGCTGGCGAAAAATTGGGCCAGGAGCTCCTGGCCCAATTTTTCGCCAGCTCCCTTCCCTAACTTTAATGCAATAAATTCAATAATCACCTTCTTTCCTCTTCGTTCACAATATACCTATATACATATATATATTAATGATCTTGTGCTGTATTTTTTTATCCGCGTGAAACAGGTGTCATACTTATACTGTATGTTTCACCAAAAGAACTGGTCATTAGCCTTACCTTTTCTAAATGATAGTTTTTCTCAGGAAGCGCAATGTTTGTTTTATGTACTTTTGCGTAACTCTTTTAAGGATAAACTCACAAAGTTAAAACTTTGTCATTCTCTTTCCCAGCTACGAATATGCCCCGCAAACGTCATACAAATACGACTAAGGGACAGGCACGTAGCCAGGGGGGCGGGGGGGGGGGGGGGGGGGGGGGGCTCATGGAATTTGCCCCCTCCCCCCCCCCCCCCCCCCGAAATCTTCCATTTTGCTGGGACCTCCTCTCCCCTTCCCCCCGAAACAAAATCCTGGCTACGTGCCTGCTAAGGGGTAACATTTTCACCTTCCCCGAGTAGTGTCATAGCGCACACGAAGACACCCTTTAGAGCGAAAGAAATACAATCTCCGATGTGATCGAATCATCAAACGAAGTGAACCTTGTATACTGAACGCTCCGATCGACCCATGCGAGGTTCGGTTAGTTACACTGGCTTCCGCACCCCTCCTCATGTACGTGCGCACGACACTCGGACATTTGTGCGGGAGATCACTGGGAACAACGACGGGGTTCGTTTGTTCAATCGAACCGCTTCGGACGTCAGGCATCGAATACCGGTTGCATTTCGCCTTTAGCGTTGCGCTGTGGCGCCATCTCACGGGCGCGACGAGAAACAATGTGGTTGGCCTCGAAGTGCAGACTGCGCACGCGCAGTCGGATCTTGCAAAAGGCGATCGCCTTTTGTGTTGCGCTGTGGCGCCATCTCACGGGCGCGACGAGAAACAGTGTGGTTGGCCTCGAAGTGTAGACTGCGCAAGCGCAGTCGGATCTTGCAAAAGGCGAATTGCAGTCGCACCCGTGCACCCGTCCCCGCTGCTCAGACGCCAAGAACGGTCGGGGTTTCCGCAACTTTTAAATATCGGCATGCTCGTTTTCCCAATGCACACATCGACGTGTCTCCGTCACCTGTAATAAGCCCCTGCCCTGACCACTTGGCATTTGTAGACAAATGAAATATTTTTAGTGCACTGCCCAGCGTCAGCGATACCAGTATACGGTCCATGCGCAAAGGCGCCTTTCTAAAACTCCCAAATAGGAAACGGAGAACACAGAAAAAAAACTCGAAATAAGAATCTATCCGTCCACCCTTCCTCGTTTAAACCCGCAACCAAACATCGCCCCAAACCGGTTCTTTTTCCTTTCTTTTTTTAAAGACCTCAAAAAAAAAAAAAAAAAAAAAAAAACGTGCCACGATGTTTGGTCGCTATTTTAATAGGAAGAAAGGCCACGCGTACGATCGTGATTTTAATAAGCCAAGTGTAGGTTCATTTTTCGATGACGACTGCGTATTTTCCGACACAATAAAAACGCATAAAGTCGACTGAAAACAAACAAAAAAAAACACCAACAAGTAGTTAATAAATTGTGCGTCGATTGTTAGACTTAAAATCAAATCCGTCTTTCTGTTTGTAATGATGAAAAGCAACCATTTTGGAGTTACGATGACTGTGGTATAGAAGGCTACAAGCTCTATAACGATCGACGAGCTGGGTTCGAGTACTTAGGGTCACCTTTCCCTAATGATTTCCGTTGGAACACAGATGTCGGTAGCGCATCATGGAAAGTCAACACGACATTCTGATGCATGTTCAGTTTCTCAAAAGAGACAAAAAATAACGCAGCATTTTCCCAAAGGGGCACTTAAGCCACTTTCTGCGATAGTCTATTTATGGCCAGAACTCAACCTATAGCCTCTAAATATCCGAGAAAAAAAAAACACTACATCCATGCAGTATTTTTTTTTTTAGGATGTTTAGAGCGTATGAATCGGGTTATGACCACAAATAGACTATCGCAAAATGTGGTCCAGTGCCCTAGGTTAGACCAAAGTCCCTCGATGCTTGTTTTAACAAGTAACGACAACCAATACTAATGACAAAGTCCCTTTCGCTGAAACAAAATGGCATCATTCAGTTCAGTCCTTTGCTTTGCGCTACAATTCGCTTCCTAAAACACTGCATCATCACGCAGTCGGCGCTTTAAAGAATGTCGCTACTTGCAGGAAGCTCTCATCTGGGAACTTTAGGTAAGACACGTTATTGGATGATCCAAAATAGCACGGGACTCACAGTTAGGTCTATTTCCATTAGAGTCCCCCAGAGCTCCAGAAACGCAGAGCGCGGTGAACCCCGAGCTTCTTCTTCTCACAGCCAATGAGATTGAAATCGCGAAGCCACGAGCGAGAACATGTATAAGCCACACCCTCCGCTCCTTCAACTGTGTGCGTGACTCTAGTTGAGAGAGAGAGAGAAAGAGAGAGAGAGCAAATGGCGGCGCGTTCTAATCGAGAAACCGCGACATCGTCGAATAGCCGTTGATAGCGCACCAGCGGGCTTACCTTTTTTTTTCCCCCTGTCGCAGGTAGTGTCCCTAGCGGCATGCCTAGCCTCCAGAGCAACGGACGCCCGCAACAACAGGTCTCCGCCCAAGAAGCACAGACGCATCCTGTGAGTATATATACAGAAAAAAAAAAAAAAAAAAAACTCGCTTGTTACAAGCCGCGGTTTTTGAAAGAGCCCGCTCTAGTTGGAGGAGTTACTGCTAATAACTCCAACAGGAGCGCGTTGTATATTAGAGCTCCGACTGGTGGTAAAACGAAGTTACGGACCATGAAAACAACCGCCTTCCGCGCGGTGCACCACCTGGTGTCTACTGGGCTCAGTGAAAGGCGTTTTGAGCGAGCGCATTTTGGCTCTCTTCCGCAAAATATCAAACGCCTGGTAGGCGCCCACAGCCAAGTGACTCGGCAGTTTTTGCCTGACACGTTTAGCGCTGGAAGGGTGTATCATATCGGATACATTAAAATGGACCCGTAACTAAAGCAGACATTGTACGGTACTGAATACGAGTGATCAAATTACTTGTAACCTATTACTTTCTGGAGTGATTTTGTAATCATTCGAATAGGTGCAGTCACCAGGCCCGATCTAAAATGGACCATAGAAATCGACGCCTGCACGGAGCAATCTAAACTTCCTGTCAAAAGTGTATTTCACAAGTTCGTTTTTTTTTTTTTTTCTTAAATTACGAAGCGTGGCTCCCATTATGTAAACAATAAGGCCAAAAGTCTTGACACGGCCAACGGCGCGCGACGACGCAGACGACTGAGTCGAGCGGCGGGTCGCGTTTGGCGCACGTATTCATAGACGGCGCTACCTCCTTAACAGCTCGCGACGACCGTAACTTACTAAAATAAGGATGATCTTTTTGTAGTGTACCTTTGTTTTTTAAACATAAATCGGGAGAATAAAAGCAAAATAAGTAAGTCAAAAAAGAAATGCGGGCAATAAAAGCAAGACTTGAAGAAAAAAAAAAAAAAGCGGTTACCCGGTGGCATAAAGCGCGATCCAAACCAACGCTTCTTTTTGCGCCTGTAGGTCGTGCGGCTGCGGATGTGACGCATTTCCGTGACGTCGCGCCGCTTCTTCGCTCCTTCCGGGCGCGCACGAAGAAGTTGGATGATTTCAACTTCTCTCTGGACGCGCACAAAAACGCGCGGTGACGTAGCAGGGCGCGCCTGTGTCCCGGCCAATCGGTGGAGGGCAAGCTAGTTCCGGCTCCGCGTTTCTCGCCGTCTGGCTACCCTCTCCCCCCCCCCCCCCCCTTTCATTCTCTTCCAACATGACAACGCGATCTCTCTCTCTCTCTTTCTCTCTCGCCGTCTGGCCGGCCAGTCTGTCGCAGTTGCACTTTGCTTGTGCGCTCGTGCCGAAGTTTCGCCCGTCCAAACCAAAGCGCACGGTTCTGACTCAGAAAGCGCGCCCGGAAACAGCAAAAACGCCACGAAATGCGTCACATCCGCAGCCGCACGACCTACAGGCGCAAAAAGAAGCGTTGGTTTGGATCGCGCTTAACGACGGCGTTCTTGCTGCCGACGGATTTCGTCTGCTTTCTTTCGCTGGTCGGCTACAGCTTCCGACGTAGAGTACCTCAATGTTGTTGGCCGCACGCGCAGCGGCCAACAACATTGAGGTACTCTATTCCGACGCAGGTCCCGACGCCACCTATCGATATGCGCGCCAAACGCGCCCCGCCGTCCGACTTGGTCGTCTGTTTCGCCGTCCGCGCCGTTGACCCTGGCAAGTGTTTTGGCCCAATTTTTTTCTTTTTTTTTTTTCTTTTTTTACAGAAAGGGAGTTACGTTTCGTAATTTTCCTGGAAAAAAACGACCTCTGCAAATACACTTCTGACGAAAAGTTTAGATCGCTTCGTGCAGGCGTCGATTTTCAAGGTCTATTTTAGATCGAGCCTGGTGACTTTAGACACCCTGTATTAGGAAGTAATTCCGAGGGTAATTCGATTACTTTTTGAAGTACTTGTAACCGTTGTTATTTGTTGCTTCCCCTTTCTAGTGACGTCCTTTGTTCGTACAAGTTTCCTACCAAGGAATTCTCGAACCAGGTATCTGACAGGATGGTTTACGAAAATTGGCGGAGTTAAAAGATAATTAGTTCATAATACGGTGGTTCTAACCCAATAACGGAGAGTACAAAAGACACGCTTTCAGACCGGTCGATAACCCTGTCGTTTTGAACGTCTGAAGTAATCGAAAAAGCCACGGTTATTTTTTCAAGTAAGGGCCAGTTACTTTTCTTTTCAAGTAATTTGATTGAATACTTTTTAACCAAGCTTCATTCTAGTCGATTATTTTTTCGAGTGACACGTATGAATATAACCAGGTCTCAAGCGAGCATAAAACCCCACTGCCAATACATCATACAAAAGACAGTCTGCAGCCAATAGCTGCATTCGATGTACCTGCACCGGTGCAGAAAGGTGTAGGGCAGTCTACTTCCGGTATGCGTATTGAGACAGGACCGGAAGTACACCGCCCTACACTTCTCTGCACCGCTGCAGAAGGTACAGGTTAGTCGAACGCAGCCACTGTCTGAAGCGTGTTGTTCCTTGGACGACGGTTCTGTCACATTGACCATAAGAAAACATTCTGCAGGCATGATCGAAACATACATACGAATTAAAAAAAAAAAAAAAAAAAACATAATTTGAAAGTGCTAGAGCGTGGCCTCATATATACTGACAAAGCCTACCTGGCAGATCGCCATGAGAGGCGGCCGCCGAAATAGAAAAGGTGGAGCGGCAGACAACGGATGAGAGAAGAGCCATGTGACAGGCGCCCCGCTGCGGCGATACGCCGAAACACACTTCTCCCGAGCGAACAAGTGTGTTTCGGGTCCTCGCCGCTGCAAAAGCCGCGCGCTGACGTCCAGGTTCCCCGAGAAATGGCTCTTTGATGCTCTATGCTACCATATCCTCGCTCTCCAAATCCGCGACCGGGCACTCTATGGCTCCGTCGTCGAACTGCCCGGCTTTGTGAGTAGAGAGGAGGCTATGCCACGACGCGTGGCGTTAGTGGTGGCGTAATGAAGCTGGCTGTGAGATCGGTTTGTTCTGTCATCGTGTCTGTAGCGAACGCCGTGTCGTTTGTACGGTGTTTAAGCGGTATGACAGCGGCTTTTACGCTCTTTGAATGGAATCGCTACACCCAGGGACCTGCCGATGGCGTGGGCACGGGCCCGGAGACGCGACCCTTCCCTGTCTCCGGTCATCTTCGACACGATGCCCTACTCCAGGCCAAGCGAGTGCTGTCCCTCGGTCACCGAAGCCATCCAACCGCTAGGCGGCGTCTCCATCACCGGCCGAATCCTGGAGCTGTACCGGGAAGACAACGCCACGCAACGCTTCTACCAGACCTCTTGCAGGGACCACGTCAGGGGAAGGCCCTGCCGGTTCATGCGCTCAAAGTACGAGCCCCACTCCCGCTGCGTCCAGACCTACAGCTACATGTACGCCCTGGTCCGAGAGTTCCAGTCGGACGCGCCATGGAGACTGGATTACATCCGATACCGGAACGGCTGCACCTGCCAGATACAACGGCCCAGGACCTACGCTCCTGGTTCCATGGGTAGGCCTTGATGGCCGAGGACAAGGCCGCTTCGTGGGGGTAGTGTCGGGTGGTGATCTGTGAATGGCTTCGTCGTGGTCGATGATGTAGAAGCTGACGGGAGGTCTACGGTAGTGCACGTCGAGTCGTGGTGACCTGAAGGACATATTTCAACGCGAAGACTGACTGCTACTCGTGGGGGTCAACGGTAACGATGTCGAAGCTGACGGTACTTTCAGTTTCACGGTAGTTTACGTCGAGCCGACGTGACCCGAAGAACGCAGTTCAACCAACATGAGGACTGACTGCTACTAGAGAGGATCATGGGAAACGGGGCCTCCGAAATCAGGAGACCTAGCAGACTTCAATGGCAGGAAGAAAGGACCAGGTCCCTGGCGCGGTTGAAGACTTCAGGCTGTTCGCGACCAGACTGTGTTATCATGATAGCCTGGTGACGTTGTCACGAATACATTCAAAAAAGTCTATCATTGAGGGTTCGTTACCAAATTTGTTCAGCGTTCGATCTGGTGATTGTAAGCTCTGCGAGGACCGAACTGCGGACTGTGATGACCAGAAGAAACAAAAAAAAAAAGAAAAACTTTCTAAAAACAACGTCGATAAATTGTTTTTCATTATTTTTAAGCTTTTGTTTCAGCGGGTGATCAGGAAGAGCACGGTCGTGTGTGATGTAGATTTGTGTGAATAATGTGAACTTCAGGACCTGGGTGCCCCTGCGTTTTCTGAACCTCACTTCCTCAACGGTGTTACCTCCAATTAAGAGCCAAAATGAACAGCCCCAAAGTGTGTGTATAGATGTGCGTAGAAACTCTCCACGCTTGCTGTTCGAAACTACTTTCTGCAGCAGCGCGGCGCATGTCGCGAGTGCGCCACAATGACCTGTGATGTAGGGAACGTCGTGACAGCGTCCTGTAAAAACCGAGCGAGTCCACAAAGTGTTCAAGTTCATGAAGCATACTATACCGATCAGTGTTTCAAATAAAATTGACACATTTCTTTAAAGCGTGTGTGCGCTGTGAAGCCCTGAGCCTGGACAAGGAAGCGGCCAGAAACTTCTCTTAGGTTTGTGTTTAGGTCATGTTGTTTGATTGCGGTCCGGTGCCTCCCGTTAGAACGTATCTACGGTAATGAATATCTGGAGGGCGAGCCGTTCGTAGTACCAGCTTCCGCCGCTAGCAGCGCTTAGCGGCACTTTTCCGACTAGGTCTGCCAACTGGCATCGCGTGTACTTAGGTTCTAGCGGCATGTTGCGAATTATATTCTCAGACGCATCAAAATCATTCTTTTTTTTTTTTGCAATGTCTGACTTGAAGGACCTTTTACGTCCACATAAACATTTTTCTTTCTTGATCTTTTTTTTTTTTTTTTTCTCACGGGGCGAGGTTTGGTGAATAGGAGGGATGGAGAAGCAGTGTTGTTCAAAAATTGTTGCACTGACATGGCAGTTGGGTCATTGTCGTGATGGAACTACCACTCCCTCCTCTCCCACAAACCGGGGCATCTCTGCCTGACTGAATTGCGCAAGCGTCGCGAAACTCCCAGGTAAAACACCTGATTCGTAGTTTCACAAGGAGGTACAAACTCGGTGTAAACAATGCCCGAATTTTCTCGATGTTGTCATCATTTGAGGGGGTTGAAGATCGCACTGAGCGAGGTTGGTCGTCGATCAATAAATCACCGGGCTTGACGCGAAAAAAGTACTCGCAGACCTGCGATTTCTTCGTAGCATCTTTTTTATAAGCTGTCTGTAGCGTTACAAGGGCTTCCGCCGCCGTTTTCTCTAAACAAAGACAGCATTTCACGACCGCACGCTGTTCCTTCAAATCAGACATTGCAAAAAACGAGGAACGATTTTGAAGCGCTTGGGTAAAAAAGTCGCAGCATGCCGCAAGAACTTTGGCAGAAGACGCCGGTTGGCAAACTGGGGAAATGATTTTGAAGCGCTTGGGTAAACAATTCGCAACATGCCGCTAGAACTTTAGCAGACGACGCCGGTCGGCAAACTGACTCGGAAGTGGTGCCGCTAAGCACTGCTAGCGGGAGCTGGTACTTCAAACGGCCCGCCCTCCAGAAATTGACCCCCCCTACCCCATCGTTTAGAAGCTTCCAGGCAGCTGTCATGGACGCCGCCATAACCGACCTTCAGTTTTGTTTCCTCTCATTCCGTTCGCTCCACTTTATCATTGCCACAGCAGGACGTATTGCCACTTTAGGTGCTACTGTGTCCTTCTCTGCATAGGCCTTCGTGGAGGCTCCTCAACGTCCGCCTCAGTGGCTCGGCATATCTCGGTAAAGGCGCGTTCCCACCGGCGATGCGATCTAGTCGCGCGATTACTTTCATCGCAAAAGCGACCATCGCGGGCAAAAAAGCGACGCGATTTGAGCAGTCGCTTCCTGACCCGACTTTTTGCGATGCGATCTAGTCGCGGAGCGGTTGAGCTAATCAACGGCGTTCGGAGCGAGAGTTTTCGAAAAACGAGTCGGCTACGAAGGCGTTGGACTCGCTCATCGCGCACGCCAGTGTGACCATCAAATTTTTTTGCGATGCGATCTAGTCGCATCGCGCGACTGCTTACATCGCCGGTGGGAATGCACCTTAAGACAAGAGAAGGTCGGCAACGGCGGCTCTAATCTGGCACGTGTTTAAAGGGCTACTTCAACGAAATTTTAAATATGCCAATCGTGTTCAGAAATAGGTTGAACATGATCCACAATATCCGTAAATGGCACGTTTGTATTTTGAGCCTGGATGGCTGTATTTTTCGTTATAAACGGCCCACTCTGGCAAGCGCTCGGAGAACATCCAGCGGACAGCACGTGACATCCGGCGCAATCTGTCTCGGGATGAGCAAAGCTGCGGCTAGGCTGACGTCGGCAGGATGCCCTAGCCGTTCCAGCCACCAAAGCGGTCGAAGCACGCCAGCCATCGGGCCACTGCAACTAACCGCAAAGCTGCTGCTTGTGTGAATTTTGAGTGGCGGGTGGTTTTGAGTGGCGGGGCTTCTATAGACCTTTTGTACAAGGGCGCCGCCATCTTGAATTGTCGTCACTTCCAGTATGGGCGAAAACATTGTTTCGCCGTCGCCACGCTAATAGAAGACATTTAGGATATAAGCCTAACCGTCACACATTTTCGTTTTGGCTCCCCTCTATTTTCTTGCTAGTTACAGGTTGAAACGTTTTATTATTTTGTCGTCGCCCATACTGGAAGTATGGGCGATCCAATTCAAGATGGCGGCGCCCCTGTGGACAATGTCTATAATCTTGTAGAGGAAGAATAGCGACGGTCTGGGGCACACTCATACAGTGGCCCGATCGCTGATGTGCTTCGGCTGCTGTCAGCGGATGCTACGAGCCATCGGGGCCTATCCAAGGCCTCGTGAATGTCACGTGACCTTGGAGAGGGTGCACAGCGACTCGCGGAAAGCGTATCACGCGCTGCGTCCGCAGACTGGGATTGGCTGGGATAGCTCGCAGGCGTCCGCTGCGTCCGGACGTAAGGTCCCGAGACAAACTACGTCACGATTGCGGCGGATGTGACGTGCTCTCCACTGGCTGTTCTCCGAGTGACAGAGTGGGCCATTTATAACGAAAAATACAGCCATCCGGCTCAAAATACAAACGTGCCATTGTCATTCACGGATATTGACTGGGTCATATTCAGCCTCCTTGTGAACACGACGGGTATATTTCGAATTTTTTTCAAGTATCGCTTTAAAGCGTCTATAAACTCACCAACACAGCGCGCTGTGGAGATATAGCATTAGCCACCATAGTGAAAATTGCCAGCTGCTTGCGCTTCCGTTCGTGGCGATGCTAGTGGTCAACCTAAAGAATAGAGAGGATATTTTTTCCCACGGTAAAACCGAGGGGTTACACTGCGTGACACTGTTAGCGCAAACAATTCGGCACTTTTTCGCTTATTACTTTGAAAAGGCACTGGCTGATATCAAAATTTGCACTTTCGTTTACCCCAACAGAGCACATCCAGCGCTATAGTACAAGGTGGGTCAATGGGCTCAATGGCTGTTTGAAGGGACCGCGAAAATCGGTTTGTGAAAGCATTGAGGTACTATCGGGGAAAAATGAAATGCGAACAGAGGAGCGCGTGGCTCGCGGTACAGGCTGCGCCACCTGGAAGTGAGCCTAGGGGCAAGGGTGCGTGGCCTACTCCGATATGTTCACGCCCCTCGCTCAGGGCTCCCCAAGCTTCTGCAGTGCGCCCCTCAGTGCGTTGAAAGCTATCACCGCTATCTTTGCTCGCTCGGCGTGCGCGGCGAGCTTCTTCTCACCGCACGCGCTGAGCCAGCAAATATAGCAGTGATGCTTGCAGCGCACTGAGAGGCGAGCTGCCGAAGCTTGGGGAGCGCTGAGCGAGGGGCGTGAACACATCGGAGTAGGCCACGCACCCTCGCCCCTAGGCTCACTTCCAGGCGGCGCAGCCTGTACCGCGAGGCACGCGCTCCTCTGTTCGCATTTCATTTTTCCCCGATAGTACAATTTTCTCCAGAGGTTACCGAAGAACGTGCATTACAAATATAAAATTTTAACAGAACCAACTGACCTCAGTAAAGAGGTAGAAGTAAAGAAACTTGAAATCCCTACCTGCGGCATCCGTGTGCTAAGGAAAGGCGTCTGATTAGTAAGCCAGGTGAGCCAAGGCACTTTTAGATCGGGGCGTGTACTCTGGAAGGGTGCCTCTGGTTCCGTAATAGAATAAAAAGGTTCATTTCTGAAGTCCACGACCGTTGAGAGGTTCCGTATTGCCGCCACGTCTTCCCCACATTGGCACCGACAGATGGCGGCACGTAAGATATCAGGCGGCCATTACGGGCGCTTCCCTCGATCTCGGTCTCGGCCATAGCAGACGACGTTTCTGAGCCGGAAGCGATGCGTTCTTTTTCTGTGCAAATTGTCAGGATAGGATTATTTTATTCTACTAATAAAACATAAAAAGATAGGGTAAAACGAGAACAACGAAACAGATGTGTTCTCTAGTTGTGTGTGTGTGTGTTTTTTTTTTTCGACAATAATTTCTGGCTACATATGTCGCCTGCTTTGCACTGTCTGGTTGTTGCCATGTCTCTTTTCTTGTCTGAAACTTTCATCCGTGCTGTTTTGGGGTGCGAGTCATTTCTCTCTGGGACGGGGAGTGCCATACGACTAGGAGAGGCCCACCGACGTTTTCGGGAGGAGTTTCGGCAGCGACTTCAGAGCTCCTCGACAATCCTATGCTGGGCGAGGCGTTTCAACGAGAACGGAAACCCTGAAAACATGCCACCGGCAACAGAAACCGTGGCTTCATCACCGGAGCGGACGCTGAAGAACGCGGTGCTCGGTGCCCTACTTGTCGACGTGGAAAGCACTGCCAACATCTTCCGGCTCTTGCGCCAATCAGACACCTCTGGTTAGCACACGGCCGCCGTAAATAAAGATTTCAATTTTTTTTTTTTTTTTATTATTACAGCGAAGCTATATATGGCTAGGGTTCCATGCATTTTGGGTATCCATGTGCCAAAACAGAAGCCAGAAATTGCACGTAAAAGCACTCCATTGTATGGAAATCCATATACGCCTGGTCACTTCGATATTCATTTTGAAAAGGAAACACGTCCAACCCTGTGATAATGGAGATACATCCGAGACAATGGACCTTCTTTTACTCAAGTAGTCTGACGTTACGTCACTGCTTTACATATCTAAAAGCAGCCGCTTTTATATATGTAAATCACTATATGTACAGATTTAACTTTAGCAAAGAATCTCGCCACAGTTGTAATGGAACCCACTAGTGTATATCGTAGTGATCAGAAAGCAATCGTCACCACCGTTTTAAAATGATGTATATGTATATAATGAAAATAAGCATTTGGTGAAGTACTTTTCTGTGTCTCTTGGTGAAACACTTGTGGTGGTGCTCTACAGCTTCCCTGGCCCACCACCATCCAAAGAGTTGAATGGCTCACAATTTCTTTTTCTAACTTTTTACTCAGGTAGATTTGTTGAGTGAAATATGTATGCCCTTACTGTATGTCCCTCAGCCACTTCTGTGCAAAGCCTTAGCACGATACGTTCAGAAACCGATTTATTCCGTCCCTTCAAACAGACATCAATCCCTTTGACTTACCCTGTAATTATAATGATGGTCTTCCAAGACTGTTCGCGCTAACCGTGTCATAGATGTACAAAGGTCAACAACCGTAACACCCCGTCATTTCAGATTTTTTTTTTCTACGGTTATGTTCTTATGTGTTTTTTTGTTGTTTTTCGATTTCTTTTGCTCTGAATGGTTGATTACGGCGGGGATGGTCGGAAGCAAACGTCATTCCATTCGGGGTCCGACCGCAACGGCGGAAGTACCTCTTATCAAAGTGGCGTCGCGGTCTTGGCGTCCGCCAGCGACATCCGACGCATAAACGCAGGGAGAAGCACACCGTCAGCTCGTCTCGTCGTGCCGCAAGACCAAACGGCGTGCTGCTTACCGTTCTCACGATGGCGGAAACCAAACTAGACGAGCGAGCCGGTAGTACTCCGGCACCGATAAGAGTTCTTACTTCACGCAAGAACGCAAGAACGCACATAGTGTTCCAAAGGGCGGGTTAGGTAGCACCCGAAGAGCTATTTATATTCCGTTTCACGCTAAGTTTCAGCGCAGCCGACGATCAGACGGAGGCTATCAAGCGTCCCAAAAGGTGCAACTTCGCGGCGCCCGTGGTTTCTGTCAACGAGCTCGAGTATTACCTTAGAGCGGTAAACCGGAACCCATGGCCTGCAGTGGAAATGGCACTCTTGGGTAAAGGTCTTGTACCCGTTGCGTTCGAAAACCTACCCGCGTCCAGCATTGATGTATCTGTCTTGTCACGTGACTTGATCCACAGAAATAACTCCGATCCATTTGAGTAAGATTGGAATAGAACCCCAGAGGGCCCATCTGCCGACCATGATCATGGTCAATCTGATCTGGCCCGCCTCTGGGCGCAGCCATCTTAAAGGGGCTCTGCAATCATGTTTAAGCGTTTACCTTTTTTGCGGTTTCCACGTCCCTTGGGGTTGGGGCAAGCCAGCGGGCACGGAGAGAGTAACTAAATATCAGTGCGTCATATTTTAACCGGACGACGCGGAAACCTCCTCCACCTGGGCGACCCGCGTTGCCGAAAGCGCGCGAAATGTGACGTCTTTGGTCCTCGGCTTACTACTAGTCAAAGCCGCTAAAAGCTTCTTTTAAGTCGAAATACAAATTATAAGTGGCGCGAGCCGTTTCAATTATTTATAAAAGTAGCCTTTGTTCAGCATTTTAGATCAGAAAAGAAACAAATGGAGTTTATAGAGTATGGAAACAAGAAATTACCAGTCGACATACCCGCCACCAAGCGGTGGAAAAGGCGGCGCATACTAGAAAGGTCTACTGGGATCAGGCACCGACGAGTAACGAGCGTAGAAAGGTCCCGGATGTACGCGGCGGCGCTGCAGTCGAGGAACCGACCGGTTCCGAGCGTTCCGAAGGCCTTCGGCGAGCAGCTTTCGCTTGCGGTTTGGCCCTTTGGCGGTATGGCAGCGCGAAGTGGCTCCCGTTTTCAACTCATCTTTACCGCCCCCCCCCCCCCCCCATCCCCCCCGGTTTGCTGTCGTTTGTGGCCAATGAAGTGTCATGCCGAATTAGTTTACTATGATCGCGCAGCAAATGCAATGCGAGCCGCCCTGGCTGCCCGCTTCCTACAGCTTATCCGGAACATGCTTTAGTGGCGCCCTCTCGAGCCGTCAACACGGAGTGCTACAGCCGTGAGCGCTCGCTGAGCTCACTACCCCTCCTCTAGTTCACGGCCACTCAAGCAACCAAGGACGTCATGAAGGAGGGTATTTTTTGCTCGTTTTTTGTAATTTTAATTTGCTTATAACTTTTAAAATAAATCGAAATTCGAGAAGAGAAAAGTTTCATTAGGTTACTACGTTCTCTGCGCTCAGGTTCGGTGCAAATTAAAACCAGTAATAAAGTCCTTGCAGGGCCCCTTTATCGTCGCGTGATCACTAATGCAGCAAACAGGCAAGATGGTGGCAACCGGGGGGGAGTGCCCATTTTTGGCCGCTGGTCTACCGCTCTAAGTTTACTCAAGCTCGTTAGTTCTTGTGCGTATGCTGGATAGATGGATGGATGATATTGGCTATGCCCTTTGTAACGGTTGGTAGCTAATTGCGCCACATAGCGTGAGAAAATGCGTTCCTCCCCCACTTAAATACACAATTTCTTTCCGTCTACATCCCCAGGGGCGGATGCAGGAATTTCCTGAGGAGGGGGGGGGGGGGGGGGGGGGGGGGTCAGCGTACAATCTGTTTCGGAACCCCCTTCCCCTCTCCCTCGTTTTACGCCCTAAATTTTACACGTGCAGACATCAAGAGGGGGTCAGAACATCCGGACCCCCCCCCCCCCCCCCCCTCTCTCTAAATCCGCCCCTGTACATCCCTGCAACTATCACAGGGCCAGGGGAACGAACCACCAGGCTGACCTTTTGGGAGATAGAGAAAATACAAAAGAAAAAAAGAAAAAAAAGGAAGACGCAGCCCCGCTGTCAACGGCTAAACCAGGGCCTCGAAACTCGTCCAACACAAAGTTGGGGCCGAAGTTGACGGAGCGCACCGATAGGCCTACCACGACGACGACTTCACGCTTTTTTCGCCGACGTCCAGACGGCGCGCTCCGCGAACTTTCGCCTACAACTTTGGGTTTGACGAGTTTAGGGCCCCAAGGGTGACCAAAGTGCGACTCACCAGCCGCGGGTCCAAGCGCCACTCGCCGTAGAAGGAAAGAGAAGAAACACAATACAAATAGTCCGGACTGCCTCGTGAAGCCGAGCAGCTTGCCGGCCAGAAAGTTCGATCGATATTCGGATACTGCCGCGAGCCACCCTCCTCGGCAACGTGCACGCGGTAAGATCAAGACAGTATGCAACCCCGACGGACAACAAACCCGACTGAATAGACCGATCTCACCAGCTAGTTTGAGTACGCCACCGCTGCCGCCATGCATCGTGGGAGCTGTAGTCTTTCTGCATGCGCAACAACCTTGCTGGAGGTCTGCGCGAGCAGAGCACGAGGCGGCATGAGCTGTCGCGTGAACTGGCGTCTGCCTCCTACGAACTACAGTTATGGCGGCGTCACGCATGCGTGGAACGCTTGGTGAGATCGGTCTACTGCTCGGGACAGCAACGACGTCATTCAACCTCAAGCAGCTTGTTCCGAGAATAAAGAAACACACACAAAAAAAAAAACATAATGACCAATCGTTTTATGAGTATAAATCGCTGCAGTCATCAAATAAGATAAAAAAAAAAACTCTCACGTCTATTTTTTTTTTTTTTTGCCGCTTTTTACTTAGAATTGTTCTCTTTTATGGCTCTTTAGCCAGACCGTGACGTATGGCTTTTACGGCCAAACATTCGTCTGGCCATCCCTGGGTTAAACCAATCGCGCAGAGTAAACGGGCCGTCATCGTGCGTTTCTGTCGTGCACGGATTAGGTTTAGCAGGTTATAGCAAACTCGCAAAGACGACAGGCGCCGTGATGATGCACTTTTTGGCGCGCGGGTCCTGAATTGCCTCTGTCAGATCGCAACGTAGGCTGCGCTCGAACGCATCGTGAAGAGGAGTACAGCGATGCTGCGTCAGCCGATAGTGGGCTGCAACGCTATACGCCCCGATGATCATTCTGACGATCGATTATTTATGTAGAGTGAGTACCTCGCTGGGGAGACCCTAAGTTGAACCACACACTGACGGGGATAGTCGGCGAGTGTTCAGCACGCTCCCAACTATGTCCCCCGCTCTCCCTCGGTGAAACACTAGAACTTCCAAAATTTTCCCTTTTTTCTTCTTTTTTTTTTTTTTTTGTTATGTTTGCCGGGTAACAACACCGCCCGGAACACGCTTGAACGAGTACAGGCCTCAGGTAATCAGACAAACAAAAAATGTCGCGAGTGTTTCTCTGTTTATTTCCGGCTTGCCAAAGTAAACAAAAAAAAATTGAAAGACGTTTACAATTCCCTGTAATGCCGAATTAGAGCGCAGCTCTTGAGGGGGAGGGAAGGGTACGGAGAGGAGGGTATGGCCTCTCCTCCCCCTCCGTGCCCTCTCCTCCTCTCTCCTCCTCCACTCATTCACCTCCCCTCCTCGTCCCTTCCCTCCCTCCCTCGTGAGGCCACTTGTGAAGGCCTCATGAAGGTCGTGACCTTCACTGTGAAGGTTGTGACCTTCCTCGTGACCTTCGTGACGTCACTCGTGACCCTCGTGACGTCATTGTGGGAACGTCCTATAATACAGCGCGCGGTTGCATTATGCGACGCCGCTCAATGCGACGCCGCTCAAGCCGGAAACGAGCATCAGAGCTGAATTGCCCAGAGATTCTTGAGATATGGGAACAAGTCAAACCATGGAGTGCGGAATTCGTTTGCAAGAGGGCCTTTTCAAAGGTACGCGCCATCACTGCGTGGTCACGTGCTCTGAGCATGATTTGGACACGAATGCTGCCTCGGCGTTCGGCGTCAACTCGGATCCAATCACGCGCGCGCCGCGAACCGGTAGAGGTTCGAGTTCGACCAGTTTCGGCTTTTTCGAACTTTTTGTGAAAAGTTCGACTCAGGTTCGACTGTTATGCGCGTGCGGGACAGGCGTGTCCGTTGGCTTCGGATTGGATGGTGATGGCTAAGGGATGAATTAAGGGCAGCACTAATTGGTTATTTCATTAAGATAGTAAAACAAATTTAAGTTATTAACTTCTTCAGTGATTACAATTAGTTTATTTTAATTGTAACTGATCATAAAATAAAAATAACCCTTTGCATAAAAAGATATTCTCCAAACCTAGACATGCTTATATCAAGGTCTGGCCACACTGTCCACAAATTCGAACCGGTCGAATCTCGTTAAAAGTTCGAAGGTTCGTCGAACCAGTTCGGCCAAGTCGAACCCTGAAAGTTCGACCTAAAAATCCGGTTCGACAAAAGTTTGCGACACCCCTAACTATGGTATACTAGAGCTGGGCAGTGTGTCGTCCGCGCCGAGAAGCAACGGAGGGAGGAGGTCGGCGCAGCGATGACGGCGCGCGAGGAGGCCAGGGGGCGCTGCGGGTAACAGGCGTGCTCCTCCCCGCTCGGATTGCCGTGTGGTCGTACTGCTTGTGATCGCGTGGTTCGCGTCGTCACCTTGTTTTGCTGCAGTTTTTTTTTTTTTTTTTTTTTTTTTTTTTTTATTATGGTTGAGTGAAATGGATTGTGATCGGTGCCGTTCAGTAAGGTGTAGACAACGCGTGCAATGACAGAAAAACGGCGGGACAAGAGAGACGGGACGTGTTTTGTGTCGGGGCAGTGATTTCCCTACACCCCTCAGCGGGGGTGTACTCCCCCCTTGTTTTTCCGAAAGCACCCCTTTAATTCGCAACGACTCTTATATTCTCAATGCCCCCCCGAACACCCTCCCTAACCTCAATTCCTGGGGCCCGTGCCGGGTTGCAACAGTGGCTACCGGTCCTGCAATGAAGCCCGTTCTCTTTTTCGTGCCCCTCTCGAGTTCAATCGGCGTCAGTCGTCGTCCCGCAACATTAAAAGGAGTGACAGGGAGACTGTGCTTCATGTAAGGCAGGCTGTCATGACAGTCGTCCTCTACATTTTTTTTTTTCCGGACTTTTTGCACTCTAAAGTATCTGCTAAATCGGTTTTATAGACACTGGTTTGGGCACACCGAAGGGTCCTGTGCACGCTGACTGCATTAGAAAGGCTTGGAGAAGTGACTGTGAAAATGTGACGTTAAAGGTTATGGCCTCACATGAGCAAATTATTTTTTTTTCCTAACGGCTTTAAAAATATGAGGGTTGGCCCAGCACTCCGTCTCTTCAATGAGGAGGTGCTAAGAGGCCTCTTTCCTTTTTTTTACCGCAAGAAAATTGAAGGGTCTTATGGCCCAGCGGAAGATACTGTCATTTATCCTGAAGATGTCGAAGCTCATCAAGATCATGACCTCACGTTGGAGAATGCAGAGGTACAAAACGCCATAGGCGCCGACTACGGGGGAGCTCGGGAGCCCCCCTCTCCCGAGCTCTTGGGAAAAGCAAGTACCATCGCCTCCGGAATCCTTGGGTGTACCTCATTAATCTCATCTGTGCGCTGGCGCCCAGTGTATAATTAAAAATTTATCTGTGTGCCCTGGTGCCCACACATATTAATATAGCTGGTGCTCAGTGGATAAATAAGGATATATACACTGTGGTTACTACCAGAGCTGGTGAGTGGATACATTTTCCTAACTATTCGCACAATCCTGTTTGAAGTCCCCACGTAGTAACAGCAAATACGATAAAGGCTAGTACTGGAAATTCCATCGAAAGCCCGTGGAAGTAGTTGCGTGAGTCGGCAGTGGCACCTCCATGCAGCCTACGGAAGTAGACGATATAGCCCGTTTTGTAAGCCCCATTTTGTTTTCCCAAACATTGAAACAATTCATTAGGGTTGTGAGCTTCAACCCCGGAATTCATTGATCACAACTACAGTGACAGCGAAATTATAGGGTCACAAAAGCACACATTTGTTTAGGTATCACGCCATCAGCATGCTTATCCTACGTTATCCAGGGGATTACACACGTTTGGGACGTCTCTTTCAAGAGACTTCCCCAACGTTTCCCTGGGGGATGGATTTCCCGCAGCTATTCAGAACGCAACATTGTCAGCGCGAACAAGCGATCGCCGGTTTTTCTATGAGAAACCAAAGGATCTCAGCAAAGTTCGAATTGCTGAGGAAAAAGCTCATTCGGGTCTATAATGCAGGTGATAAAAGTTCGTCCTCACTAATACTCTTTCGAAGTAAATCCGAGAAAGCGCCAATGTCTTGTTCGCGCTAGCAGTGCCGCGATGTGTACTGTGGCGTCCTGTCCGAAGATGCACGTCTCGGGTAAAGCATTTGGCAACGAATTAGTGCGATAAATATTATGTGAAACAGCAGAAATAAAGAATACCGTAAAGAGTTAGCCAAACAATACGAAACAATCGAACCCGTGCGGAACGCCAAGCCAGCCAAGCGCTACCGCTGCCTGCGCTCCGCACTCCGGCAGCACGCCTACTACACGTTGCGCCCTCTCGCGGCCACCGATCCGGTCATCGCTGAAAGAGCCCCCCCTCCGCCGGCGCTCGCTACACTGCCCAGTCTTCTAGTACACCGTACCCTAACGCTCTACTTGCCCTACAAAATGGCGACCATCAATGTTGCTCGACAGACTTTTGAAAAAGGCTATATTTAACGGCGGACGTTTCCAGCGAATATAAAGTTAAAAACTGAGAAAACAAAAAGTAGGCGAACATTGAATTAGTAAAAAGGAATAGACCGATCTCACCAAGCGTTCCACGCATGCGTGACGCCGCCATAACTGTAGTTCATAGGATGCAGACGCCAGTTCACGAGACAGCTCATGCCGCCTCGTGCTCTGCTCGTGCAGACCTCCAGCAGGGTTGTCGCGCGTGCAGAAAGACTACAGCTCCCACGATGCATGGCGGCAGCGGTGGCGTACTCAAACTAGCTGGTGAGATCAGTCTATTTCGACGGTCAGCGATGACTCGGGTAGTCAACGCCAAGATCTTTCAGTCAACTATTGAAAGTACCGATTGATTATGATTTTTGTTTCCTCCATATTGTGCTGTTTACTGACCCTGTATTTTGCTGTCTACTACTTGCGCTTAAATTGTCTGCAGTGTCATAAAAAAAAAAAAAAAGAATGCGATTTACCGCCAGAAAAAAAAAAACAGGAATCCAAGAACTTGAAGGACGCTGGATGAAAACTGACAAAGCAGCCGTCCCTGAAAATAAGCGCCACTGAGATTGAAGTTTCCAAGATTCGGAAACTGCGGAACCAGCGGATGTCGTGAACTTTACGGACGATATGCTTACGAGTTCACGCCAGCAGCATGACTGCTGTCATGACATTACAAACATAGTTTAGAAGTCGCCACCCGAGTTAAACAGTTCAGCCGAGCGGAAAGTTAGAAAGATTCAGCCTGAACCATCCGTCTTTCCTGTATAAAGAACTAATTATCAGCATAAAAAAAATTGCTAAACGACTTTCATCATTAGAGTTCCGTCATATCCATGGTACGTATTATTTAAGCGATCGTATAAATGTGTTTCTAAGGCCACATTAGGTTGTGCTTTCGGGAAGTAACGAAATATTACTATTGTCTATTGATTGGTATCATCCCCTTCAACAACATGACACCATGCACTGCGGGAGAGTACCGGCACGTGAGCCGTAGTATGAGAGGTGGGGCATTCACCTTTACGCCAGCTGGCACTTCCGGTACACGCGCCTAATGCTAACTGCTGGTACTGGGAACACTGGCTAGATGGCGCACGCCTCCGCCCGATTTGTAGGGTTCAGCCGTACGGATCTACCCGTCTATTCTGCGGCAGATTCAGAAATGACGACAATAAATTCACGACACCCCGGACCACTGGTCTTCACAAGAGGCTTGGATGGCGCATTGAGAGAACAGGTATGAAGCCACCGGAAGTGAGCGGGTTGCACCGGAAGTGAGCGCTTGATAGGCTTTCCCACTCTTACGAGCGGTGGTCGAAACAGTGTCCAAGGCGCATGGTTTGCTTTTGTTATGTCAAGAGATGCAGGCCCGAGAAGTCTTCCTGGAAGCCATCTTATGTGTGATAATCTCGAGATTCTCACACATGTATTACATGCACATAAAATAAAACCGACTGCTGACTCTGTCCCCGCCGTACCTGCAACCCTCCAAACTGCTAATCCCCAAACGCCACCCCCCATCCCTGAAAACAAACTCTTTTTATTGCAAGATATGATTTTGATTTCACTAATGCTGGGGCTGTGGAGGAGGGTCCCAGACTATCCGTTAAAATGAGTGGGGGGTTCGAGACCCCCTGAGACTTCCCACACTTTAAGCCCTGGTGACCTTTGCTCGAAAGAAAAGCAGAAATCCTCTTAAATTGTCGGCCATGGCCCGGCAAATTCAGGCAATTTATCAATTAGTTCTGTACTATTTTTACTAAGAATTGTTTACAAATTGAAAATCGCTCGCTGAGAAGCACATCACGCATTATGGGCATCTGGGTCCGCAGAAGTTATACATACAAAGGGTAGTAAATCATAGCAGGTGTATTCCTAATTTTTTGGTACGTTGAAGTGTCACCGACTTACTAGACTTAGGACTTCGATCGCGAGGGGGTCTCGAACGTTTCGCGTAGACCGGAAGAATAAACAGGTATTCAGTTAAAATGATTCCGGAAGCCAGCCACCGCTTCTTTCTGCCAGTTATTTTGAGGAAATGCTCGTTTACTGGTTAACGAAATTTCAAAAGGAATCAACTCCAAAATAATACGACACCAGCACTCACAGAACACGTTGGAACCAATAGGATGCACGGAGTCATTTTCACTGAAGTGTTTACTACACACGCGAAAGGTTGTCGAATTTCGCTTTCCTGTTTTCAATTTAATGAGACATTTCTTTCTTAGATTTATTTTGTTCGAATCATAATAAAAAATACACCTTATTCGCCGTGGCAGAAGTAGTAGCGGGATAAAGTGCTGGATATTCTATTTTCATCGTCCAGCTTTTTTTTTGTACTGGGGTGAGAACAGCACAGGAGCATCCCAGTGCTTCGACACCTCAGTGCCAAAGGTGTTTGTTAGCGCAATTACGCGTTCCACGGTTTCAAACTTTGGTAAAATGTCTTACTACAAATATCACTTCGCCAAATAAACACAACGCGTGAAACCGGCTTGGTCCGCGCGTCACCCAAACAGCACATGAAGCGAGCTGACGAGTTTAGGGATCCAAGATCTGCGCCGTCTAATCCAGTATGTCCTACCCGTGACGTCATAAACGATGATGATGATAGCTAGAGAAGCGCCCTCTCTACTTCGCACACGCCGCCAAGAGTAGAGGTCAGTGCCCCCGACGCCTCAGATCCCGCCCGGCCCCACAGCCTTGGCTGCAGACGGGCAGGACGCGAGCAGAGGCAATACCCCCTAAAAGACAAGGCCTCCCCGTGACATCATCGTTAGTGGCTCCCGACCCACCTCAAGCGGCAAACACGCTTCGACAAAAGTACGCCGCGAAGCAGCAGGCGCGTTCGGTTTTGAGCGTCGCCGTGCTCTAGCGTCGCGCTGGCAGCGACGCTGCCTGAAACCACAACCGATGACTTCGGGGGAGGAATGGTGCAGGCCCTGTCTTCTAGGCGCGTTGGTTCGGCGCAAGCTCGGATAGATCCTCGCCCACATACTACAATCCGTTCACCCCTCTAAGCTGACAGTGCGATGGAAACTACGAGCTCGGTGGACCAGTCATACGTGTGTATTTTGCCACGTAATCCAGCTCTCCCCTCATACCCTGTGCAGGGATGTGTGTTCCGTGGTGAAAGAGAGAGATAGGGAGGAAGGGGGGAGGGGGGGCATGACCTTAGGGGGGCGAGTGCGTAGGCCTTCACCTCACTGTCAGCTTAGTGGTCAACTTTTTTTTTTTTTTTCGAATATTTGAAGGGCAGAGAAAGGGGCAAAGCAGCTTGGCCTTGTTCCAAGCTGAGCCTTTCACAAAAGCCCCGGACCCTCCCGGAACAATCTTCTTTTCCCCAAACCACTCATCGCACTATCACACCTGTACTACTGCGAGGCAGCGTGTCACACAAACTGGTCTCGACACACCCCTTCACAATCCCTCCTTATAAACGGAGTCATAATAAGCGGAGGTGTTCTTCCAAACGATTTTGACAATGCGGGGTCTATCTAGCATCCGGCCGCTCGGTTTTTCACGCGACCACTTCTGTTGCAGACGACACCTGGGTTAGCGGACGAACGGCACCGGCGCCATGAAGCCGCCATGTTGGTTACTCCACGTGCAGCGGCGCGTCTGACAAGTTCGCTACTCGTCATTCTTCTCGTCGCAGCGGGCGTCGAGACGTCGCCTAAGCCCGCGTGCTCCAGGGCGACCCGCGAAGACCTGGAAAGGCTTCTGGGATCAGCGTTCAACGCCCGCTACATGGCCATCGACAAGCCAGACCCGGAACCGACGTCGAGTCGACTCACTGCCCGGCATTCGGAGGACCCACTCAGCGACCAGGCCGACCTAGAGGCAGGCGGTTTTAGCGTCGACGCCGACTTCAGACAAGACTTGCCGGGTGAGCGAAGACGTGTACGCGAGAAGAGGTCGGAGACGGCCAAGCCCTGGGGCTGTACATCCAGACTGGAGTGGGAAGACCTCGGAGACGATCGGTTCCCGAGGTACCTACGGAACGTCAAGTGTCTCGGAGGTGACTGCTGGTTTGGGAAGTTCCGTTGCAAGGCGCGGGCTTTTACCGTGAAGGTGCTCAGGCGCAAGAGTGGCAAGGAGAAAGATGGCGATTGTGTAGTGAGTGCGTCGACGGCTGATTTGCCCGCGGAGCTTCGGGAACACTGGGAATTCGAGGAGCGCGCGGTGGCGTTCTGTTGTGACTGTTCGGTGGACGACTGAGCCCTCTTCTTTGGAACTGCCTTCTACGATGACTTGCAGTTTTCATTGATCGGGCGAAAGGATGTGTTGCCCGCAGTGTCCACCAAATACACGGTGGCATTCTGACCTGTGCTCTAGAACTGTTTTCTTGTTGGGCAATTTGAGCGGCGTCTTCTGTGATGACTTGCAGTTCTTAATTACGTAAAAGGATGTGTTGCGAGGTCGTCCGGAGGGTGCACTGGGGGCCGCTTGTTACTTTTCCTTGAATAGGTATTGAAGGGCCAATTTCATTTTGTGCTTCGTGCGTGTCCTTTTCTTTTTTTTTCTTTTTTTTTTTTGGGGGGGGGGGGGGGTAATTTGTGCATTGAGTAGTCACGTTACTGGTACCGCGAAACTGTTAGAAAGATTAGCCATCGATCTGCGTGCCAAATTTCGATGCAGTTTAATAAAAAGTATACTGTACGGTGCACGACTCATCCATGGTGTACTATGACCTGCGAAGAAGTACTGCATGCTGGTTTTCCTGCCTTACCCCCGAATTCATAGATGTAACTTAACTTGAAGCCGCGTCTCGACTTGCTGAAGACCGCCTCAAGACCCGCCTTGACTCGAACGCGCTCAAGTTGGCTTTGCAGTCTTTTAGACCGTAGAAGCACTAAGCGCATCAAACTCCTCGTACTGCTTTCTTTTTTCTTTTTTTTTTTCAGCCTTTGTTTTAGGGTTTAAGTTGTGACGTCATAACTTACCGATTGCTTGTGAAGCTTCCACCCCAAGCGGAGGCAAAGACCTACCTTCTGAACTGAGCGCTAAAGAAGCATGAAGCCTGAGACTTTAACTGAATGACGGCATGGATGGATGGACTGATGCACACGGCTGAGCCCCTCAAATCGGAGGGCCGCATGCGCCATCTAGTTCGTGTTTTTAATAACATTTAAAAAGATTGTCCAGTAATTCTCTTTTTTTTTTAGAAAACAATAAATAATATTCATTGCTTTCAGGAATATCATCCGCACAATATCCGAATTTTGAATGTCCCGCCGCACAAGTAATTCGGTTTTAAACAGAGGCCAATTGCTCAGATTGCACCTGCAAAACACAGCGTTTTCGTTGGCAACAGCGGAATCTCTGACGTAACATCGGGCAAAGAGAGCCACCTCAGCGTTTGACTACTGTCTCAGTAAAATAACTTCGTTCTAAGAAAGGCGAGATTTACGGTATTGAGGAACGCTCACTTCGCCAACGATCTTTGTACGCACCATCAACCATGTTGATTAAAACCGGGAAGAAACCAACGCCCGCGACAAGGGGTGTCGCCAACTTTTGTCGAACCGGTCGGCGAACCTTCGAAACCAGATTTGACCGGATCGACTTTGTGGACATTTTGGCCAGACCTTGATACAAGCATGCCTAGGTTTGGAGAATATTGTTTTTTTATGCAAAGGGTTGATTTTATGAACAGTTGCAATTATAAAAAACTAATTCTAATCACCGAAGAAGCTAATAACTTAATGGTTTGTACTGTATTAATTGAAATAACCAATCACTGCTGCCCTTAATTCGTCCCTTAGCCATCACCATCCAGTCCGAAGCCGACTGGCCAGCCTGTCGCGCATGCGCATAGCAGTCGAACCCGAGTCGAACTTTTCACAAGAAGTTCAAAAAAGTCGAACCTGGTCGACTTCGAACCTCGACCGGTTCGCGACATCCCTACCGCGACCCTCACGTTCCAGTGCCTGATGTGACGTCACGACTCACGACACGACCATTCACGCATACTTCCGACATGTGGCGTGAAGTTTCGTATTGATGTTCATAATTGATTCAACGAATATTGGGGCGTCTTTTAATGAAATAAATATCACGTATGACTATATATTTAGGCCTTCTCTATGTGACCAGCGCAAAAACTTAGCAGGCAGCTTTAGAACAGCGCACGCTGAAGCTCTTGTGTAAGCATAGAATAGCGTCGTCGCAGCTGCGTATGCGCCGAATGCTAACTGCGGTTTGCGCTATTTTAGTGTAGGCTATTTTTTCCGGAAATTGCGTGCGTACGCAAAGAGTCGTTGCGCTTTTCCAAGGAGGAATCGGGTTCAGAAGTTGGCTAAAGCCAAGACGAGCACATTTAAAAATGGTGGCACGTGTAAGCCGGGTACGTGCGGGAAGGAACACGATATTTCTCTTGTCGAGGCGACGCAAGCCGACACGACCTCTCGCGTCGCATTCTCACATTTAAACATATATGTAAAATGTTACTCCAAACTGAAAAAAAAACAAAAAAAAAAACATTTTTTTCTTTTTTAAAGTACAATTATTTGCGGGTAAAATAAAACTTGTTATTGTAGCTTGGTGCCGTTGCAAGCGCGAGATGCTTGGGTTTTTGCGTCGCGGCGCATGAACGCTATTCTAAAACTCTCTTTATTAGGAAGCACCAACGCAAGCGCTAAATTTAGCGCTAGCGTGCGCTAAAATTGCGTACGTTATTCTAAAACTCCCCACTAACTTCCGGACATCACAGGACAACCCCTGTAAGCTAGCATATAGAACGTTCATAATAGTAAAACTCCTACAGCAACTCTGTCACTCTGATGCGCCAAAGGGCGACGCATTCCTCGCAAGTTGTAACGCACAAAGATGTTCCCACTCCTAATAAAACACTGCACATTACTCCGGAGGGAACGATACCTTTAATGATTATACTATCATCGCTATCACACTAAAGGAGCCTCATTGACGGCCCTATCTCGGTGGGTCAGTGTCCTCGACGACCAAACCAGAGCACCTGGCGCAACAGCCCCCCGCGGCCACCGAAGTGACCGACGAAGCATTCCTTCTGACGGTCGACGCCTCAAGAACAAGCAAGTTTTCCACACGTGCTCCGTGGCACTAGCTGCGTGCAGCACAGGCGAAGGCAACGCTAGGCGAGGGTAGAAAGGGCCAGCACTAGGAAGGCTAGGGAGGAGGAGAGAAGAAGCCTTACTGTCCTCCCTAACGTTCGTCCCCTCGCCCTTTATAGCCCTTCTCTCCCGGCCAGCCTTCCTAGTGCCAACTAGTGCTTGACCTCTGTCTCTTCGCCCATGGCGTTGCCTTCGTCTGCGCTGCACACAACTAGTGACACGACTAGAGAAGCATCTTTTACATAAATTCGTTCTTTATAAGATAACGAAACGATGTATTTTGCGTTTGGGTAAAATAACGAAAATTTTTTAAAATCTTAAATGCGCAGAAGTATCTTAACTCATCACATAAGGAGAATATCAGTAACGTTCCGCGAAAATACGAACTTCCGAAAGAGGCACCGTGCCGTTCTCATTCTGCCATTGCTCTCGATGCGGTACGGGTGAGCGGCGTTTGGAGACTTCCGGTTCATTAGAAGTTTGTTTCACTGTTGACAAACGACAGCGATGAGCTGCAAGCCTGCGCAAGCATAATTCTGAAAGCTCCAGACTGTAGTTTCCAGGACTATGCTTCTACTTCGTTTTAAGTCCAGACGTAGCCGATGCTACAAGCGCGAACATGTGGCCCTGAGAAGTGCTTGCAATGCACGAGCGCGTGTTTTAGGCAGGGACGTTAAAAGCCCCGAGCTCGCGCTTGGAGCATCGGCTACGTCTGAACCAAGTACAGACAGGTTTGCAGATCATCGTCGTCGTTTGTCAGCAGCTAAACAAAATTTTCTAACGAACCGGAAGTTGCCAAACGCCGCTCACCTACTCAGACATTATCCAGTGCCGCAAAGAATTCGTATAGTCAAGGTCTCCTGTATACTCACAAAGCCTGGCTGTTCGACGACGGCGCCATAGAGTGCCCGGTCGCAGATTCGGAATGCGAGGATCTGGTAGCACGGAGCATCATGCAAAGAGCCATTTCTCTGGGAACTTGAACGTGAGCGCGCAGCTTTTGCCGGGCAGAGCCAGGGCGTGCACCAGACGCAGAAAGTGGGCTTGACATGCTCCCTTGGACAACCAGAAGCCTATTGGCGACGTGCGCGACCGAAAGCGTCGCTGTGGTCGGCCTTCCACGATTGGCCCAAAAGCTGACTATGACGTCGGAAAGGGTATACCATCGACGGAAATAAGAGGAATGAAAGAACTTTAATTTCGACGGTGTTGGCAGTGTTGCTTTGAGAGCGCAATGATTTCAGGCTTCCACCATGCTATTTACAAACACCATCGAACTTGTTGTTCGCAAGGTAATGACGTCACAAGGGGGAACCATAGGAGGGCGCCACCAAAACATCTCGCCGCTAATAGAAGAATCCCCTAGCGGTGATAGCGAGAAACTGTTTCAATCAAAGGTATATGGTTTTAATAAGAGCGTAAGAGTGAAGTGTAGCAACCCTTCATGGTTGAAAATAGGGTGCGCGTGATGTTTCGATTATGATCATGCAGAAAGATGTAAGAAACGAATGTGCCGGTCAACTCTGTTTTGCTCGAATAGTGAGTGACCGCTCGGACGGCAGATTCCCGGCCCTCGACGCTTGGCGCACGGATCATGTCGAACGTTCCACTAGTCGCACTCTTCCACCATGATTTTGGATGACCGTGATTGAAACATCACGTGCACCATATTTTGACTCAGCGAGAGTCACCCCGATGCACTTATTAGGTTTGTTTCTCGCGACTATCGCCAGGATATTATTTCCGGCTTCTGGTTAGCCGCATTCGAATTTGTTGAGACGCCCTGGAACACGCCCATGCAGCCCGCTTTCGGCGAATGGCGCCTCCTTATCTGTCTCCTATACTCCCCAACGAATGGCCAAACTCTCTACATATACGGCTCGGCGAGGACCCGAAACACAGTTGTTCGTTCGGAAGAACCGTGGTTCCGCGTCCCGACGCAGCGGGGCGCCAGTCACGTGGCTCTCCTCTCATCCGTTGCCTGACACTCCACCTTTACCATTTCGGCGGCCACTTTTCGTGGCGATCTGCCAGGCTTTGTCAGTATATAGGAGGCTACGCTGCAGCGTACGATCTACTGTACCGCAGCCAATGCCACAAGCACGAGTGCTCGAGGTCGCTGCTTTGAAGCGTTCTTCCGCAAAACGAGCGCAAGCTAGCTCGCGTTTTAAAGTTTCAGCTGCAGTCTCAACTTAAAGGTAAACGGAGTATAAAACTATCTAATGCCATACAAGGTATCAAACCGCAGGAATGACCACGCCGTTCGTCCCTCATCGGCGTAGCGTGTGTGCATATGTGAATCGCCACCACGGTTTAATAGTATCGACATCGATGAACCAATTAAACCGTAGGACCACACTGTGTGCAAGGTAAAGAGGAACAAAAATAACATTCCAACCGATCAAGTGCATAGCCGGAGTGTCGCGCGCTTTAGAGCTCTTTCAGCACGTCCCGAAGTAGAGTTTCGACGTTCCGCAAGTACATCAGCTTGGCCAGTGCGACGCAGGCCCGTTCCAGGTCGTCCTTCTGGAAAAAAGAGTCCATCTGCTCGTTGAGGAGCGAGATCTCGACGCGGACCGTCTGCAGGAGTTCCCTGGCCGTGTCCTGGTCTCGGGCTGGGTCCATGTCGGCCACCCGCTCGTTCAGCTCCATCATGCGGTCCAGGAACGGCGCGTCCAGTTCGATCGCCTGCAGGTCGATGCCGTGCAGTTCGAGCAGGTAGCGGGCCCGCTTCTCGGGCCTGGATAGGATCTGGTACGCCTGATTCACCAGGGCGGACAGGTCGTCCGAAAGGTCTTGCTCTTTCTGTAAAAAAGGAAAAGAACGTGGGAAAGAAGTACGAAGGAAAGGTCAATATATTTTTAGAGCGTATCTCTTAGGCGCCCGTTTCCGGCTCGCCGTCACCGTCGGCGTAACCGTGCGGTGCATTATGGGAAACGTCCCATAATGCACCGCGGTGACGCGCGTTTTGCATTATGGGACGTTTAATATAACGCACCGCGCGGGAGGGAGGAGGAGAGAAGATAGGAAGAGGAGGAAGGGGGAGGAGGCGAGGAGCACGGGAGGAGCAGGTGAGGAGCAGAGGGTACGAATGAGGAGGAGGGGCATACCGTCCTTCCCGTACCCTCCCCATGCACCTCCTCCTCCTCAAGAGCTGCGCTCTAATTCGGTATTACAGGGGGCTCTAAACGTCTTTCATTTTTGTTTGTTCGTTTGTGGGGAGAGGGGACCCTTACTACAATGCGCGGTTTAGGATAGTCTAACGACTTAGAAAATATATAAGGTGAAGGAAGATCGCAGTTAAATCGTACAGAATTCGGGACATGTGACAATAGTTCTGTCGTGGTAACTCGCAGGAGGGGGGTTTGCTGGATTCCCCGCGGCGCCCGAAATTCGACCGGTTCGTCTGCAAGCTGGACACGCAGGGAGCCCTCGCCTGGTGCTCAAGACCGGCCTGCTAAAAGTCAGCAGCACATGGTGGTCTCGCGAAGACCGCTTCTAGGCATAAGACTCTTCAGCGTGTTTACCATTCCGTCATCATTATCATCATCATCATCACTTTCATAATAATAATAATAGGTTAGAGCCGCCAACGCTACGAGCCAATAGTGAGTTTTCGTGGATCGTTTTCGCCGCCCCGCAACGCTCTCCGCAACCGATACCCGGAACCCTACAGCCAAGCCCATCGGCGCGCAGGCGCAGTAGCGGCTTCTCCATTGCAGAGGGGAAAACGCGGTCTACGAAAACTCCCTTTTGCGTACGCACATGCTTTTCGAAAAATAGCGTATACGCAAAAATAGCGCACGCAAAGCGCGACACGTGGTTAGCGTTGGGCGCATGCGCGGTGGCGACGACGCTATTTGCGTCGTCGCCTCCGCGACGAGGAAGTTGCTACTGGTATCGTAGCGGGTTGCGGAGGGCGTTACGGGACGGCGAAAACGAAAACTCCCATTCTTAGAAGCTTTCTCGGAAGCTTGATTGCCCCTTATGGGGTGCTAGGTTTCAGACTTTTTTCTGTTTCTTTGCCTGTGTTACAGCCGACTGATATTTCCTCTTTCGCAAGCCTTCTCTCTCTCTCTCCCATCAAGAGGGAAGAATCCATCGTGATGTCACGTTTTTGATGATGTACTGTATGTTCGTTTTTGCGCTGCAACTAACATTTGGGACTGATTGATTCCCTTCTTTAGGGGGCAAGGAAATTAGGAAACGAAAATGGGGTGTAGTAGATCAGTCTACCTTATTTTCTCCCCTCCTTTTTTTAAAGGGGTAGGGAAGCAATGATTGCCAGTTGAAAATTAAACGTCATTAACTGGACTGTCCATGCTATACCGCTGCGGCGGCATCATTTCGGTGTCAGACCGAAACTCGATAATCTCTCCTTCCCTCCTCCTCCTCCTCCTCCTCCCCCCCTAGCTTAATAAACAACACCCCTCACTCCTTGAAGTGATGTTGCCTACGTTAGAAGCACATCGAGTTTAACAAACACTCCAAAGGAGAATCTCCAAGGCGGTTCTACGGGCATTCAATTTGCATTTCTCATCGGAGGCCTTCGCAAAAAGAATAGCGTATGCAATTAGGACGTCGCCTGCGCTACACCTACATCTTTGCTTCTCGCACGAGCGCTCGCGCAGAACGCTCGGACTCGTGCAGCCCGCCTCAGCCCAAACTATAGACACCACTAGACGCCATATTTATGGGGGCTGTTTAGAGCGCATGCTCAGAACGAGCTCACATCAATAGGCTGCTAAGACCGGCAATCTTGATGGTGCGGAATGCACGGTGCAAAAGAACTGTGCAAGCTTGCCATCAGCACGCGCTTAGCATTCGCGCACACAGCTATGGCCCCCAGTGAATACTCCCTGTAGGCAGGCACAGATTAAAGTCACTTTAGCTCAGACTTTTCTGCATAGCCACAATGTGACAAATTGATACAGAAATCTCAGTTAAAAGCCTGGAAAAACCTCAAAAGAAAAACAGCAAGAAACACTTGCCCTCGATTTGGAGGCGAACCTGTCGGGGTGTAGGCTCTTTTGCATCTCGTGCAGCCTCTCTTGAAGTTTGGAAGCATCGATGTCGTAGCGTGGCGTTTCACCCATAATCTCGAAGTAATTGAGTTTGCCGTATGTGTCCAAGAGGCTGTCACATTTCTTGCAGACGACGTCGGTTCGTGTCACCGGTCCGCGGCAGTTCCAACAGACCTGACCGAAAGGTCGTTGCTTGAAGCGGACCGACTGATTCCTGAATAGTTGCTCGCAAGATCCGCGAAGCTTCGGTTTGAGCATGCACACCGAAAAATGTCGATTCGCGAGCGGCGAACTGCAAATTACGCTTGGTTTAGCGACGGAAAAGGAGGAGACATATTTCGAAAATCCGGAAGAAAGCCCGGGTTTCTTGAAAGCAGCCGACAATCGCATGGAGGCCGCCATGTTTCCGCGTGCGATCGTCGCGCGATAGCGGTGGCTACAAACACTAACCAGACCCGTAAACAATCGAAAGCCCGCCGGGGTTTCGGAAGATTTAACTTCGTATAAAAGTAATTTGTATAATTATCGCTTGTAAAACAATATAACCTATTATGTATTCATCCAAGAAGCTGTAAATTATATAATTATTACAAAATCGAGTAAAGTTTTCTGTTATACAAAATCAAAAACAAGATAGGGGCGAGACCAGACAAGACTGACAAGATATTTGCGTGCGTCAACAAAGTTGATGCGTTCTTTTAGTGACTGCATTTGAGTAACCAAAGTCATCGAAGCGAACAAAATGTCTTCGAGACCATCTAGACCAGCACCGCCTCCGCCTAAGCCAGGTCAGCGAAAATCTGTTGATTTTGCACTTCGCGCACTGAAAACGGTACCCCCTTGCAAATGTTTGAGCTTGATCGCTGCGCTACATCAATGCAGTAATAGTTAAATGACCATAAAATTGTTCAACGATATGTCCACCGGTGAAGCTTGTCGTCATCCAGTATTTCTGATGAGTTATAATTCTGCAGAACAAATAAAAACAAGCAGTAAAAGCCACGCCCCGTGCCAACAAAAAGTAACGGTAGATCAGACAATCTATTGCTGAATATTGCTTTGCAAGAGTTCTTACCGACTATTTTTTTGTTTGTTGTTTTTCAGGCAGCGTCAAAGTGTTCAGGGCACTCTACAAGTACACCGCACAACAGGTAGACCTGGCTCTGATTCATTTCAAACTGTAATGTCACTGCCCAATTTTCTAAGCATTCACTACCAGAGGTCGCCACCCTAAACCCACATACCCCTGAGATCCCACAATGGGGATTGGGAAGTTTAATTGGAGTTTAATTGAGCGAAAATTGCTGTAGATCAAAGTATTTTTATAATGTTCTACAAAAGTAAGATATGCTAAGGGTAATGATCTCTGTAGAAAAGGAACAAGGGGTACAGAGGACAAAAACAAAGCTATTTTTGGAGACTATGTTTGTCCTTTTTTCGCCTTGTTCCTACTCCGAGGATTACTATCATTATTCTTGTCCAGCTCGCTGCACCTTTGCGTAAGTTGAATTGACATCATAACCTCAAAAAGCAGGTGTTCATCTTGTTGCTGTTAGACTGGTGGAAGCTGTAAAAACCCATTTGCTCTACTGATGCCCAACTCCTTGTCAGGTCAGTTGGTAGAGTGCTCCATTGAAAGTGGAGGGGTCCCTGGTTCAATAACAGGACTAGGCAGATTTCTTTTAGTCACTTAGCTGTGTTTGGAGATTTTGTGTTTGTCCTTTGTTCACCTTCTCCAGGGATTATTATCATTATTCTTGTCGAGCTCACTGCACCTTTGTATTAATTACATTAACATCATGCTTAGGATGCCATGGTACCTCTAGGCAATGGCAGAGATTTCTGAACTATTAACAATTTTTCTAGGTCAACTCAGTTGTGTAACTCCCACAGGCGGGAATACCCCCTTTGCCCCCCCCCTCAAGCTCGCCACCCGTCGTTTGAAATGGCATCTAGAGGCTGTATTTCAGAACTGTATTCTTCGGAGACAGTATGGTGAAGCACCATCTAGACGCTGCATGTGCTTCAAAACTAAAGCGACTGTAGTTACCGCAGCAGCCATTCCCTCAAAAAACGGTGGCACATAGAACAACGGAAGGTGGACGATGGAGCAGAGGGGGTGTACTGCTCGTGGAAGCACGTCTATGGGCAGTTCCGTAACTGAGTTATTCGAGTAACGTTGACTATAGAGTGCTTTCACGAGACCATTGTGTTCGCCATTTTGTCATTATGTTCTTGAATGCCAAATTGCAATGAAAACTTTAAGCCTCTGTGCACTATGTATTTGATAGTGTGAGATGCATCTTTGGAATGCTTGCCATTTTGTTATGAGCGGTCTGGCATGTGCCAGACCGCTCATAACAAAATAGTGGAAATAATGAGATCAATAAAAACTCCCTATAGTTGGTGATAATAAGAATTCAGTGGATACGCTGCCTCGAGCGCGAGTTGTCTGCCTTTGATAATGCAGGGCATATGCAGCCAAAGCCCGGCAGAAGGCAACAAATTCAGTACCTCGGCTGGTGGCCAAGGTACTGAATTCTACCCAATTCTTAGCTTGTCACCACCGACTATGGTGCATGGAGTACATGGATATTATCTTTGCAACTGCACAGGTGTCGACTCAGGAGTAATTTTCTCTTCCCAGATGTCCTATGAGGTTTGTAATTTTGAAGCACTGATACCAACCTTACTTTTGCAGCCGGATGAACTCTCTTTCGAAGAGGGCGACCTCCTCTACGTCTTCGACATGACCTCTGACCCGAACTGGTGGAAAGCACGATGCGACCGAAAGAGCGGGCTTATTCCAAGCAACTACGGTTAGCCTAAATTTTATTCTTGCGATGTACAGTTCACACTTGAGAGATAGTTGGAGATAACACAGACTATGGAATCACAGACAGGCATTAAGTGACCGGATCTATTGAACAAGGTTGGTTCGCTTTACTGCAAACACCAATGAAACGCCTCCAGTTTTATGCCGTGGACAAGGTGTGGCTGTATATCACAACTCACACTTCGTTTTGCCTTATTATGAACCATAACTGAAACTGTGGACCTTCGGCCCAGTCACGAACGAGTTAGAAACTATGTGGTGTAGTGCTCCGACACGTGTAACATTATGCCGAGCGGCACTAATATGCACCTCGGAGAAATGTACCGTGTGGTTTATAACGGGCTCATGATAATAATAGTAATAATACTAATATTTACTTTATTTTGGGAGAGTCGCAGTGCCTCAGTAAGGCGAGTAGCTCACACCAGAAAGGCCTTCAGGCGCCACATCTCGTGGCAATGCAATGAATACTATGCACAGATCGCCTTCATGTACTTGTTGAAGCAGTAAAGCAGTCAAAACTGGCGACCTGCAGCTTTGGCGGTAGTTTATCGTAAAGTTGAGTGAATTATAGAATGATTGAATGATCATCTGAATGATCACAATAGCCTCAGTGATGGCACACAATAATGATAGGTTAAAAGTAAAGGAATAATTTGCATTCTGAAATATACTAAATTTTGAAGGAACCACAGTAGTTTATCGTAAAGTTGAGTGAATTATAGAATGATTGAATGATCATCTGAATGATCACAATAGCCTCAGTGATGGCACACAATTATGATAGGTTAAAAGTAAAGGAATAATTTGCATTGTGAAATATACTCAATTTAAAGGAACCACAGTACGGGAAAGATACAAAAGGAATGAAGACAAGACAACCTGTCTCATCCAAATCAAGATCTCTCCTTTTCCTAAAACAGCAAAATGACACAAACAAAACATTGGACCGATAAAAAAAAAAGGATTGTTAGATGAAGGATGGTGTTGATCCAGTAACATACTTGAACTAGCTAATGTCCCCAGATGAACGCTATGCGAGGTAGCAACAAGCCCTCCTTCCCTGCCCTCCTCTCCTCGCTCCTGTCGTCTGCTGGCGCGCGGTCCACCACGTTCTTCCCAACTCACCCACCCTGGTTGTTTTCGAAATCTTCCGAGTTATTTCGGCGGGTCATGTCTCGTGACAGTCCAGATAGAGCAACGCTGGACACGGGCCGGTTTTTGAATGCTAAGGTACCAAACCGTTACGCGACAGTAAAGTTGAATCAAATCCCGGGCACAGACCAACAGGAGAGCGCGGCGGCACATCAATCAATGTCGCTATTTAGCGGAGCATTAATCAAGGGACTTTAGAACGAGCAACGTCCCAGGCGAAAATTTCTAACTGGGACCAGTTGGCACCTCAACTGGTTTCAACTGGGACTAACTGGTCCCAACTGGGAATCAACTGGGACTAACTGGTCCCAACTGGGAATCAACTGGGACCAATAGGAGTCCAACTGGGGCCAGCTGAGGGGTCAACTGGTTTGAACCATTCCCAATTGGGAGACAACTGGTTTGAACCATTCCCAGTTGGGAGTCAACTGGTTTGACTCCCAGTTGGGAATGGAGTGCACTGGAACCAGTTAGGGAAGTAACTGGTTGGAGCGATTCCCAGTCGGACTTCAAATGCCTTTCCCGTTCCCAGTTCACACTGGGCAACAATTTGGACAAGTTGGGGGTGTATCACTAACATTTTTAGATTTATACAAATAGGGAATTTTTAATTACTGGGGTATATTTATAAAAATAATATAAAAATTTTAATCAATTAAATAATTTTTTAATTGGAAAATATAATTAGTGACAAAATGTGTTCACCTAAATGAACATTTAGTGCATTATTAAAATATATTAAAACATTTATTTAAATACCTACAGTATTTTTTTTTTCTTTTAATAAATAAAGTTATCTTTTGACTAATCAGAGCTAGCCGGCCGCCGTGGCACGCGGGTGCGGATTAGTGGTACGCGCTCTCGACAGATGGCGCTGCCTATGCTGACGCCGGTTAAGAATCTCAGTTAAGAAGAAAGTTAAAGGGATACGGAATCGAAAGTTGAAATATAGAGAAAACATCAAGAAATGAGTTCAATATGATCAGCTAAGCCTGTAATGAATAATCGCACGGTCGTATTTTGAGCAGATGGCTATATTTTATGCTCTAAATGCCGCGATTTTGGCGAGCGCTTCAAAATCAGCCATGGAGGAGCGCGATGCATCTCGGGAGATCCGGCAGACGTCTTGACGTCATCATGCCTCGGACGACCAAGCGTACCGTAGTGACGAGTTTTGCCACTTGGAGGCGTCAACGCGTTACAATCTCGCTTTGTCGAAGTACCCAAGGGCTGTAGATATCGCGGGGCCAGCACGCGCACCAAACCTGAGAACAACCGAAGCACGCGTTTGCACGTCGCGCGAGAGCTGAAACCAAGGTGGCTCACTTCGTTTTGGCTCTTTCCACCAAGACGCCTCGGTATTGCGTTCAGGCCTAGGCAATCTATACCAGTGAGCGGACATACCGCTGCGGCGCTGCTTTCAGAGGCATGTTGTCGTCGTCGACATTCCATTGAAGCTTCATAACCAACTACCAGGTGGTTTTTGATTATCGTTTAATTCACTTTAAAATATGTTTTCTTGCGTTTTCTAGCGCAATATTTATGTTTCTGTGGCTGTGCTGCTACCTGCGTCGTGTTGAAACAAAGAAATGAGCTCCAGAATTTGGTTTCCGTACCCCTTTAAGGCCACAGAAAGAGATCGGTGGCTAGAGGGAATGCAGACAAAGACTGCTCTGGAAAGCTATAGATTAAACAAAAGAGTTATTGCCAAAGAAAGCATTTATGACAATTCTAGGGGAAGCTCATTGCTGTTTGAGGCAAGAACGGGTGTTCTGCGAACCAGAACATACAGATTGAAGTACCAGGAAATGGATACAGTGTGCACTGCTTGTGGAGAGGAGGACGAGACGGCTGAGCACTTGATACTCTACTGTAAAGGGCTTCACCCTATGCCTACCGAAGACAACATAGATTTAATAAAGTCATTGGGTTTTAGAGACAGCGAAGGGAGAGTGGATTTCAAGACTGTAGAGATTACCAAGCAAAGATTAAGTGAATGGTGGCAGAAATCGAGAGAAAACTAGGTATTTTCTTATTCACTGATGGCAAGGGGGTTTCATAGCCTCACTTTCTTTGCACTGCGGAGTGAATATAGATTTCACATTTAAATATTCTAAGCTTAAATGGTAAAACAAAATGGCTAGGTGGCGTAAGCTACCGCCCGATCCAAAGGGCTCAGCCGTATTCATCCATCCATCCATCCATCCGGAGTCGGACGGACGCCACGGACGCGGTAGAGAAGAGTCGCCATCGCCCAAGTTGGCGTCGTTATGAAAATGTCAAAACTACAGCTGCGCTTCGCCACCGTGGTGTGTACACACACCACGGTGGCGGCGGTGAACTTCGAGGATGGAAAGATGCAGTTCAGCGATCGGAGGGCACCCAGGAAAGACCGGACGGAAGAGAACACGCCGCGGAGAGCACAATGGCGAAAATGGCGGGAGGTCTACCTCGAAAATGTTCGACTGTTGTGACAGAGATTGCAAGGTGGGAGCGCTACCGCATCTTATCAGGACTTCACCTGCGCAACGCAGGATCACGGGTGAGCACCTTTCTTCGCGCGATGGGAAGAGAAGCTGAGGATGTCTTCACTAACAGACGCCAGCGGCCGATCTTCCTTCATCTCATGATATACCACCTCTGAAAAAGCGATTTAACCGTCGCAAGCAAGTGGCTAAACCCGGAGCGTGTACGTCACCGAACCTATTTAGTTTCATTCTCCAAGTTTTTGACAATAAAGTCTTGTCAATCTTCCATTTTGTGCCGTGTTTCATTGTTGCTGGAGTTGGTACCAACTCCAACTGGGACCAGTTGTAACTGGGACCAATTCCAACTGGGACCAGTTGCAACTGGGAATTGTTCCATAAACCAGTTGCAACTGGGACCAACTGGTCCCAGTTGGACGACTCCAACTGGGACCAGTTGCAACTGGGAATTGTTCCATAAACCAGTTGCAACTGGGACCAACTGGTCCCAGTTGAAAATTTTCGCCTGGGGTAATTGATGAGATCACTGCATTGATCCCAGGATATTAAACAAACATTTGTGGAGAAAAACAAAAATGAGACGGATGCATTAACCAAACGGCAACGGAAGATTTAAATCCTCACTAATTTTCTCAGTGCACACGACACCACAAATACGTGGCGTGAAAAAATACGGACTCTATTCGGCCGACAAATGTAGGGCTTGGCAAGTCCCCAAGCATCTTATCATTGCTCGGTAGCCAATCAATGTTGGCGGAGACAAGGGGAAGAGTTGTCAGATGTAGCTTGACTTGCCCCAAGACCCAAGCCCCTCCCTGCGTTGCTGTCAGTGACACTTTCTTTTTACGTTGTCCTCTTGTTTGTTCGGGACAGCTAGAAACAACCATAAAAGCGAAGCACTTAACAAAAAAATATATTTCAGTCGAAGAAAATGCCGAGGAACTGCTCCACCCCCTCCACGACTCCGCCAAGCGAGGGAATTTGCACTTCCTGGAAGAGTGTCTCGCCAACAAGGTGACTCGCTCATAAGAAATCTCGCTTCTGTTTGTTGCTTTGCACAGAGTCTTAAATTTACGGTACAGTGACGTAAAGAGCTCGACTATTACTTGGGGGCATTCGAGTGTTCGGCGAGGTAAGAAACGTAGCTCGAGTTGCAGATCGCCACAATCGAAAGCCAACACCAGTTGGTAAACTGTATCACTTCGTTTGTGCTCCCGCTCTACTTGTATGTACCTAAAACGACTAAAGTCGCCAAGGGGACGAGATATGGGAGGGCGTCTCGGATGCCCGGCCGAGACGTCGCCTTCCACCGGTTTTCTACTGCACACGCGCGCTCAAAGCTCACGAGATGCCAAAGCGTCATCTAAGGTAGAAAGCTCGCGCTACAATAATCGTCGTTCCCAATCGGATGCGATTTGTGATTGGTCACACTTCGGTGCCTGCCACCACCAAACAAAATCTCTTAATGAGATCGAGATGTAGATACCTGCAAGAGTCGTTCGCACTTGTACCTCTATGTTTTTGATTCTAACTTTTCGGGGAATCTTCACGAACTTGAGCTTTGCATGCACGCTGTTCTCAGATGCCGCATTACCGAAATAGGCGTCTCAACTAGGAGCGTGCACATACTGCTTCGAACTGAATAGTGCGGTGTCGCTCCTAGCTTTGCCATTGCAGAGAGATGATGTGATCGATTTGAGCCGAAAGTGAGAAAGCACTCGTCCGTTTGTAGGTTCCCGTAAACAGCCTCGACAAAGCGGGCTGCACCGCGCTACACTGGGCGTGTCACGCCGGACATGTGGAGTGTGCCAGGATCCTGCTTTCTGTTCCCGGAGTACACATTGACGCTCAGGTACGTACGCAATCCACGCAACATCATTGCGTGAGTACACGCGATAGATACGCCAGGACGCTCGAAATGTCACGGGAGATGCCGACCCACAGTCAAACACAAAGTGCGGAGGAACCTTTGAAGCAAGGCACCCCGCGACGCGGCCCACACTTTAAACCGGACGGTCTCGCTGAGTGTCGGCAAAGCGCGTGTCCAGGTTCCGAGGTTTTGAGGTTTCTGGAAACGAATTTGTTTGATTGCGTCATTCGTTGGCAGAGTTCAGCCTGCTTGAGCAAAACTTTAACGAGACGCACCGCGTCTTCTTGCAGAACAAGCTCGGCGACACGGCACTCCACTCAAGTGCATGGAAAGGACACGCAGACATCACCAGAATGCTTCTAGCATCAGGCAGGTTTCCTCAGTTTCCCTCGAGGTTTTGGGGTACCATAGTCTATGACAAGACGAGAACCGTGGGGTGGCCTCCTGCACGTGCTCACTGCCCTTCGCCGTGCACGGCTTGCGAGGTGCTGAAGTCTTATTGAAGCTAGGAAGCACGCACTGCAAGCAAGACGCTTAAAGGAGCCTCCTGCTGTCCCCATCTTGTCGGCGACTACGGCGCTTAAAAGAGGCACCTTTTGGGAGAAATCTGACACTTGGACCTTGACAGGTGCCGACAAGACCTTGAAGAACGGGGAAGGAAGGACTCCCCTGGAACTCACGACCGATCCCGAAACCGTCGCTCTTCTTAGGACGTCGACACGGAACTGTGAGCATGGTGCCCAGATTCGGCGGGCGTACCATTTCGTAGAAGCGTTATAGTGAACGAAACTTTTGGGCATTTATGACAGCAACGCATGAACTGTTTAAATGTTTTACCTTCGAGCCAAATATCGACGTTTCTGGTCAACCCCATAGACCGATCTCAAGAACTGTAGTCTGCAGGAAGTGGGTGCCACTGCACCAGATGGCTCTTGCCATCGTGTGCTCTGCTCACGCAGACCCACGGCGGGGTTGTCGTGCGCGCAGAAAGACCGTTTCTTACGACGTGCGGCGACCGTGGTGGCGTAACGAGACTGGATGTGAGATCAGTCTACTTGCTTATTATGAAATTTCTCGGTAACTGAGTAACTCTACGCCGTGCCAAGCCTGACAACCACGTTTAACCATTAGCCGTCTCTAGAAATAACCATCCCCGTTAAAAGAACCGAGAGAAGAAGAAACATGTTCTGGATTGCAGTCACTACGGTACTTCTCAAAACTGGAATGACCCAAGTTTGTTCAGAATATGAAGCTTGGCATGCAAAGAAAAAAAAGTTATTTAAAATGACCGTTCACTCAACGTCTGCCGTCTCATTTTCAGCTACGTCCGCAGATGCCGAGGAGTACCTGCAATCTGACGAAGACTCGAGCTAACCTCGCGCACCTTGCACCTTCAAAGAGGGACCCAGTCATTCCAAGAGCGAAAGCCTAACTATATTTTTGTACTTTCCCTGTCTCCAGAGTGGGTCAAATTAAATTTGTTTTTAACGAGTGAATTGTATTACTCAATGCTGGGGTGAACCCAGTTCAAAAATAACCCTTTCATTTCATTTGATTACCTTAAAGACCCCTGGAGGGGTATTGCGTAAGGGTTGGGTATAGACCAACACGAGGCCGTGATGTCACGCACCTGTGGTGGCGCTGTTGACGGCACAACGCATGGGCAGACGCTTCGCTTCACGCGAATTCGGTTTCTGCGCAAGCGCAGTGCCCACACCTGGTGTGGGCAAATGCAGTGCTTGTTTGTAAACAGCATGTTGGTCTATATAAATGGGGCATAGTACATAGATGCCAAACGATTTTAAAGCCAGACATGTGTTGTTACCTCTTCCATGAATGTTGATGGGCAGGTGATTTCAGTAGTGTCGCGAAAAAGGTTGTTCAAGTCCAGATCGGCTCGGGAGGAAAATGAAGCGGAAAAGGTAGTAGTGCGGCTGCTTGGGCGGGCAACCGGGAGGGAATGATCGGTGCGCTGCGATAAAGCGGCAAATGAAATATCTTATTGAACAAACAAAGGCTGGTGCTGCGGCAACGACTGAAAAGAGGCGGGAGCTCCGATTCAGCTTTTAAGGATGATATTGTATGAATCAACCAAGTAGCACGATTTTGAACAGCTTCGAGTGCTTTGGTTAGATATATTTGGCGTGGGCTCCAGATTACAGATGCGTATTCTGGCTTTGACTGCTTGAGCAATTCATAGGAAAGTACTTTTACGTGCTGCGGGGTGAGGTCTGGAGATGACGCTTCAGGAATCCCAGCGATTTGTTAGCGGATGAGATGGTGTCAGTAATACGCTTGCAAAAGGCATAAATTGCTGCGCAGGATGCGACCAAGTTATTTATACGATTCGACTAATTATACGGGGGTACGAGTGATGGCAGAGGGGAATAGGAGGCGGTTACGGCAAAGGTGGAGAGGCACAAGTTTGCATTTACTGATGTTAAGTGTCAAGAGCCAATGGTGGCACCATTCCTGAACATCGTTGAGGTGAACTTGTATGGCTTGTTCGTCTGAAACGTGGATGACAGAGTAGTAAATAATGCAATCATCGGCAAACACCCGGATATGAGAGGAGACATGAAGTAGTAACTCATTGATGTGTATGAGGAAGAGAAGGGGACCAAGGACCGACCCTTGCGGGACACCTGACGGTACTGCAGATAACTGGTTATTAATGAGGACTGGCTGAGAGATTATTCGAGAAATCTTTGATCCAATTTAAGTTATAGGGATTTAGATTCAGTTTGAAAGCTTTAGAAGGAAACGTTAATGAGCTGTTTTGTCGAAGGTTTTTGTCAAATCAAAAAGCGAAGAATCTTTGTTACCCGATTTAGAGACTGGAACGACTTTTCCCATTTTCCAGTCCTCTAGAATGCTGCCTGTGAAAAGTGACCGAAAGAAAATTAAACGCAGATATGTGGCGGCAATTTGCTAGACTTACAGCCCCCCCCCCCCCCCCCCCCCCTTTCTTTTAATGCCACTATAGTGCACTCAAATACATATGCAAGTGGAAGGGACTTGTCAGTTTCAGATTGCGTAAACGAGGAACAACTGAAAAGTATTTTTAGTAAAATTCTGTCGAGGCATTTATGCTATTGCAAAGACAACTTAATAATTCAATATCAATCTAAAATTTCTAGTTACATTCCACGCAACAGACCACGAAAGATGCATTTTTTCTATGGTTGGTGACAGTTTAACAACCCAATAATGTTCTGGCCCCAGCACGTGCTCATAACTTTATGCTTGGCTACACTTGTGGCAAAGTGCTCAAAGCGGAGCTTTTACTGGGTCCTTCACTCGACTAAGAATTGTAGGAGGCCCTTGTAGAAATAAGTCATACTCAAATCACCTCACTGGCAAACGAGCTTGTTACCTCAAAGCCATCGATGAAGCATACGGGTAGCATACAGCGTGCAAAAGAGTCGATGCTAACACCACGTCCGCACGTTACTGCATTTTGCATCGAAAGGGTATTGGCAAGCATCAAAAATTCATCATTTGGGTTTGGTTCTTACGCGAGCTGTATCGATCTTCAGCCAAGGCTTCTGCTGGTGCAACGCTGGTGCACGGTATCATTGAACAAGTGACCAACAGTTTGATTGTTTGACCGGCTCATGCTCTTTCGAGGATGAGAGTGGCAGCCCCAGTGAAGCAGCCCCAACTGAAGAGATGTAGACGGACAAGATGCCGGTCTACTATTTTCTTCAGACTTCTACAACTGGTGCAGCCAGATGCGACAAAGCAGCTGTTGTGACCATGCACAGCACCGGTGGCAGGCCACCAAGCAGGGTCACATCAATGCCGCCCTCCTTTTTCGAGTGCAGACCCTCTCACTCCAAAGGTATGCACGGAGTCAGAAGCGTAATAACTGGCTCATAGTTCTGCGACACACGGGGCAGCGAGCCGATTCCCCGACGAGCCTCGTTCCAAAGCGCCCATACTCCGCTTCACCTTTCAATAGACCACAGAAGATGCCCCGAGCCACCCCAGCAAATCCAACGCTGCGAACTTATTGCGCGATAATGGGATTTGCGCAAGGGTTCAGCCAATCAAGGAATGGTAATGCAGCCAGAGTCTTCATTCCTAGAACACAAAAGGAGCAGAATTACCGAAAACTCTAAGTAGGAATAGGATGAGGGTGTTCATTCCGCAAAATTTGTTCAAAGCAAGCGCATCGCTGCCCCAGATGTGCGGCCTGGAGAAGCCGGCTGTCGTCCGCACACCTCGGTAAATTCATTCGTGAACTTCTCAATCACCGTCACGCACAATCGTGCACGACTCAGAAATACTTGATGAACTTGGAAGAGTAGACCATTCAGAAAAATCCCACAAGGCCTCTTGGCAACCCCACATTGCACCGCACGGTGCGGGGAATTATGGGGTCACTTCGATGTATGCTCGGGCAGACTTGCAAGCTCCGCACATACTGGAAGCGGCACAATCCCTTCTCCGTTATTGCTGAGTGTCCAGTGCACAAACAAAAGAGAATGAACAGATAACAAAGCCAACACATAACTTATTTTGTTATCATCCTACCTTCTCTGCATTCCAATATAGCAAAATGCTTAACCAATATGAATTACCTCTGTTCACGGGTACTCTTTTACGAACTATACGTTGGACTGCCATGATGCATCGAGACAGTGTGGGCGCTGCATATTTACCCGATTGTCTCTTCATGCGACAGTGAGTTACTCCGTGAGCTCGGAAAATTTACAGCATGATAACGACTTGTGAACTCCAGAGTTTGCTGTGGTAAACGACCTTTTGAATTTGGAATCAATAATGATGTGGACGAGTCCTTGATGCTGATCAACTTCATGTGAAGAGCCCAGGCTTCTGCATGTCAGTGAACTTTATAAATGAGATGCAAATGAATGTGATGGGCTTCAGATTTAGTGAAGTCGTGGCTTGGAGCAATGTTCTCAGATATATCGTGTAACAAGCTCTACGGGGGAGTGTTGTTTGAAAACTGTTGTTTGTTGCCTGCATGTTAGCAGGTCCAGGCAGATAGCATTCCACCAGTGGCAACAGACAACCCTTTTCCAATGACACTCGTTTTGCGCAAACTTTACCATAAAAACCACAAAAGAATCGGTGCCAGGCATTCTGAAAGTTTGTCAACACACTTCGATACAGCAACGTTGGCTTGGAACCTATGGTTGCTCACTCCAAAGCCCCAGAAACTCCGGATAGAACTCCAATTCCCACCGAAGTACCACCTTTCCGGTCAGGAGTATCAAGAAACAAGCGTCAAAACTACTTTTTGGTTGTGGTCGTGCCACATACAAAGGTCACGAGCATCTAAGGTACCAAGTTGACACGAGATACTTTCTGGATCTGTAATATTGCATCACGCAATCAGACACTAAGGTAATCCAAGCACAAAGCAGAGTAGAACCCATCCGAGAGGTTTTATCCCATTTATTTTTACGAGAGCTCAGTTGCGCGGTCCACCCCTGAAGGGTCCCAGTGGTGTTGTCTGGAGGCCGGGGATGTTGTTCATCTCCTGTAAGCACAAAGAGAAAAAAAGAATGTCAGCTAGAATTTTGATTATAAACACCAACAATGAAAACTTTCTTGCCAAGACTCTATGGAGAGACTGAGTAAATTATGATCAAAGCATGCAGTTGGGTTACCTACCGTATTTGCACGAATATAACGCAACCACGAATATAACGCGAGGGCAGGTTTTGATGCCCTCAAAAAGAAAAAAAATAAATATTATTACTATTATAACGCGAACCGATGCCGCGTCAATTTCTCGCACTCGGGGGCATAACAGATGTGAAAAGTCAATGGAAATAGAAAAAATATCAGTTTATGTTTTGACTGCACTCATCCTCACAGCTCAGGTCCTTCCGTTTACAATCCACTTGGTGACTACGCAGATAAGCAGCAGCACGGCACCTGCTTGTCTGGTAGTTCCTTTTTCTTATGTGCGAGCTCCTCGGCAGCCCCCAATCCAAACAAAACACGAAGAAGAAGCACCAACACACAAACACCGGATCACTCTGGAGCAGAAACTAAGCAATGCGCAGCAGAAAAAAAGACTGCTGAATCCGATACACGATCACACTTCTTGTTCTGGTCCCTCTGCATAAACAAATAACTCGTTTTCCCAGTTTTGCACGATTGCGTAAACCTTAGCGTAAACGCGGTTAGTGGTCTTGGCTTGGCTTGACTTGACTTGGCCCGGCTGGGATTGGCTTGGCTCGAATTGGCCGGTGCCCGCATTCCCGCATGGTGTGTGCGCGCGCGCACGCGCTGAGTTTCTGCGGCGTGCGCGCGTTGTACAAACACAAAAATGATAAAAATGCTTTTGTATGTTTTCTATTCGTCCCTTCACGTGGCCCAATAGCTAATAAATTCCCTTCCACACTCCCACTTCTTTTCCCACCGGATATTTTGCATTGAGCCGAAGGGATGGCTTTCTGCTCTGGCTTTCTCCAGACTCGCGCGCCTCGTGGCTGAACTCGATTCCGAATATAACACAAGGAGCGTTTTGGAGCACGTAATTTCGGAAAAAAACTCGCGTTATATTCGTGCAAATACGGTAATACATATCAAAAAAAAGAGCTGACACAACAAAATTGTTATTTGAAGGTCGGCACCTCACGATTCTCCAACTTATCCTTGCACTTTTGCGCCGTTTTTGTTTTCACAGTGAAGTCACTCCACACACAGAGAACTCATTGATACTTAAATAGAACCTATGCGATTGGCAGCAGCCTTACTGCTTACACCTATAAATTTTAGATTTACTGTAGCCTATGAACTGAAGATGAATGAGCAACAAGGTAAAACTAAAAAGTGGATGTGGGATACTCCACAGATTTATGCAAGTGAAACTTGAGAGGTTACCACATTTCCTGACATTTGTATATCCGGTAAAGGTTCAAATCAATCGCACTTGTTGCACCGCTGCATGAATCTCGACTAAGCGCGTACAACATCTACGATCTGCGAGGCTGCGAGAAGCTGCGTTGTGCCGGGCAAAAACGGGTGTTCTCACCAGAGCCTTCATCATCTCCATGGTGTCTGGGTCCACCTCGATCACATCCTGTTCCAGTGCGGACACCTGCAGACAAACATACGGCATCCAGTGAGACGAGTGGAGAAGACAAGGCTTTGAATTTAATATCAATACAAAGTGAGCAGCAGGAACATAGAGGAGCGAACATGTCGCAGCCACGCCAGTTGGGGTGCATATCGAAAAGGGAGCGATGCCCTGTTACGGTGGCAATTATGCGAGCAGTTGTTGCCGTCAAGCGTAGACCTCTTAGTGCATGCCCGGTTTGTAAAACTGCGGCAAACAAATAACCCCCAAAAAGCTATCAACCCGATAAAACTGATTGCTGCGAACGCAAGGCACAAAAGATTTAGGACCTATCGTCTGTTGCAGGTAGCAGGACAAGTTCTCCTGCAAAGCCTTTTTCTATTTCCACTTTAGCAGAAAAAAAGCTGGAGAGGAGGAAACAACCAATAGGTTTATCAGAAAGCTTTGTGGGAGGAGCTTTTCCCACTAATCCAAACCTGCAACAGAATATAGACCATTCCACTAAGCGCCGTTTCCACGCTCTCTGGGAATTTCAACGGATTTGGCGGGGTAAAAGAGACAGAGCGCAGGCGCGCAGACAACAAACCGGCTGTCCTCAACATTTGAGTAGTACCTGTGGGTTGTAGCAAACATCTAAAGATCGCTCGCTGCTGCCGTTGTGAAATGGTTCGCATTTCTAGACGATATGTGGCTACCCCAGGATGGGCCTCTTGGGCTCCGCTGTTTTATTTCAGTAAATGATCAGCTAGCGTATCTTCGTTCAGTTACTTCAATAGCAATAAAGTCAGCCGGCAGTACTACCCTCAACCGCTTTGTATGTTGCATCCACAGAAAATAGAATCCTAATGGTACAATTTACTTTGAAAAAATATTGCTTGGCTTCTGTGAAATGCCGTGCAAACCTGCTTACTTCGAGGTTAGGAACAATACGACGTAGAGCAGATTTCCTTGCATGTTCCCAGCTATGGGCGATAGGATTTTGTTGGGTAAGGAAGCACCATCACATTGAGATTAGCTGCCTCTTTTAGTGTACAACTTTTGCCGAAAACATGCTGACGTTGCTAAGTTTTCGGCGGTGCACTAAAGTCAATTGCACACCCATTAGTCGCTTCCCAAGTACCACATACGCGTAAACATCACATGTTATTCTAGTTACAAATATCCACCACAACAAATACAAATAAACCACCACAAATATCAATCACAATGCAAGCCCTCTGACGTCTTTATATCAAAGGCTAAGCAGGCAACAAATTCTGCGCCTTCATTTTTCACCTAAAAAAGAATATTTCCTCTAGTTGATTTACTATTTAATAAGCAGTTTTTTTTTTCCAACATTTTTTACAGTTGCTAAAGGCCTAAATCATTGCGAACTTCTATCAAGAAGTTGCTACAACTGCACAGACTTTTTGTCAGAGACGACACACCGATGGCAGCGTTTAGTTGTTTTCCCTTTTCGTTTTTGATATGCAACGCAGCTGACAGCCGAATTGTGTCCGGTTACTCTCTTTATCAGGTATAACAATGTATGATAACCAGTGTGTCTAATTATCAATTTGAGGTGCAAATTTTGCACCTCAAATTGCCAAAACGACAAGATGTTAAACTGTATTTGCACGCCAGACGGGTGTATGGTACTGCCCAGTCTACGGAGCAGACGACGCGCCGAGGTGAGAGAAGTCATTTGCCCCTCTCTGTACTACACCGGTGGAATGGTCATAGGTGACGCAAGCTACTACCCCTTTCAAAACGTACAGATGCAACCACCTACCCCATACAAGAGAGAAAGGAGGTTCTTACCTCTGGGACGTAGTTGTCCCTTCGCTCCCTCTCCTCTTCCTGGAGCTTGATGGAGATGCCACGCACAGGACCACGCTGGATGCGCTTCATCAGATGAGTCACAAACCTGCAGAAGAAAACAGATGCCAGCATGAAGCAAACATGCACATCACCATACAAAGCTTATTCCGCAGTTAGAACTGGCAACGACACCGTCCCACACGTGCCCTGCTTGATGAGATCGCACCCAATACTGACAATGTCAGGCAACGGCAGCATGGCTCCGGGTGCTATGCACCTAAATTTGGATAATTCAACTTAATGTCTGCTTCGGTGGAAGCAAACTTGCGCAGTGGACAGTGGATAGTGTTAATAAAGGACTGGGGTTTCTATTGCAGTGTTCAACCTTTTAAGGGTACACAATGTTCATTTCAACAAGCCCCCATGTTTAGAATGCAAATGACTGGAAAGCAAAGTGATGGGTAGCACTGCCTTCACACCCCATGGGCCACATTTGCTTTGCCCAGTACCCCCTGAACATACTTCACGATGGGGTTTCCGTTTATTACACAGCAATGCAAACTAGCATTAACAGTGGTCATTGATGACTCTTGGATACTGGACGTGCTGATATAATTGCAAGATTTGCTGTAGATTCCTCCAAACTTGCTTTACATAGCAATGTTCTACCAAATACGACTATATGTTTGTGGCTTCAACCTTGCATCCATGTGTACGCTTTTCCAATGCATCAGCACAGTTATCGCTCAGTGACAAAAGTTCTCCCGGTATCCAACAACTGTTCCGAAGCACAGTGACGCATCAACTACACCACTGGCTGCTAATCCGCGACAAGCTTGTTTGAAAATCTTCATCATTAGCCCGTTATAACAGCAGTCTGAACGTGTATGGATGTTACCGGTGAGTGCAGATGACCAGTGGCCAACGATAGCACGGCATGCAGAGTCGGTTGTTAGCGCTTCTGATTCCAAAAATTGGCACAAAAAAAGAAAAAAAAGAGGTGCCACAACTCCAAGAGCATTAAGAGCAAGAGATTGACATGGTGGGTGTAACAGCTTCAAAAAACGAGGAAGAGAACTTGAAAGACCGCCCGAGTTCTCAAGCAGCGTTAGGATTTCTCGCAGAAGACATGGACGCGAACTGCAAACGCATTCGGCTCTGTAGGAAGTTAGACGACTTACCCGGCGATTTTGTTTTTGAGCTTTTTACTGGGCACAGCAGCGATCTCCTCGCAGATCCTCTTGTTCGTGTGGAAGTCAAGGGTCAGCCGTGTGTAGTACTTCTCGATGATGAGGCGCGAAGCCTTCTTCACGGTTTTGGTCCTGACACGACCCTAGAAAAACCAACATACTACCGGTTAGAATGAAATCGAGGGAGCGTCACAACATGCACAGCAGCCGCTAACAAGAGCTGCCAACGAAAACGCCGTGATCGTCTCACCATGCTTGCAGCGGATGAATTTACTAGTTTATCTGCTTAAGTTTCACGGAAACTATTAATGATAATGAATGGGATATGTATCCGAGAAACATTCGACAAAACGACAAATCAATATTTATCTTATTAACGGCGATTAAGCGCGATTGTTGAGATGGATTAGGAAGAAAATACCAACCATTTTTGCAGCTCGGAGAGAAAAGGCCTCTTGTTGCCAACACTCACGTGGGATTCCGTCGTTTGAACTACAAAACCGCTAAAAGCAACTTTGCTTTCTTTATTTATTGGTAAAAACACAAAAGTAAAGTTAGCTTCAATCAAAAGCAGTAATTATTTAAATTCACGCTTTTTAATTCTTGGTAACAAATATAAAAATAAATTTAGGAGTGATTATCAAGCATTGCAGTTTGATCCTTAAAAGAAACTCTATGGACGTCCGTTAGGGCTCAGAAATACATGCGTCCGATTAACGAATCAGCAATGGACTCGAGTTTGGGTTTCAAAATGGCGGCTGAAGTGTGTTTCCAAAAAAGATACACAACACATCGAGCGATTTTGTTTACCTCATGCCAACTGTGAACTGAGTGAGCAAAAACCCTGCCCGTGAGTAAAAGCCGGAGCCAGCCCCAAACGAGCGACATTGCACGGGTTGCCGACGCGTCAAAGGCACGCTGGCGCGCGTCGTTCCAACGTTGATCTTCGGACCGCGTTAGGCTTAAGGGCTCCTAGTGTTCCTGCGATGCCGTGAGCGGGCAACTACCACGTTCAACGCTGCAAGAAAAAATAATATCCAAAGATTTTACAGACGCTGTATGCACGCTTATCTACGTGGACAGTCCTCGAAATTGCGATCGGGGTGCTGCTAGTTTATTTCCCGCCGTACACGAACGCGGTCATAGCGTCCGAGGCACCGACGTTGCGGTGAAGTGGTGATGCGTGAATCGTGATCGACTCCGCTGTGGCTGCGGCATTCGAAAGAAAAAAGTAAAACGTGATCTTCCGATCCCGAAACCGCAAGGATGGCCCTCAACGAACCAAACCTGGTCAAGAAACTGACGTCCGTGACGAACACGCAAGACAGTGTTCAAACGTTGGCACTCTGGATTATCCACCATCGTGCGCACCACCGAAAGATCGTGGACATTTGGGCAAAGGTGCTCAAGAAATGTAAGCAGGCTATTTTTGTATAGTCCAGTCTCCTTAAAAGAGCTGACCTTAAGGTTCGATAGCATTGCATGAGATCGGCTGTAAGGCAGTATGAAAGTTCTGGCGACCGGGTTCGGGCCCCTGCCTCGATAACCCAGCAGACATCGTTTGCTAGGCACCAAAATATACGAGGCTGCAACGGGTTTTATTGCAGCTATCAGTGGCGTAGCGTTTGGTTATTTTGTGGCGCTTACGCAGTTTATTATCTGTAGTCTTGCGGGGAAGCTGTCTTCTCAGTCATTGATTCCACAAGAAAGAAAAAAAGGTATTGGATAATTCACGTGGAAGTTCTTTGCTATTCGAGGCGAAAGTCGTATAGGGCTAAATTTCGAGAGATGGACACATTATGTTACGGAAATATTCTCTGGAAAAGGGGAACAAAGGACAAACACAAATTTCCAAACACAGCTAGGTGTCTGGTGCGCGACCGAAAAAATCCGCCTGGTCCGGGTATCGAACCCGGGACCTCTCCGTTTCCAGTGGAGCGCTCTACCAACTGACCTAACAAGGAGTTTGACGTCAATAGAGAGAACGCGTTTTAAAAGGGATTATTTTCGTCATTCTTGTCCGGCTCGCTTGCACCTTTGCATTATCATCATAACCTTAAAAATGCAAGGCATTCACCCTTACTGGTGTTGAACTGGTGGTAGCTGATAAAACCCGTTTGCTCTATTGGCGTCTAACTCCTGGTTAGCTCAGTTGGTAGACCGCTCTACTGGAAACAGAGAGGTCCCTCGTTTGATACCAGGACCAGGACACTGTCTGGTGATGGTTACAAACAAATGCAGAGGGGAAGCAAATTGGCTTCTAAGGTGGATGGCAGGAATAATACTTCTGGTCTGTAGGCAAGGTGGCACAAGCTACCGCCCAGTATAAAGGGTACAGCCATTAGCATCTGTCCATCCATCCTTACTGCGTCGAGCAAACACTCGTAATATTAAAGGGGGGAAGGGGGGGTGTTGATTCGTAAAACGTGTGCAATTAGAACATTGCCTGATCACAGTTGTTTTGTTTCTCGTCAAGCTTATGTAGTTGTCGGTGGCACACGCAATTTAAATTCCCCCCGCCCTCCCCCCCTGAAAAAAAAAAAAAAAAAAATATATATATATAAATTGTGTAGGTGTTAACTTATTAGCCCCGAGAGCGAACACAAGCGTCGCTGCGGTCACCGCGCCCTGATTGGGTGAGGTGTACCGTGACATCAGGGCGATGACTCCGCTCCGCGGTCTCGCATCGGCTCGCTTCCCAGCACCGGTTTCCTGGTTTGCCGTTGTGTGCCGCAAGCTCTTTGAGGAGCTGGACTTCGTTTACCCGGTGTACAGGACGTTGAGTTGACATGCTTGATATTGCCGATATTGACATGCTTCCGTACATTTTATAAGCCTGCTGGTCCCTTTTACCTTTAAAATTGGGTTACAAATCCCGAAAGGTAGGGGCGGAGCCTATTCCTCCGGTGAACTTCCCCGTCCGTCCACACCACACAAGGCGATTTTGCGAGGGATTGGTGAAGCGGTGGCGCAAGTGTTTCAGACGCTAGAATTCTGTTCCTTGCATGTTCATGATTTAGAAAGATATTACATCCCGCTTTCAAGGCATTTGAAGGGGCATTTATATCATGGACCTTTGGGCGGTCGGCAAATTTGCTCGCGACCCCGACTTTGCGCTGCCACTCTGCATGCGCTGGTTCGCAGATGTTTTAAAGGCCCTGTGTCTGATTATCTTTGAAGTGCTCGTGGAACAGGGGTGTTTCACATAAATGTAGCTTCTTCGTGAATTAATTATATAGTTTATACACATATGCAGGCATACTTAGAAAATGCACAATTATTGGAAATTAGTTTGTATAGTAGCAAAAACGGCCGAATTGCCCCCAGTTGCCTCTATGATATGTATTGAACTGCCCAAAATATGCACAGCAATAGTGCCAAAATTTGGAATGTTTATACTTTTTATGGACGTTTTTATTCCAGCCTTGGGCATTCGGAAAATACACTGTTTAGTCTGAATTCTCATTTCCAATTAAAAGAGACACTGGTGCAGGTCTCCAAAAGCTTCCTCAGCCTCCAAACTTCCTACAGCTGGACTCTCTGACAACAGAGGAAAACAGGAGTAAAAGCAAGCATTCAATTGTCTGTCCAGTAGTAGATACAGCACTAGTAGCATAAAATGTGGAACCTGTGAAGGGCGACAGTCTGCGTGAGAAAAGCTTCTGGTATTTTAGCTTTAGGACAATTCGATTTAAGTAAAATCTCAATTTTAGGGCTTAAGTGACTAATAATGAGCTAGACACCTTCGATTACGTTTGTTATACATTACTTGAGGGTTGATATAAACAAGTCCACAGATACCACCCGTGTAGTCCATTGAAGTACTATCCGAATCCAGCAAAGGTCAAATGCGAGCAATGTATATAATAAATGTTCCTTGTTTTGTTTTTTTTTACTTTGCCCGTGCACTTGGGTTGTCTTACTTGTGATTATCTCCCCATGGCCCAGACTGTATTTAGCATGTTGCTCGAGCAGCATGCATCTTTTCTGCTTCGGCGATCTTGTTTAAAAACAGAGATAGAAAAAAATAGTATACATAACCTGCCAATTCACTCAGACCATCAGCAGCATTTATTGTGCGAGATGTAAATCTATAGTGATGCTCCTGCAATTGTGGCCGTATTTCTTTATTTTCATATACCACTCCGATTCATGCGTTGCCTGCCCTGTCAACCATGCTTAAAATGTTGGTTAAAGTTTCGCCTGTAGCTACAGGCTATATATACCTCAATAAAGGCACATATAAAAATTTACACTTCCTACGAAAAACACGCCAGAAAAAATTAAATAGAAACGAGCGCGCCGACAGCTAGCGTCGTCACAGCCTCCACAGGGCGAGCGGCGCGAGTTGGGGAAAAATTCTCTCCTCGCCGTGACGTCACCGCGGTTTGCCGTAAGGGGGCGCCACGCGAACTTCTCGGGGCTAATAGTCTCACTAGTAGTTGCCACACGTAACTCGTGTAGTTTATGTGACATGACGGAACCTAAGAGAGGGAAGGGAAAGGAAAACACGTAAAAAGAGGGGACAACACACTTCCGTGGTCTATGGCTGCTTCACGCAGTAAACCAAGGTACCAATTTTTTTTATGAGATCTTTGCCTGAAGTTGCATGGCGTCCTCCACATTCTTCATTGCCTTTTGTCTCTCCCCCCCCCCCCCCCCCTTTTCCCCCTTCAAAATGTATAATTTTGAATAACATTTACAACTCATTGCACTTTCCACCTTGTTAGTTTTGTAGCGCAGAAAACACGTAGACGTCCGGGCTACTTAAGTAAAAACCTATTTAATTGTCATTACAAATTCGGAGCTAGCTAGCTGACCGAGCGCCGAGATCAGGTGGAATGGGAATGGCGGTTGGTCAGAGCACCAGCTTCAGAGGCGCGTGTTCATGCCCCAGTGGTCTTTCTCTCGTGCAAAAGCGCACTGATGCTTGTCGGCAATGTTTCTGCTTTACTGCCATCTGTTGGGCCTTTTGACTGCCACAGTTTTTACACCATTTGTCTGGCCTAAAAAAAGACAAGCTTCTATTAAAATACCCTTTGCATGATTAAAACAAAAAGAAATTGTTTTTATTGTAGCTGTAACAAAAAAATATTTTGTTACAATTGCAAGCGATTCTTAGAATGATAAACTTTAAAAGTGGTGCTTTTACAATGGGCAGATTTTCAATGATATAAATTTCATCAAATCAGTCAATTCTCAGACAAGCATCGAGAAAAGCTAGCAGGTGGACGGTATTGTACGACGGGCGAGATGTCGGTAAAATTCTTACAGAGCCAGTGCTGTTCACTAGAGTTCTGGTATATGCTCACAGACAAGCTCCAAGCATGGATCGTATTGATTTCTCCCCCTCTTTTCCAAAAAAATTCAAAAACTCAATTTTCCCTCTCGCTCCTCTGTTCAGAATTTGTGAAAACTGGCATAAATTCCCAAGACATCCAGGCCTGCCTTGCTCTGTTTCACGTAAAAGTACAACCAGGGAACAAAGACTTCAGGTGCACATCATAGTTTATCACTACTTATGACACGACGTGGTTATGGGAGCCGCAGTTCGTGCAATGAGAGAATACGGGGAGTCATAATGTGATGCGGCCAGTCACATAAAAATACCAATGTCTGAATTAGCCTTCATGGTGAGACCGAGTATACCTAGACTAGATTTTCCTGCATCTAATAATGAGGAAAGTCTAAATGTTTTTCGGCACTTATTTATTTTTTAAAGAGACAGCGTATTTCGGTGAGTTGTTCGATACAGACAGTAAAAACTGTGATATCTGGCAAAAGAAAACTAATAAAAAACTGAGAGTTTGAGTTTATTTCGCGATTTGAATGCTTCTTCAGGAAGCTTTATGGCTCTCGTAATGCAACAGCACTTGCAAAGCACTGGCAACAAGACCGAACACGGACCAAAGTCCGAGTGCTCTTTACCATAGTTGTCCGGAGCTTTTAGTTTTTTTCGTATCCTGCTAGAGCTACTGCTCTGTGTGATGACACAAATTGAATTTTTCTTGAGCGCAATGTTTCTGCCAAGAGGAAGGCAAGCAGATCTTGCTTCTTTCGCGAGATTAGTCCAGTGCCGACCGTCGACGTACAGTCGTCCAGCTCTGATCTGAATTGAGCAAAGACCCTGCGACCATTCTTGTTGACCGCAGGTTTGTTTCACTTTAAGTCTGACCGCAGCCAATACTATTCGATGGAGCCAATGAGGTAGTGGCAAAAGTTCATGGTCGTGGCACTCATTGTCTTTGTGGGTTCGCCATCACCGGCCAAACCAGTCATGCGCAGACAAAAAACGCAGGGTCACGGAGGAGAGAGGTTGTTGTTAGCAAGGAGGAAGTAGGGGAAGTAAAGGAGAGTCAGTCGTGAAACGAGCCTCCACGTTGGGGCAGTTCCGGCGGAGCAACCCACCGTGACTGCCCAAACGATGAGAATGGCCAGTGCCCTTTCCCTCTTCTATCCCGCCAAATTGGCTGGACCGTCCGCGCAGGATGGCCAGTTTGTCGCTGGGATGGGGCACATGGCCTTCCTTGCTTTTATCCTGACAATTCCGTCAAAATGTCTAGACGGCGTCGCAGTCGAAGAAAACGGCGCCGCCCAGAGAGCCCTTAGCGGAACGGCCTACAGCCAAGCTCAACAGATTGCTGTGGAGGTTCGGGACGTAAACGGCTAGTTTGGCGCGACTCCCCAGACGTAGGAACGGTGAGCGAGCGTGCGCATTGTGCCCGCAGCCAAGCCCAGCCACCGGCTGACCATGCTGTACCTGGCCAACGACGTGCTGCAGAACGGGCGGCGCAAGGGGGTGCAGCAGTACATCGAGTCCTTCGGGGAGGTGCTCCCCCACCAGGTGCCCCTCTTCCGGGACGAGAAGATCCTCAAGCAGGTGGACCGGGTCTTCACCATCTGGAGCGAGCGCTCCGTCTACCCCTCGGACTTCACCCTGGGACTCAAGGACATCCTCCGTAAGTGCAGTGCCCGGCGCGTGTCCCCGACCGGCGCGCTTACCGCTTTTCAAAAAGTGGTCCTTTGATTTCTGTCAGCTCGGTCTCGTTGTGCCTTCTCGGTGCGCTTTTCTCTTTGTCGGCTTGCAACAGAGGGAAGTGCTCGTAGATTTTTCTAGTGCTTTCTGGCAATTTGCCTCTCAGTCTTCATTTATAATTTTGTATAGACGGAGGCTGCCCCCGTCTGGCCGTCGAAAACTGATGGCTAAAGTGCAAGCTGCTGTAGAGACAATTTGTCGTCGTTCCTGCGGCGTGCTCCGCAGATGGCTGGATAGTAGAATGTACTGTAGCCGACTTAGTTTTAACGAATTCTCTATGATTTGCCAAAAATTCATGGCGCTAACAAATCGGGCAGACTTTATTTTCTTGTAACGAGAACCCGAGGACGGCACTAAGGAAGTGCTAATCTGCCTTTCATTCTTCCAGACAACAATACTTCTGTGGTTGAGCAAAAGCATGATGCTCTATGGAAGCGTTTGAAAGCCTTCTGCACCTTCCGTTTCGCAAAATTTAGTTTAAAAAACTTTAGCTTGGGCCGTATATACAAAATGTTAACCTGGGGAAAATATGTAATTTGGATTACTACTTAATTGCCTCATTTTACACCAGGCATGTTGCAGGTCATCAGTTTCTGCCTGCCTGAGGCATTTACAGGGTTACTTATCAAAGCATGGTTTCCTTTTTTTTTTTTTTCGTTTATTCTGCAAAAATTAAGCTCTTGGCTACGAACCGTCACACTTCATAGGTCTTCATCATATTGTGTTTTATGGTCCCTGTAACTTTAAAATCTACTCACCGAAAGACTTCTCGGCTTCTGGACACGTGATGTCCAGAGGCAAACAAATTCCGTGCACCGGACAACCATTGTCCTCCACAGAAGAAGATTGTAGCACAGGATGAACTTGTACTTACCATCTTGATCTTGTATTTTCTTTTTATCTTTCTCAGACAAAAGGACTGGCGAAAAGCTGCAGCAGCATCACCACCATCATCACCATCATCATCACTCTTCTACCGGTGATGGTGAGACTTTCCCTGCACAGCAAAACTCCTATAGTGACGGGCCGAATGAGAATGGTAGGGCATGTCTTTCAGATGCCCGGCCTCCCGTAAGTGCTTCGTGTCTTCCACTGTGCTTTGGCTGCGTGCACGTGCACGAGACGCCGAAGCACTGTTGAAGGTAGGAAGCTCGCGCTGGAGGAAGGAGAGCTAGAGGTTCCTCCCTGCCATCCTTACCCTGTCAGTGATTGTAGCCAGAACCAACTTGGAAGACCTGTCTTGCACCGGCATGCAAAACGGGTCCTTCCAACAAACGGACGTCCTCATCGGGTTCGGTTTCCAATTTTCTCGTTTCAGAAGGAGCTCAGCCAGCAAAGGAGCCCAGCAGAAAAGGTGAGGTGGCAAAAACGAACAAAATAAAGCCAGGCAGACTGCTAACTGACGCAATTCTTGCATCGCAGATAGCGGCAAGCTCAAGACTCCAGAGGTGGAGAAGATCATCCTAGAGTTCAAGGTGAGAGACGTCACGGATAGAGCCCATCTTTGTTATGAGTGCGTAGTTGTAGATACAGAGTGTTTTTGTTTCCCTTTTGCAGCCCGAGAAAGTCATTGAGAAGATCAAGAAGTTGAAGAAGGTGGAGAACGACTCTGTCATCAAGTTGGCGGCGCTGACGAGTCGCAACATGGACGTGTCCAGCTCTGAAGTTCTGCGCAAGTTCAAAGGTAAGTTGATATTATGAGGGCGCCACAACATATCGTGCCTCTGAAATTTTCGGTGCAGTGCGCAATCGACCATAGGGGACGACGACTGTCGAATAGAGAAATTTCTGGGAACTCGTAATTTAAATAGTAGATCTGCAATAACTTGCCCGTATATTGGTGTATTAATTGACAGGATAGGACAAGAACGACAGGGCATGCAGGGTTCACTGGCAGAGAGCAGTAGCGAGTTTGTTTCACAAACAAGTAGTTGTGAGTAATGCCTGCTTGAGCGCAAATGTGCAAATAGATAAAATACAAGTTGATCCACAGAGTCCATCTTCAAGACTCTGATCTGCATCAAAACTACTTTGTGCCAATGGGTCGTGCAGAAAGTCTGTTTGCTGCTCATTGGCGTCGAAGTTTAAATGTCCTTCAGTGCGTTTGTCACAGGCCTACGGCCGGTTATTAGCAGATGAGAAGTTGTGATCCATTAAAAAGCTCTAGATGTTTGGATGGAGTCATCCATGTATCGTTTTACATTGTTGCGAATCTGCAGAGTTAACCTGGAAACATTGGTGACAGTTTATGAAGAAACCATAGAATTGACTGGGTTTGTTAGTTTGTTGCACTTTGGAGCATCTGTAGCAAAAGCGAATGCTGCACAACCCTGGGATCACTCCTCAGTTCGATCCCCGCCCTTGCGCGTTCTGATCTGGACGAGCATTGTACCGAAGTGCGGCCATGTAATCACTACTGCTTGATGCATACTAAAGACCTCAGGATAGCACGGTGAATAATTGGGTCAGTTGATTCGTCACAATGTTTGGGAACAGCACTGTTAAAGACAAGGACTAAGTAAATTGAACGATACATGATCCCAGGTTAGCAGTCGTAGTTCAGTGGCTAAACGGCTCATTTACGGCTTGAACTAATGTTGCCGTACCTCAAGGGCAGATCAACCTCACGCCGTATGCTCATCGTCTCATTTTTCTTGTTATTTTTTTTTTTTTTTGCCTTGCACATGTGGGTGATATTTTAATGCGTGTCACAACTGGAAGTAACAGCTGTTGTCTAATCTACAGAATGGCCGTTTCATTATGGAAAAAAAAAATCCAATATGCATCGTGTATTATGTAGGGAGTTGTATGATAAAAACATTTTCTAAAAATTGCTATAATAATTATTTTTTCTGGAAAAGGGGGGGGGGGTGCAATTGTAGCACAATAGTATTTAGCGAACAAGGTAACTTCATAGATATAAATTTTACGAGGCACATCCTAATTGGAGGTTCGTAGTGCGCCGTCAATAGGTTGTGGCAGTTGTTAGATTCCAAGAAAACCAAATTCTGCTTTGCACTAGTTAGCGTGGAATTTATACTAAAGAGCAGGCAGCGTGCAAAATCCCCACCCCAAAATCTTGGTTGCAAATGTGCAACCCAAGGATATCATATCACTGCTAGACCCTAGCAAGCTTTGTTGTTTTTGGGGGGCAGGGCTTTTATGCATCTTAGTTTTTGTATGGTGGGCTACTGACAGCCAAGGCTCGCCATAGAAAAGTGTGCAGCAGAATGTAGTTCTCAGGTATAACAACCGTTACGGCCTATTTCAACAGTCGCCTACAGATTCCTTGTTGGCATGTGCCAGCTAGTATGAATGTCTAAGAAGTTAATGACGGGATGTGAGGTAATTACTAGTTTGCTAGCTGTCACATTATGCTCATGCAATAACTTCTGTCAGAGATATATTCAAAGGAATCATTTCTTTTTCTCATGAGTTCTATATCTAAGAAATCATTCGAGTAGAAAAAAAGTCACTCCAGGATACATCCTACTCAAACTAGTTTCCACCTCTGAAATCAGACTTTGTGTATGCTGGGAAACCAGTGAAAATACACCAATCTTTTCAGAACAGATAACTAAAACTGCTATTGTTTTGGCTTTTTTGTGAGCTCCACAACTCCCGAGTTGAATTTGAGCAAGCAGGTGCGTCGGAGCTGTATTTGGCACTAGAGCCCTGCATATCCGTGGATATCCGCAATCAAGTGGCGGATGCGGATAAAAATGAATCCGATTTGGCAGATTTGCAGATCTGATCTGTAATTGGGTCCAAATCTCCCCCGTACCTAGACCGCAGTCACGGACAGCAGTTCCAGAAGGACTTTGAAGACGCGACCCGCTGCCTGGAGGAGTACATCAAGGCCTTGGAGAGGGAGATGGCCGAGCGCACCGAGATGACGGAGATGCTGGAAGAGGCCAAGGTGTACTACGACAGTCAGCACGGCGAGGCACGCATCGTGGCCACGGTAAGCAGCCGGAGTGGAGTCCCTTGATGGAGAATCGATGCCCTTTCTGCTTTATCTTGTCATCCAGCCGTCGTATTTTAGTTTTATCATTTAGGTCAGTGGTTCTCCAACCCGTTTTCAGGGGTCGCCTCAACCCTCAACCCCCCTTTTTTTCTATAAAGGAAATTACCTTGCCTAAGTGGCGCTAGCTACCGCCCGTTATAAAGGGTACAGCCGTTACTATATATCCATCCATTGATCCTTTTACTTGGTGCTTCTCACTTCTCTTGTCTATAAAATAAAAGTAAACGATGCCCTTTCCACACTGCAATGAGTTGAATTATTTTATACTCCCCCCCTCCCCCTTCCACTTCCCCAACTACTACTTCCACTTCCCCACTTCCCCTAGGGGTCCCCAACGCATCCATGCTTGAGAACCGCCGATTCAAGTACATTGCAAGAGTCATTCCGACTTGGAAGGGATTCTGAATTGTGCTTCTATTTCGGGGTCGAAGTCTCGAAATAGAACCGTGTTTCATTACCTCCAATGCAAAGTGTGTCGCGCGGCATAAATATTTCACTAAAATATTGTTTGTCTTTTTTTGCGAGAAGAGTTTATTTTGTGACGTAGGTGTCCCATCAAACCGGGGAGCTCAGTGTACCTTTAGAAAACTATTCGTAAAGAAACTTCAGCTCTCTTTTGTCCCACCCCGTTCCCAAAGAGCCGTGTGCTGTCCCACTCCCCCGGTTTGAGGGTGCGTTGACCGTGCAGGCGTACAAGAACTTTGGCAGCCGGGTGAAGGGTCTGAAGCGCAAGCTGGAGGCCAAGATGAAGACGCTGCCCAGTCCCGTGCCCTCCCCCACGCCTGACGCCCCCTCGCCCACCAACTCGGACGACGACGCCCTGCTGCTGCCCCCGCCCCAGGACACAGGTCAGTCCCTCCATGGCTCTCACTTCCAACAGACGTTCTTGGTTGTGTCTGGAGACTCCGAGACTCGCAGAACGTGTCGCAAATGAGCTAGGCACGTACTGTAAGTGTGATGTCACGTGCTGTGTGCTTGACGTCACACGATATAATCATAATCAGGTCACAGAGTCATACGGCGTCCTTATATCGCAGGACACTGTTAACATCATGGCCGTGACGTCGCTTGGCATTGGAACTTGATGTCCTGTTACAATACCGTGCGATGTCAGAGTTGCGTGACATCGGGGATTCACGTAACACATCGACATCAAGGTCATAAAAGCAATATAGCCCCTATGGGGCTATATTAGTCGTGTGACCTTGCCCCGTGTGTCGGTTCAACGTAGCATGTCGCTTTGATTTGACTCCTTTATTTGCATGAGGTACTGAGTACATGACACTGAAGGCGTGTGAAAAAGCCGTGGGAAGGACAACTTTTCTCCTAAATCCGGCTGTATGACTCATTTCGCGTGAATAGCTACGTTTATGCCTGCCATAGACAACCTAAGAACGGGACACGTCAGATGTTGTATTCTGGTGTTGGGATTTGCTTACTGGCGATGTAGCCTTCGGCATTTGCAGTGTTAGCGTTGCAACCGAGTATTGGTGATTTCCGTCGCATATTTTTGGACCCGCTTTCGCAGCTTCGTGTTTAGACTGCCAGGCACTCTGAGAGCTGGTAAGCGAATCTACCACAACAACTCTGTTTTCAAGCTGCAAGGTGCCGTCGATTTCGCAGAATCGGCCAACACACCTTTCCATAGCTCATCACGCTGGCAAAAAACGCCAAGTGACTGAACAGTGGACACTTGCGCGACAACTGGTCTCCCTCAGGAGAAAGCTACCGCACGTGCTTAGAACGTGCTCCAATGCCCAGTGGGTAAGGATGGCAGCATGAAGAAGGTCATTATTGGAAAGGTCTATAGCCCCCTCCAGCTCGGCCGACACTGTCCGAGAGAGGTGGCATTGGAATGGACAAGGAAAACTTGCTTCCCCCCCCCAATTACTACCGCCATCTCCCGAACAGTTTTGACGTTTCTGTCCGAAAGTGTAACGACGACCGGACGATTTCCAGTTTGAGCGGCGTTTCCGTTCTAACCCGGGTGGCTTCCTTGACGGTGCAGAGTCCAGCCTGGCTCCACCCCTGGCGGAACCGGTGGTCGTGGACAACGGCGAGGCGAGGGCGGTGATGGGACTGGATGGCTGCTCCCCGCAGTCTGCCCCGTCCCCGGAGGGGTCCCCGGTGGGGCTCAGCCCGGTCCTGCCCGGGAACGGGGCCACGAACGACGTGTCGGGGGGCCCCGACGGCGCCGAAGGGGGCGCCTCCGCACTCAGCAGCTTCATGTCCCAAAGTGAGTGCTTTGGAAGGTGGCACGCCGGTCGTTGCACGCGGCAGTTGCAACCATTGATCTCTATTGTAGTAAGGTGGATCGAGGCTCGTATCGCCGGGGTCAAGTGGCACTTGACGCCGGCTATTGTATGGGACTCGACGGGAGAAACGGGGAAAGCCGAAATTTATTGCCTCGGTAGGTTGCTCTCGACAATTAAACTTTTATTGCATTTTTTGGGAATGACAGTTAATGTTCTGGGCGCAAATATCGAAAGCGTTAGAATACCGTTGTTACTCTTACTCGCATAATGAACACTTTTTTTTTCCCGAAAAATTTACACTTATTTGGGGGGCGCGTTCATTACGCGAGGTAAAATGTTTCCGTTTACACACTTCATGCAAATGTCATTGTGGGTGCCAATATGACACGGCAGGGTTCTGTGGCACCTCTCCACTGATGGAGGTGCACCCACGGCTGGTCACGGGCATGCCACAGTGACCATGCTTTATAAATTGCAAACCTTTTTAGGGTGCTTTCGGCGTGCCTTTTGCCGAAGGAAAAGCGTCCTACGATGCTCATTCGGCACGGAGAGCAATGCGACCGTTCTTACGCCTAATCACTTTTACGATTTCCCTGTCCGAAAGCGGACCGCAGACGACGGCATGTTTGTTGACATCAGTGCATCCGATAGGCAAAGAATGTGCGAGGCCGGGCAATTTCTAGACCCAAGCTTCGTCAAGTGGGCTCGCCCCTCAGTTTCACAGTTGATCACTTCCGCCACTAAGCACTTGCAGCCATTACGAGAGCGGCTGGGCTTGGCTTGACTTGGCCCGGCCGCTTGGCGGCAAAAGAAAATTGGCTTGGTGGGCTTGGTGGCTAGCTAAGCTGGATGCAATTTGAGACTCGCGGAGCTGAAAATTGGAGGTGCGTTCAATACGCGAGAGAAAAAAAAGACAAAATATTGGTACCCGTTGTGGGGGGTGCGTTCATTATGCAAGTAAATACGGTTTTAGCGCTTTTCGATAAGCGTTTTGCGGTTGAGGGTCAAGGGTCGCAGCTTTGTTGGGCGTAAACTGTGATGCAGTTCAATGAGATGAGGGTTGCCGAGCGTCAATGCGGAATCGTTTGTGATCTCAAAGTCCTCAGAGCTTAGCGGACGATAAGTTAGAGCGCACTTACTGGGGGCATTCGCATTGTTTCAAGCGCTCGTTCAAAGCCTTTGCTTTGAACTGTAGTGAGGGCCTCTTTTGACAAACTAAAACTTGGAGTTCGTTGTTTATTTGTTGTACAACTCATATATTTAGCCACTGAACCAAGCGACGCAGGCACATTTGATTCTTTTTTTATTCGGTGTTCGAACACTTGAATAATATTGATTCCATCTCCAAACACCCGATATAATGATCACAGCACTTCTTAAGATACTTGCCTTTGAGCACCACATAGAAGCTTCGGTATTCCTATTTTTGCGTGTTCCTCCCGTGGACTCGCATGTATTGCCTGGTGTCAAGCAATGGCCGCCGGCGGTGCCACCGACGGGCTCCCAATCCGCGATTCAGCCTACTACATTAAAGATCAGTGGTTGCTGCAGGCGTGTCTATCTTATCCCCTTCACATAAGCCACCTCGGCGGTTCCGGCACAAATCGTCAGCCTACAGAGCCCCCAGGGGCAGGGTTGAATCCCGGTCGCAATCCGACAGAAGCTTATTGCGGAGGAGGCACTTTGTAACCGAGGTGTCGGTTGCATGCGAAAAAATCCCCACGTAGTCTAAAAGAGCCCTCGCCCTTAGCTTTTCTGGCACGTAAAGCCCCCAATCTTGACCTTTATCCCTGCCCTGTCATGTGCGTGTGTTTTGTTTTTCTTGGTGGAGAATAACAGTTTATGCCGCATCGAAACGTTAGAATGATGATGGCAAGCCCGTCATGCAGCCAGAGATAAGGTAGTTTTTGATGCGAGCTGGTCCGATGTGCAAGCGCTAATTTTCCGGATATGTTTGGCATGCTAAAAAGCACTTGAAAATGACTACACACAGCCACCAAATCTACATGGAAATCTTAGGTTGTTGTAGAAAAGTTAAGAAGAGTTGATATATTTGTGTCTGCACATTTTTTTACCTTTCCCTCAAAACTTGGATATTCCATCCTGCAATATACAATAGGTACATTAGGCTCGTGATAATTCGAACTTGGATATTTCATTGGATATTCTATTCAAATTTCAAAACTTTGGTTGTCCTGCTATGTTTATAATGTATTCATAAGCCGCTTTAATTCGAATAACTCAAGCAGGGCAGACGTGCTACGAAAACGGGCACCATGCGGGAATTTCCGTGGCAACTTGTGCGGGTGCTGCGACGTGGCGGCATGGCATGGGTCCAAGTCACAGCATCCGTGCAAGTTGCTGGGAAAACTGCCGCACGGTGCCCGTTCTCGTTGCTCATGTGTTCTCCGCTTAATAGTTCATGTAAGACAACTTCTTGGCCCGATCAACAAACTTAAATTTTGTTTTGAGTTGTCATGTGCTGTCTAAACAGTTCACGATAAACATTTTTGAGGGATAAAGAAACTTATGTCATACATTTCACAAATGTTTCATGTGCGGCATACCTGCTTATGATCAGAGGAAATCATGAGATATCTGCTTTCTACAAGTAGCCATTCATATGGCAAATCATAATTTTATCTTTCATCATACTTTTGAAGCAGTTTGGAAAGCTGTGCACATGGCACTCATCGTTTCATCCATTATTTACCGAGATCCACACCTTAGCTACCGTGCCTGCTAAGAAACACACTTTGTCCACTACGTTGCTCGCACGTCACAAAGAGTTCTCCACCCAGGCCCGTCTCTGATCTCCTCGTGGCTGGACGCCTTCAACCAAGAGTTCCAGGAGAGCAAGGCGGCCGACACGCTGGGAGCTTCCCTGTCCGGAAACACCCTCCTCTCGGTTCCCTCGCCGTTGGCTGCCGCAGTGCCAAGCACCCTGGAGAGCCGCCTGTCCAGCCTGATGCAGAACATGAGCCACCTCCCCAGCGGCCTCTTCTCCTCGACCAGCTCGGCGAGCAACACGCCCAAGGGCCAAGACTCGCCGCTGCCGTACGCGACCGCGGTTCAGCCCTCGCGAACCATCCCACCGGAGCCGCACAGCACGCCGCTGAAGGACGAGAACAGCGGACAAGGCACGCCAGTCCTCGACGAGAACCTGGCCGGCAACTCGGCCAAGCACCCGGCGAAGAAGACGGCTCCCGTCGCGGACACGGACCTACGGATCCACCCGCCGACGGGCTCCAAGACGGACTCGTCGGAGTCTACGCCGACGCAGTTCGGTTCGGCCGCGTTTGGATCGAAGATCCCGACGTTGGGCAGTCCGGCGAGCTGGCTTCCGGAGGGGTCGCCGAAGACGAGCGCTCCGGCGTTGGCGCCTCCGCCAATCCCGCCGGCGTTGCAGGCATACCTCGAGCCGATCCGCACGGTGACGACGACGGGAGCGGAAGAAGTGGGCGCGGACCTACTGCCGTCTCCGTCGGCGGACTACCTCATACCGGTCGCCGAGAACTTCGACGTGACGGATATGGAGCTGGACGACTCGGGGGACGAAGGGGACGGGATGTCGCACCGAAAGAAGGCTGCGACTGCAGCAGCCGCTCTGGCGGCGGCGAGCAACCTGATTACGTTGGTGCAGCCAGACAACGCGGCCACTCGTACGGCAAAGGAGGAGAGTCTGGAGAAGCCCAGGGAAGAGCCGAAGTCGACCACTCCGGCTTCTACCCTGGCTTCGACTTCGTCTCCGGCGCTGAGCTCGGGGATGGCAATGGGGGCGGCGGCAATGACCGCGCAGGGCGACTCCAGGCACCTGCGCCAACTTGCAGAAGGTGGAGGGTACCCGTCTTCTCCGCTAACGCAGCCCTCGAAGATCGAGACGGTGCAGACGAGGGCAATCGAGAGGTCGCCCCCACCGGACGACGTAAACATCTGGGAGAGGAGAGACTACTACGACGTGCTCTCGCGGTCTCAACAGCCGCCCCCGCCGCAGCACCCGCAGATGAGCAACGGCGGTAACCGCATGCAGGGGAGAGGAGGCTACTACGGATACGAGATGCGACCCCAGCCTCCGCCAGAACACTTCCGCGACGACTACGACGGCTACGGGAGGGGCTACGAGCCGGATTGGCAGGGGCTGCCACCGAGCCCAAGGTACAGGCACTTCAGCAACAACGGTCCCCCGCCACCCCAGCAGAGACCGCCCTACTTCCACCCGAGGTACTGACGTGCGCGAGGACTTCTGGTTTCGTCGCCGTATTCGGCGGAGCGTAGTGTACATAGTCACGTGGGTTCAGGGGGAGGGAAAGTCGCAGGCGCAAGGAACGTCCTAGGTCGAGGATGCTCGCACCACGGGCTTGTGACGAAGGGAAACGACGAGTGCTTGTTTTTGCGGAGTCCGCATAAGCAGTGCGTGTATTTCGTGTGCGGTACGGAGGAAAAAGTTCAAAGCGAAGTTTAGCATCTGACACAAGGCCTTTCATCGTTTTTACATTTTGGGAGCACCCGCTTTGAGTTTTGGGAGAGGGGGAGTTCACAAACTGTTCGAAAAGTTGCGATTGAGTTCGTGTCGGGTCAGCGTCTGAATTAGTGAGCACTCGAGTCAGTCATTTCTCTCCGTTTCGGAAAAAAATTTTCGTCGAAAGATTCGGGGTGTTATGCCTGCTGCCATACAACAAGCTTTCCGAAACGTCTTTCGCGTCCACGGGGTTGGAATCGAGTCGTTCCGTTTTCTTCGGGTTCCCCACCGACGACCATGCATCTGTGCGTTGCTTTGCACCCCTATCGTTTGCATCATGCCCCTCGAGTGTCGTTTTCTCTGTGCATAGTTCTGCGGACTTCTGGTTTTTGTTTTTGCAGCCACGAACTGATGAGGCAAGTCGGGTTGCCATCGGACACTCGAGAGAATGCAGCGCTTCTCTCCCTTTCCTTGCTGTGTATTACACAGAAATACAAGTTGTTTCTTCCATTGAATTTTTGAGTTTTTTTTTTTTCTTGGGAGCCATCGGACCTACTTTATCCCAACCTTTTCCTTCTCGCTAAGTCACACCCGATTTAATTTTGTTCCATTGGGCTTCATGCATCGATCACAACGAGTCTCAAATACATTGCTTGAGCTCTGTACTCTGAATGCGTTACTTTGTATATACTTGTAGATAAGCTGTTTAGATTCATTTTTTGTTTGTTTGTTTGGTGTGTGTGTGTGTGTGTGCACGCTTCAGATGTATGCGTTATTTTGTGGGTTTAGTAAAAGATTCCCTTTTGACCTCTTTGGGAAATTAATTCCTTTCCGCAGTGCTGCCGACACCGCATTCAAGTATACAGGGATGTCTCGTTAATATGGCCAGCTCCATTCTTCCGAAGATTGTCCCTAATGAGAGTTGTGCATGATAATGAGACAAAAATGCATGTATTTGCCCACTTCGCACCGAAAAGATGTCTGCATAGTGAGGTATCCCTAATGAACAAGACACGTGCATAGTTCTGCCGACATCTTGCACCTTATATCTCGATTCTCCAACCTGCTTGGTTTAAACTCGTAAAAGATCTTTTTGTTTCATTGCCTGGTTAGCACACACTTCACAAATTACACCCCCTAGCCCCCTCAGAAAAAAAAATAAGTGCAATTTCATTTTACGAGTTTCATTTTGAGTTGGGAGCAGCCTTGGAATCTGTTTCTTTTTCAGGAAGTCGACCCTGAAATACAAGCTTGCTTTGGAATTTCTCAAATAAGTTCCAACGTTAATATTGTGCTCATCTTTTTTCCTGGGGAAAGTTTGTTTTGTTATATACAGAGTGTATACTTTTGGAAGGGGGTGAGGGGGATTCAGTATGTGGCAAAGCATTTATGCACTCCCAAATTTTGACAAAAAACCCACAATCTAAAAAAACTGATTGAAAATAATGTTTTTTCACAAGGAAACCGCAACACTCACTCGAAACCTCCCTCACCCATTTACGCAGCTGTGAGTGATGGAGGTACAAAACTCGGAATATTCGAGAAGTACCTGTACATTGGTGTAAATAATCGAATCCATGTAACAGTTTTGGTGACCATAAAAACGCCAAAAACACATCAATATAGAGGAACTTCGAATGCGTAGTTGTGGCAAGCGAAAGGACCCAAGTGACTCCCAGCAACCCCGGGAGTTCCCGGCATCGCATTCCTCCCAGGGGATCCTCTGGATATGGTTTGGCCTTGTACTTTTCTGAACAAATTACATTTTGTACAGAAGGGCAACGATGGTCTGCTGCAGATCAAGAAACCGGGAGAAGCTCCTTGCAAAGCCCTTCACTCTTTCCACTTTAGCAGAGCAAATGCTGGAAAGGAGGAAGGTGCCTCCTCACCTCCTCTCCAGTGTGCACTTTGCAAAAGCACTTGTCCCAATTTCTTAACCTGCCATCATTCCTATTCTGTACGAAATGGGATGTGCTGCCGTTCCAGGGACTCGTAATCTTCCGATTAATACGCTAGGAGTTGTTAGTATGTGTGCACACCCATCTGTGGGTTTGCCTGCTAGATGCATTCCTTCTGCCGCATTAATTTTACATGCCGCAAAGCCACTACTTTGTGGCCAGAACTGAAGCACTCTGTCCGAGACTCGTTCGAGGCTTCCTAGGTAGGAAACTAAGCAACAAGCAGTGCCACTAGGCAGGGAAGGAGAGTTTGTGCAAACTTGGCTACAAAAGCTAAGCCACGACGGAAGCAAAAGCAACGTGTTGGGAGTTCGACCTAGGTCACTGTAGCTCGATGGAGTTACGATGATCTGGACTGAATCTAGCCTCGTAGCTCAAAGGAATGCTCGCACTCGCTGGGGCCACGCCCACACAACTTTGTACCGCGAAACTCTCAAACCGGGAATTCGGAAGACTGAAGATTCGGACCCGAAAGGGCTGCCGAAGTGTTTAGTCATTGACGAGGTGGGAATGGCGGGACACCTCTTTCGAAAGCCTGTGCTCCAGCACGCGGTCGTTGCCTTTATTCGTGCTTCGAGTTCGCGTGCCTGCTCGAGGCTCACGCAATGCCGAAGCACTATTGAAGGTAGAAGCTGAAGATGGAACTGAAACTCCTCCCTGCAATTCCCATCCTGTCAATGACTATGGTGGACATCACTGAACATAGGTCAGAAGACACTTTAACCGTCCTCTGTTATACATTCCTATTTCGTGTTTCCGCATCTCTATCAACACGCGCCTCGTTTGTAGCAACCTTGTTTTTATAGAACGTTCCACAATGGGCTATGTTACACTATAATACACGCGAGAGGGGGCGCTTCACGGCGTTGACGTCTCCATAGCAAGTCTCTTCACTTCCCCAGCAAGCTCCCCACCCTGCCTGCCAAAGGACAAGGGAGCCCTGTTCAACTCCAGCCCGTACCACCTTCTAAGGGCGTCGCGTGCCGCCATCTCTTGAGCAATCTCCACAGTCTCGCCGACGCTCGAACCAAGGAGCTTCTTGTCAGAATAGAACCCGACGCAATAGCTCGCTTCCAGCGTGGTTCGGCCCGAGTCCCACAGTAGTCTAGGTTCAGCAGGACTCATCCCCTGCCCTTGAAGTAGAGAAGCGAGCCTCTCAATCGGCTTGTCCACGACCCACAGTTCGTTCACGTCTTTGCCGACCAACTGCGCCAGTACGAAGTCCCGCACAAACAAACAGGCCCGGTCCTTCCCACAGTCGCGGGCCAGTCCGCCGACCAAAGCCATCAGGACGTTGGCAAGAGTCGTCTGCTCCGGCGGGAAGTCGGCGCAGAGGATCAAATCCGAGGTCCCGATGTTTTTCGAAACGTGCGACAACACTTGGTCGGACATTAGGTGCTCCTTCACGGCGTTCACTCCTTCGCGTGGGAGTTGCGGAAACTCTCTAACCAAGTATTCGTCGGCGTAAGAGTCGCAGAGCTGGCGGCCCGCGCGGGCGAGGTCGGTGTTGGGAGTTAGGCTTAGCGTTCCGGCGTCGCCCAGCGGCATTCCCAGCTCGCGACGGTGTTCGGCTTCGCGTTCGACGAAAGACTGCTGGACGAAGGCGGTGCGCAGCGTTTCGTCGGACCAGGTTTCGCCGAGACGCTTGGCAAACGCGTAGATCTCGCAGTCGTAGTTCCACTCGACCCAGACCGAGCGGTGGCGTAGCGGCTCCGGTCCGGCCTTTTTGCGGCGTCTTTTCATTTCCATCAGCATGGGAGGCAGTGACCTTTTGTAGCCGTACGTCTGCATGATGCTTGGTCCCGTTCGTGCTGTCAGCTTCGGCAGGGTCTGCGCTGCGCCTCGCAGCAGAAATCGTGCAAACGAAGCCATGATTTTCACGTGCTTCGTGTTTGTTCGAAGAGCCACCGACGATGAGTAGGTTCGCTCGGGGGCTTTCAAGTTTCAACTGATTTTTTTGTACACACCCTGAATGGATGAAATTTATTCTGTGACGTCACAGATGTAGGCGATAAGTCGGCAAATAAAAGCTTAAAAGAGTCACTCTTGGTGCTCTTATTAGCCACGGATATACCTTGGCAATGTAAAACGCACTGGTTGAATATGCCGAATATGCATAAAATAATTAATAGATATAAAAGGCAAATAAAAAACAAATCGGGCAAGGATGAAAAAAAAAAATACAAAAACAATGTGAGCGTTTGTACCACTAGGGCCGCTAGTGTTTCTGTCGGCCACCTTGAATACAGGTCAATATGTAAGATATTATATTATCTTGAGGTTTGTCCGTAACGCTTGCGATATTAGACGGCAAATAATTACTGACATGCTCAAAAATGACGTATTGAACGGTGAGCTCAAAATGTTAACAACTTGATAATTGCGTCCAATCGTAGCGGCGAACGTCGCGCTTGATTCTGACGTCATCTTGCGGAGTTGGCAGTTGGAAACCGCCAAAACGTGGCATGAGCGTAAGAATAACACGAACAAATCGCCTCAAATCGCTAAACACCTCCCAGCAAGATATTTTCACACGTTGAACTTTATATCTTACGACATCCTTAATACCTCACTAGATTCAAGCGCTTTAATGAAGCGTAAAGCCACTGACGACCTTAAAAACCTCACTCAAATTTTTGCCTCTCCTTTTGAGACGGCAGCAATTTCTTTTTCTCTCTTCGTCTTTCTTTTTTTACATGTAAACAAAAATTGTTTGGCCCGTGTTGTTCCGTGAAATAAGTGCACCACAACGAGGACAACGCACTCGTCTGCAAAACACTGAAGCTACGAGGCTCAATAAAGACTTAGGAACAGCTCCCCCCGGTAAGGAAATTCCCTTACAAGAACATCCACTCGGCGCCTGTACTCTTTATACAAGGTCGCAACAAAAAATTAACTGGGTTAACTACCGTTCCCCGTTAAAAACGAAAAAAGTAAAAAATCTATTGTCCTTAATCTTTTTAAAGCGAGACATCAACAACTGGATCATCCTACGTCGAGACTTCGACGCTAACTGATCAACATAACCCGTTCACTTCGCCACACGCCCCAAAAAGAATTGATATGGGTTGCGCGGCTTGCTGAAAACCCTCGCCCATTGATTCGACATATCCGCGTAACGAACATTATTATCTGCTACGAGAATCTCCCTACTTCACGTTTGAAGTGTTCGCGAATTGGGAATACCTTCCCCAGTGTGCAGGATCCAAACTTTTACTCGTCATATCTCGTCGTTTCGAAAACTACTGACAGCGATTTAACTTCGCGAATTTTTAACAAAAAAACATATGGGTGGGATTCGATGCAACACGTGTGGCGGTGATAGTGATGTTCCTTGTCGGCGGGTTAGACTCACGGGATCTGTCTTTTAACCCACAGGAGTCTGCTTTCTGAGGGTTTAGTAAGCCATAAACTCCGTCATGTCGTTCGGAGGCACTCTCAATTTCCTGGACTTCTTCGAGAAGGAAGATCCGTTCCTCAAAGACAGCGGTGGATTGTTCACCGGCGATCTGCCTGAAACCACCTTGTTGGTGAGTCGGACATCTTTCTACTGTTGGTCGGTGTCTTTTTGATCTGGTCTATCATGCTAGACTTTATTGTTTTTGCACATAACGCATTGCTGGTCTGCGAAAGCCGGCGCCGACATTTTCTCTTGATCGAAAATGCCGCATTGCACGTGGCTTGGTTGGCGACTGTTCTTAAATTATCTTGTTTAGGTCGGTTTCTCAAGTTCGGAGTTTTAAGTGCTCGATATTAGCTGATCGGTCGAGTCTTTAACTGGTTATTTTTAAGGAGCGAATACTTCGATCGCGGCCGGCGAAGGGCATGTTGGTGGCATACTCGCCAGATGTTGCGTCACGTGGAGAAGGATCGTTCGCTGTTACAGAGCAAGATTAATGTAATATTGATAACTGGGTCGATCGTATCTTGATTACAACATTGCTTCATCGAAATTGCCCAATAACCACTCGTGAGCACGCAAAACGAGCCCAATGTGACCAAGTGTAACCATTTTCACATGTTTGTATGAAATGCCCAGCAAATCGTGCTAATAAACTCCTATTGACAGTTCGCAGATGTCCGCATGTTATGTGATCTGGTCACTGTGTAGTCGCACCCAAGAGGTACCCCATGTTGTTTATGCAAACATGCACCTTTGTAATTCACTTGAGAGTAGGCCCCGAGCTGACCTCATTCAAACCACATCAAAATTAGTACATGCAAAAAAAAAAAGATTTATCAACTGGCACCTGCATAATGCAGTTAGCATGAGAAATACATTGGTACTTTATTACGAGGTAGTGTCAAACCAGTTTTTACAGCCTTGTTTGGTGCTTTGGACAAGTGTATCCCCCACCATACTAAATTTTAATAAAAACAAAACAGTAATTTCTTGCTGATATTATTGGTATCATACACTTAACTGTACACCTGAGGAATTTGGAATGTAAAGCGTCATACCTGGTATGGTGGTAGTGTTTACCAGAGTTCAATGCCCCCCAGTGCAGGCTAGTTAAATAAAAAAAGTGATGCGCAAGTTCTTTCTTTTCTTTTTTGTGCAATTTGCCAAGGTGTAAGTAAAAGTAAAAGCGGGTAGTTGTAGATATGAGTGCCTGCAAAAATAGCTCGTGTCCTGGCATATCAGTGCCACGTTTGCGTCTTTTCTCCAAGTGCCTTGCATACAGCTTGAAATGTCATTCGTTCTGAAGATGTACCTTGCTTAGCCGTTGGGTTTTTCAACCAAAATAGCACGAATTTCGTCAATGTTTTTTTTTTTAATGACACATAAAAAACATGATGTAATATGAAATAATTTTGCGTACTTACAGGCATCTTACTCGCACACCTTAAAAAAGTAAAATTTAAATTTTGAGAAGGTGTGAACCCGCATATGGCGTGGAAATTTGCTACGATGCCAGATATAACATATTGCTCATGTTTCAATGACCTCCATTGTTACGCTATAGCTTTTTTTTTTATGAGTACAGAGGTCTTTCTATTATAATGTTCACACACCCAGAACTTTTTTACTCCAATCGTGCAGACATTGCGCATTGCATAACATGGCAGTACATAAGCTATGAATGCAAAGACGTGCTCTGCAAGGCATTTGTGACTGTCCCTGTTTGTAATTTCAGTTTATTGTGTGCTACACGAATAGTACACAATGTTGCATGCATTACGTCAGAGCTAGAAATATATATAAGGAGAGCACGTCTTTTGTGTTGTAAAGCTTGTAAAAGCTTTACAAGTAATGAAAGCTTAAACCAGGCAGTGTTTGCATTTTGTTGTAATAAAACAAACCTAAGGTTGAGTAGGGCTGTTATAATATTGAGAATACCTTATAATACCTAGCAGAGGTAAAGGCAACGTCTACACCAAGTTCCAGCCCAAACAAATGAATTCTTGCTGTGCAAACAGATGAAACAGTCAATGAACTGATCTTTCCGGTGGCTTTGCTCAGGTTAGTGGGGGAGAGAGGAAGCCTTTTTAGACTTTATTTTTAGACACCTGCCAAACTAGGTGGGGATGTTATATTTCTCTGATTCCAAGCAGAAGTTTAGGTTTTGGGTGGCTCAGCTAGTAGTTGTGTATTTTGCTAAATAAATATTTGTCTCAAATTATTTCTTAAATGCAGCTAGCATACTGAGCTTCCTAGTAGGAAGTGAAAACCATCATCTGTAGGAAATGTTTATTATGTTTTAAAGCGACACTGACGTGCCAAAGATATACTTTTTTTTTGTGCAAAAGCTTGGTTACGGTGTTAAGATGCTACTCAAAACTTTGTGGTCATAAATATTATGTTTCGGGGATTTTATTTCTTGTATTCGTAACTATATATGCCTTAGATGACTTTTCGGGTATAAATCGTGCACTGTGGCCTCAGCATGGAAACGAGTGTGGAAGCAGACCTGGAACACCGGATTCTTAAGCGGCAGTTTTCATACAGAGGGAAAGCCAGATTTTGAGCCGCAAATGTAGGGTGTCTACAATGAACCTTGGCATCGTAAAACGAGCCTGAACAATTGGCAGCCGCGCTGAGAAAGCTGTGACGTTCACCGAATGTGACAGCTTTCTTCCTGTGACAAATGAGGCCAACAAACTTCCCAACCGAATACAAGGATCTGTTTGTCAAGATTGTTCATTATGACGAAACGCAAAGAAATTTTGTGAATGGCAGAGTATGCAAATATATCAGCTTGAACTTTAGAATTATACTTAAACATGAAGAAAGAAAGAAAGGGCAGGATATATTTACAAGGATGTACTATCAAGCTCAACTCTTAAACGTTAGAGTGTGTTATTGATGATTTATGTTTGACAGGTTCTTTTTGAGTAATAAAGCGGGCATTTGTCGATATTTGCCGTGTACGATAACTGTTACATGCTGACTAGGCACTAGGTGCATACTATGTATCAAATGCGAACAGTATAAGAAAAGACAGATTTTTTTTAGCAGAAATTTGCTTTTGCTGGTTACATCCGGGGTGCAAACTATAGTCCAAAAACTATGTCGTAGGGCTCTCGTAGATTGTGTTTTCATTAATTTCTTTTATTATTTATTTTGGGGCCCAAAAGCATTACAGAGAGGAATGGTTGCTGTAACATAAATATAAAAACATTGAAAAGGCATGAAATAGGTACGAAAAATGATTTAACAAATTGGTAATCTCAATTCTAAAATGGGCGTCGTCGGTGATTGGAGTTATGACCGCGGAAAGGCGATTTAAATCGGTGCAGTCTTGGAGCAACAAGGAGGCATTAACGTGCTGCAGCGGGGAATCCTAACTCTTAGTTGACGATCCATGCCGGATATGCAAGATGGTTCCGAAAATAGCGATTGGGGAAGTGTTGTGTTAGAGCAATAAATCTTGCGAAACAAACATGGGCGAGATTTTTTTTCTTCGAAGCCAAGGATAGGCAATGCTTGCTGTGCCGTGACAGTTAGAAAGTAAACATACCAATAAGCAGCATTAACGAGGCGAGGCGAGCTTACATCTTGCGTGCCCATCCGTTTCGCACAGCCCGAATTGGAGACGGAGAGCATAGACTTCTGGACCAAGTACCTGATCGGAGACACGACCCTGCCGACGCTGAAGGATGACCTCGTGGCAGACCTGGTGCCCGACCTGTCGTCGATGTCCCCCGCGTCGCCCTCGCAGGAGCACAGCTACAGCCTGTCTCCCGACGGGAGCGTCACCAGCCTCCTCTCCCCAAGGGGCGGGCCGGGCTCGGACTGTTCCGACCTCTCGTCCACGTTCGAGGGCCCGCAGGTGAGGGACCACCCTCGCGCAACTGCGGGAATTGCGGCGGGTTTGCGTCGGGGAGTCTGCTCATTAAATGCTTGCGTTCCGTCGAAAAGACGAGGCTGGTTTGCACGGCCAGGCATTAAAGGGATACTTCAACAAAATCTGAAATATACCCGTCGTGTTCAGAAATGGGTTGAATATTATCGACAATATCCGTAAATGACAATTGCACGTTTGTATTTTGAGCCTGATGGCTGTCTTTTTCGTCATAAATGGCCCACTCTGGCAAGCGCTTGGAGAACGGCAAATGGAGTGCCTGTGACATCTGCTGCAATCGTGACATAGATTGTCTCGGGACGAGCAAAGCTGTGGCGAGGCCGTTGTCGTGAGGATGTCCTAGCCGTTCCAGCCACCGAAACGGCCGAAGCACGCCAGCAGTTGGGCCACCGCAACTAACCCCAAAGCTGCTTTTGTACGAATTTTGAGTGACGGGTTAGTCTTGTGTAATTTTGTAGAGGGACAATAGCGACGTCTCGGACACACAAAACAGAATTTTTGCGAGAGGGGAGTTCCTCTTCCCTTCTTCTCTCATGGTGGCCGGAGGCAACAGTTATCGTCACTACCTGTCAAGGTTCCTAGATGGGCATTACACACGAGGAGGTAGTGACATCCACGAGGTGCTCTTTGCTAATCGTATAATTTGTTTTAAAATGCCTTTTCGTGTCTTTTTTAACGAGAGATTGGCGTGTCTCGTGTGATACTGCTCCCTTGAACATGAATAGACCAAGAAATAAGCGCCGAAATTTCGTTGTACTCATCCCTTTAAGATGTGATGCCTGGAACGCTTCTCCAACTGGTGCATTTATCGCATCCTTAAAAGTGGACCTGAGGAACCTGGGCAGGTCTGAGAGATGTCACGAGTGTCAAGTTGCAGTGTCACGTGACGTCGTGGCGTCGGGTGACCTCATCGTGTGACACTGCGTCACATTCTGCCGCTTTAGAGGTGTAGGGATAGTAATCTGGGTACTTCAGACTTAGATGTAAATCAATTTCGATCCTCGGGGTGTGTTTTAAAGTTCGCTGGTCTGTCGGTGTCATTGAGAATTCTAGATCCTCTAGGGACTACCGTAGCTGGGGGCTCCGAACCGCCGTCGTGGCACGTGGCCCATCACTTCGTGGAGACTTTTGGAAATCAAGCGTACGTGATTTTTTTTGTTTTCAGGAGGAAATTATGGAGTTTGACGACCCTTTGTACGTGGACGTTGTCGGAGTCACAGAGACGGAGTCTGGTCCGGAGTCTCCTCTGTCCGTCATCGAGCAGTGCAGCAATTCGAATCCGTCGACGCTGGATGACATCGGTGAGCAGCACACTCGTCCTCTTTCACGCGTGATTGGGCGTAGTATGGGCTTCTTCCGTTTGTGAATATCATTGCTTAATGCTGTCACTGGTCCACACTCTGATTCATTTCTGTTCAGCGGCCGACGTTGTGGTGGCCACTTCCGACTTGAAAGAGGAGGAGGAAGAGGAGCCCGTCGTCGTCGTCGATGTAAGTCCAACACTCGTGCCTGTCAGTGTCAGAATTGTCGCAACTTTCATATAATTATCAAATGTTCCGCAACTGATTTAAGGGAACGGTACAGCTGCAACGGAGAAAGATTAGCGTGACTGACCGACGACCAGAGCAACAAAATCGCGACACGCGGCGCTATTGTTTTCGAGCACGTCAATAGCGAGAGTGCCAGTCACATTCCATGTTTCAATGCGGGAGTGGTTGGCAGAAAGCAGCCCATCTTAAAGCCCGCATTTTGGAAGCTATCGTATCCCTCAATTTTCTCCCAGCCACCCCACGTTGAGACATGAAATGTGACTGGCACTCTCACTATTGGCGTGCTCGAGAACAATAGCGCCGCGTGTCGCGATTTTGTCGCTCCGCTCATCGGTCACTTGTGCTAATCATTTTCCGTGCCCCCAGTTTCCCGTGACGGGTTAGAATCCCAGCCAAAGTTTCTGCAATCTAACGGGGGCTTACTGCGGGTAAGGCTGCACAGAGATTTCGGTTGCACGTCAAAATCTCCGGATGGTCAAAATGAATCTTCCCTCCTCCGCTGGGGCGTGGCACGTAAAACCCTCGTATCAGTGAGGAGCGCTCACGTGTTTGCTCTTTCAGTGCTTGCACAAAGTAGTATTACAAGTGTAACTGGGATCATAAGGAGAAAAATCTTTGTAAGCTGGGATTCCATTGGCAGTTATGAAGGTTTGAGTAGTCGGTTGTAATGCCACACAAAAATCTCTTGCAGGACATTCTTGTTCTTCCCGAGGAACCCAAGAGTCCCTCGGTGTTTTCATCCTGCAGCTCCACACACAGCTCGCCTGGCGGAGGCACAAGGACCTCAAAGGTGCCTTCCATTGCCATCACCTATGAGTAGCCTCAAAAGTTCCTATGAGTAGTCTCGAAAAGGAATTGCGCAGACCAGAGGGGCACAAGTTGAATAATTCGGGAATGCCAACCAACTGATTGGGGAGGTGCATTTTCGGTCTGTAATGCAGTCGCAACAACATTGTGGTTTCTGAGCAGATCCATTTTTGCATGTTCCACTACTGTAATTAGGTACTTCGAAAATCGTCCGGCCATCGATAGACGATTTAGGACATGTCGGTATCTTGGTAATGTCTGGTTAGTCACAGACAATCATTGTGTTAGTTGTGCAGTACGAAAAAGGTCTAAGAGGGTGACTATGGTTCAAACTTTAAATCCTCAAGCATAGGATTGTGTTTTCTCAGCATGGTGCCTACACCGCTTTCACCTCCTAGAGTTAAGCAAGCTGTCTCAATTGAGAAAATTTCTGAGGCTTTTAGTCTATATGTTACCTTCTTGTCATGAGAAGACTTGATAAGTTGTGGCTCTATTGGAACAGATATTTGAAAGTAGGTTTTTCTTTCTCCTATAGAAGTCTGATGAGGTGCTTCAGCTCACCGAGGAAGAAAAACGCCTGATGCGCAAGGAAGGCATCATGATTCCTACAACAATGCCCCTTACCAAGGTTTGTGATCAACTCCCAAATTGCTTCACCTTCTTTATCGAGGCTCTGTTATAGAAGACTGTGTCCATAGTACAACATGCACAGTCCCGTTTTATGTTAGAACGGGTTGTGCCTCTTGTGCTACGACTAAGAGATGACATATATTGCGACATGCGGTAGAGGGCGATTGATACATTCCCAGTGGTTCTGACCATCACTGCCGATCCTCCTAGGACTAATTTATCACTTTACTGTGCTGTGTGGCAGTTTTTGGGTTTTCCAGATCATTGCATTTAGAATATGACAAGCTTGATTCTCAAAATGTGAATATCAACAATTATGAAACTCGCCTTGCTCGTGATGATGGTAGCCCATGGCTACTGCAGCGTCTGGTGAGACACCGTACTGCTTGACACCAACTGGCTGAAGCCAATGGAAAGTGACTAGTCATCATGACAAAAACAAAAGGTTCAGTAGTTGTCCTAGGCATCCATTAGCATTCATGATTCTTCCAAGTTTCTGTTGATTTGATTTTCACATACCCTGTATTTCGTGCGTTCAGACGTCTACCAAAGATATGTGACGGGTCAAGTAGTAACATCATTTCTGCATCTAAGTTTCTGCTGTGCAACTTTTTAAGCATTCTTTGGACGTGATGCAGCCTTGTCCTTTCTATACCTGCAGGCTGAAGAAAGAGAGTTGAAAAAGATTCGCCGGAAAATACGCAACAAGGTGAGTGGCCAGCTTCGGTCAGCAAATTCTTTTTGTTCATTGTCCGTTCATATCAAGTTAATTTATGATCACGCTTACCTGTAAGCCATCATAAAACCTCGGTGAGCATAAATACCCTGTCAGTGTCCCTTTAAAGTAAAGCACAAAGTAAATGAAAGGTTGTGCATTTCAAGTAAAGTAGTAAGTACACCAAGTGCCATGTTCTTGAAGTAAAGCACTGTAACTACAATGTACTTCCAAAGTAAAGTACAATTACTTTTTGACAGAATCTTTCATGGTGCCATTTCACTCCCTTATACAGTGTTTTTTTTTTTTTTTTAAATTGGTGTGCAGTTATTTTTTGAAACGGTAGCAAATATTGGATAAGGTTAAGTTGCCACAGAGTAGTTGTTTTACCCTTGTTAACACCCTATTTAACATAATACACTTATAAGGCACTTATTTGTATCGGTCTTATAGCAGCCATTAGCTCACTCAAAGAAATGACCAGGTGACGTCTCGAAAGACAATAGCGGGGTTTTACATGACGATATGCCATGTTTTTGTTTTTAAATTTGGGGAATGTAGTTTGAAGTTGGAAGTTTTACTTTCCTCAGAAAGTAAAAAAAAACAAAAAAAAAAAATCATAAGTAAATTACACACTTGGAGGGTGTACTTCAAGCAAAGTACTAGTTTTCTAAATCTACTTTAAGTAGTATTTTAAGTACAATGTACTTTAGGTAGTTCCCAACATTGAATGAATGGCTCAGATCTTTCTCAAATTCTTAAACTGTATAAAAAAAAAGTTTTTTTTTTAGAGGACAGTTGAGGAAATTCGAGAGCTTGAGGGAACCCAGTCTGGGAACCCATGCTCCAATCGAAACAAGCCTAGCAACTCGGGTGCGCTATTTCAACCGTAGAAGACATACTCATAGTGTTGGTTACAAGTCACTTAGTTCTGTTAACCAGGCGCAAGAGGACTAATACATATGTTCACCCATTCATACGTTCCAGCAATCTGCCCAGGACAGCCGAAAAAGAAAGAAAGAGTATGTGGATGGCTTGGAAAGCAGGTCAGTTGGACGACAAGTGGCAACTCCCACACTTCAGAGCTTGCTTTCACGCTCACCGACTCTTTTGGTTGTTCTGCTCATTCCAGGGTGAAGTTATGCACAGCTCAAAATGCACAATTGCAGAAGAAGGTGGAGCTTCTCGAGAAACAGAACGGGCAAGTTCTACTTTGTTTGTCCTTGACCGAGTTTCTGGACGTTCGGAAGGTTCTTTTGGCCACCAGAGTGGCCTTTTTACGTTACATCTGTTTGCATAGCTTTAGGTGACTGCAGGACTAGCAGCGTGTCATCAAACGAAATCGCACGGTTTCGTTTCCTGGCTCAGCCGTGGCCATGCAAAGATTCTTCACCAGCTTGCCTACTTCATTACTCTTATTTCAATACAGTCACGCCCCACTGACATGGACGCTTCCGTTTCCCAGACAACTCGTCTACAGTAGCGACTCAAGGCAAAGATCACAAATGACACGGTTCACTTAGAAGGAAAAAATGCTGAGATTCATTTGCACACACACTTTGGTGTTAACAGTTAGAAACACAATCTGCAATAGGTTCGAGAGGGGAGACTTGTTGCTCCTATTTTTATTGCTACTTGTGGTCCACCCAGTATGCAGTACAAATATATACTGCATACTGTCTTTGTTACATTTTTTTTTTTTTTCTGAGTACATAATTGAAGTTGCTGAATAGCACTATTCGATTCGAACTTGGAATATTTGGAAGTTTTGAATACTCACACAAATCTAGATATATGGTATGTTTTCTTCGAATTGATTTCCCCGAACTCCTGGCTACCTCCCGAACATTTTATAATTTATTTTAGTGTCCATATAGTTCCTAACATTAATTTTTAAAAGCTCCCCTTTCTCTTTGGTGGCACCGTAGGAGCATATTCAGTTGCTAAAAGTTGGCGGTGTGCGTCGATACGCTTTGTTGTGCAGTTCCCTCGTGCTCCAACTGAAGCGGCTTCAGACGTTGGTCGCCAACTCCTCTGGCCGCAACGCACAGACGAGCACTTGCGTCATGGTGAGTCTCTGTTCCGCAACATCCGCAAGTCTATGTTTCGCCATCTTGAGAGTGAGAGCTTGCTCAGTGTATGATGTCCAAGCCAGCTCGTGATGTCACGCTTGGTACTGCCTGGTAGAGGTCGCAGCTGATTACTTGGGCATGCATTAGCTGTACCTCTCTCCTCACGACGCTTTCGTACGTATTGGTAGGACCGCAGCACCAGAGTGCGATTGAGTGGTCATACCAAGTAGCTGTAATGAGAGGTTTAGAAACTGACCTATCTATTGTGTTGATTTTATTTTGTACGTTCATTCAAGTGAAACAAATGGCTGCGGCACTTCCGGGAAGGATTGAAGGGGTACTCTAAAGTCGATTGTGAGATTGTCCGTTTGTGGTGACAACTCAGTCTAGACGCTCTAAGCATCTTAACGAAACTGAAATCACAATCGTGCATAGCTCATAGCTCCTCGCTAAAAGCGTATTCAAAGATCGCGACACACCCTTTTTGGGAAGAATTTTCTTCAGAGTGAAGTGGTTGACAAAGGGCGCTTGTCGGCGAGTTGCAAGCGATGGCTTTGCCCGTGGAGAGAAAGAGGAGTCTTTTCCAAATGTGTACCTATCGGACTCTCTTCGAAACAAGTTATAATAAAATTATGCGGAATCTGGTGTATCATAGGGCTTTCATTGGTCCACAGTGTAGTCCGCGAGAAAAAAAAGAGTCCACATGTTTTTCTCTTGCCCCGAGAGGAATATGCGGTTTCGTAATATAGGACTTGGTATTTGTGGGAATAACACCTTTTAAACAATATAAGATAAAAAACAACCTTTTTCAAAAATGACTTCAGTGCCCCTTTTATAGACCGATCTCTCTAGCCTGTTTTGTTATGCTGCCGCCACCGCCGGCATGCACTGTGGGAACTGTGCAGTGCCTCCTGCCTCCTGTAAACTACAGTTATGGTGGTGTCTTGCATGCATGGAATGCTTAGTTAGATTAGTCTATTGTTCTGCATATTTTTTCTTCTTTCCAAAAACACTTACCGTAAAATACCGGGCAAGCATTCACTCATACTTTGGAGATAATCACAAAAAAAGGGGGGATGGGGACTTGTCCGGTCATCAATTTTACATATAAATGTACTATGCGTCTTTTCTCAATCTTACAAATTTGGTAATGGGCGCTTAATGTGGAATGGGTGGATGCGCGGTATTCTATGGTAGTATAACTACACCTTTTTGCGTATAGCGTAGACGACTTCCCCGGTTTCTAAGAGTGCCCGAGACTTCGAGGACGATCCCATTGATGTGGGGTCCATTCAAGCGAGGGCTCTTGCTGCGGATGCGGAAGTTCCAACCTGTGGTCTTCTCACTTCTAGGTTCTGTTGCTGTCATTTGCTCTCCTGATCTTCCCCAACATGCGGACAAACTCTTCAGACAGCAACGCCGATCTCATCCTTCAGTCATCCTCGGAGAAACTGGCTCCGATATCCGGTAAGTCCCAAAAACATTGGTTGTAATTGGTCGATTGCGCGCACAGTGTTCCGGGGTGCTGCTTTGTGCCTTTTCTCAATCGTTGGTTGGTACTTGCCGGCAATAGCGTGCCCTCGTGGTAGACATACGTGGAAATGGCCGGGCTAGATTAAAAAGACGCACTCTCGTACAGCCTCCAGATGGGAGGTAGTTTCTTTTCGGTGGGGTCGTTGTGACCTCACCCCTTCTACCGTTTTATTCCTTCTAGAAAGGCACCCAAATCTCACCGTGTTGGCCTCGTCATCCCAGGGTCGAATTGGAAAAATTTCCAGACTAGTTAGATCTACAGGCCTCGAGGTCACCTGCCTGCAGGGACTTAGGCAAAACAGCTCTTGCACTTCATCTTCTCAAAAACTAATTTTCCGTATGAAGCTTTTGTCGTAAGTGCACTGCAGTTATTTCACGAACGCATTGGCGCACAATTTCAGTCGCGGTAGTTGGAGCAGTTGTTCAGGGTGGTTCGGCGGTATTGGAAGGGGGTGGCACGGGCGCGTCGTCACGCGGCTAGGATAAATTCTATTACGTTTAATTGAGAGCAAAGGCCACAAGGAATCCGACTGTTTAACTGGGCTGTGGCTTGGGGTGGAACTTACCGTAGACAGCAAGCATTGTGCAGGGACAGAGTAATTGCACTCTACCCAGTGGCTTCACATGTGCTACGCCGCTCCAAAGGTGGCAGCCTTTGTAGTAGCAGCTTAATTTAAAGAATTGAAAATGGTTCCACGCAGTTCCTCTACAATGGCTCATAATGAGGCTGGAGGTAATCTCTCGCTGCTTTAGGTAACCCGTTTCGTTTCCCCCCAGGTCGCTCCCGCTCGTTACTCTACACGGCAGAGCCCAGCTCCTTCCAGCAGGAGTACTCCGACGCCGTGAAGTCCGGCCAGTACATCGAGGAAGACATCGACACCTCCGACGACGAGGGCGACAGCCACAACCGCTGGGCACCCTCGCCCACCAAGTCGACTCCCGCCAGGGGCTGGGGCTTCGGCTTGGGACGCGGCTACAAACGACGCTGGGACACGGCCGAGGACAAGATCTCGGTCGTCACGGCAACGGTGCCACCGGACAAGAAACAGCGCCACCTGGCCAACTACAGCGCAACGGCACGACCGGTGGTGCTCCAGATGCAGCGGCAGGCCTAGCGGGGTCATTGCGATTCGGCGGGGCGGGATCGGACGCGATTTGCGATCGGCGCCAGTCACGAAGGTTTGCATCGTAGCGAGTCTCTCGCGATCGGTTCTTCGAGGTGGCGGTTTTTAATTCGCGACGCGTTTGACTCGGTCCCGACTCTGAATTGGGTTCATTAAAGTCGTTAAAAGCCTAGAATGGGCGGCTCAAATGAATGCCTGATGGTTTGTTGAGAATAGGAGAGAAAAACAAAAACTGAGTCATCTCCGGTTATAGGAAGACAACAATTTCTTTTTTAAATTACATTTAGAGTTAGAAGGGAGTTTCGTAAGGTATGCAATGGGATATATGATTTAAATTATCGCCGTGGGATATCAAAAAACGACATCGAAGGAAGATTGGCCGCGAGAAGTAAAGCAAACGTTTTGGTCGAGGAGTGCGGTAGCAAGCTGTATATCTACACACGTTGAGATCCCGTCATGAATTGGTTAATACTATCCACACCTTGCTTTACCCTCCCCGAGTGCTCGAGACCACAAAGTCAATTTTTGAAACTTCTGGAATGAAATGATTTTTTTTTATGCTTTTTCGTGAATGGTAATTGTGTTCAGAATATTTGATGAGAACTGTGTGAACATTATACACATTTTTTTCCCTATCGAAGCTCACTGCATGCCAGCCAGGATGTTATACACAAAGCAACTAAGACGTTATGCGCTAACGTAGCTGCACTGGATTTTGCACATCACTGCAGCCAAGTTCTTTCCCTCTTTAATAAGGAAGGAAGCTGACTTCTTCATTCCTGACATCCCTCCAACTTTTCTTGCATCGTCTGCTTAATGTACCGTCGTCTGCTCCTCATTCGTGACGTCTGCTAGAATCCAAAGAGCCAGTTTTTTTTACCTTCATAAAATTTGGGCTTTAGATTTTCTATTCAACCTATCGCTTGCGTGGCACGTCTGCTTTTGAAGAATCCATTCTCGACGTATGTGCAATGTACCATTAGTAAGCAACGTAGCAGACGGACCTTTTTGCAATCTCTGATGTAAGCAACGACGTGTTTGTCTCCTCTCTAGTTTGCTAGGAAGAGTTGCGTTTCGTGAAATAAATGTGCGGGTTCTTGTTGCCATTGTCGCTTGGAAGTTCCATTTTGTGCCGTCATGTTTATGGTACTTCTGTATGTTGACTTTATACCCTTTTTGTTTAAATGGTTTACTGGTATGTGTGAATGCTTCTGTGGCATATATGACTGCACTGAATTACAGACCAAGGGTTTGGAATAAACAAAGTTATTGTATACCGAACAGCTGTGTGTGTGTGAAGTGCATTGCTGAAAAATTGCACAGGGCACTGTTGATGAAATAAATGCAAAGTTGACGTTTAATTACCCGGTTTTAAAATCTTAAGCGATGGGAGTGCTGCGCTGCTTGCGCCAAAATGCGCCAAAGTGCCGTTTTTGCTAAGAATTGCACCCCACCTGTGTCAAAATGAGCTTAAAAGCAAAAAGTAAACATTATTTTATTATTGGTCGACCCTCATATTCAGTAAAGCAGGAGGAAAGAAAGATGGTACAAATATGTATTTCGAAATATCTCTACTCGCCGTATAGTTTGTTAATTTTGGTCGGAGCACCAGTCGAAGACTCCAACACGTACAGCATGAACACACACCCTTCAGTTGACTCATTAATTCAAAGTCCAGGAGTCCACAGACTTTAGTTTGAAATATCAGAAGTTTAAATGATCAGAAATTCATCTAAATATTATGCGAGGCAAAGTAGCCATTTGCTATAGAAATAGCTGCACATACCAAGCAAATTTTTTTTACACTTTTCTCTATACAGGCTTATTTATAAGCAGGCACACACACACAAAAAGACACTGGTAGAGGTTGAAGCAAATAGTTGTTTTGGCCAGATATTTTTTAATCTAATATCAAATAGTTTCCAAGTTTTTACTACAGTTTTCCCGTGCTGAAACGAAAATTCATCCTAACTCTTGAAGGTTGCTCCCAACCTTTGATTTGTCCATTTCTAAGTTCAGTTTTAATATAACTTCCCTATATCTATAAACCGTAGCCTCAGAAAGTCCAATGCCTACATTGGGGTGGCATGCAAATGACAGATTGGACATAAAATTAAACCTAAAGAGACGCCCAGCAATTCCAATCGAGGGGATTTATAAATCTGCTTTCTATGTGCAAATACTTTTTTTAAATCTCGAATTTAACGTCCTCAGAAAAAAAAACAAAAAAAACAAGCATGAATAATGAAAGTAGATTGTCCGTGCAGTTTTGCTTTCCATCGAGCGTACTTCTCACCGAGCACCTGCGTGCGCACTGCAAAAAAGCAATGACTGCGAGCTTTGCGGGTATTACTTTCCCGCAGTACAGATGTGCTCCTTGAGAAACGCACTCAACGGGGCTAACCCGCTGCGATCAACAAATAATATGAATTAAGCGAAAACGCTGGTTGAATTAAGCGGCTTATAAATGCATTGAAAACACAGCGTGACAATCAAAAGTTTTAAATTCGTTCGAATTAACCGGAAGTACGAAATATCAGGGTTTGAGTTATCACAAGTCCACAGTAAAAGCGCAAGTTACGGGACACGCTCTGCACTTGATTGGTTTCGCCAACGAAAGAACATGCACAGGCAAATGAACAAATGCCACAATGTTGCGCTTTGATGCTGTTCGGTTGGTACCATTGGCCCATAGCGTCGACTGCACTTTAAATTCTGAAACAAGGTATAAAGATTGCTCGTCAAATGCCCTGGCTGGTACCGCCGACGTCTACATTTCCAGGCGATGTCGGCGACGTCGGGAGCAAAAAGTTGCGAGAAAATGCAGCAAGATAGTAGGATGGCAGCTACTGTGATAAAATAGAGCCAGGGTCTTGGACCCCTGATGAGATCACTTGATTATCATGTCTGCCATATGCCTGCATGCCGCCTCTCATCAGCGCTTGCGCGTTGAGCTTCTCCACTTTGCACCGGAGTGCTAGAAGCAGCAGCTGACATGGGTGAGCACCTGGGTTAGCGCGGTAGGCTCAGAAATTATACTCGGTACTATTACGAGTCTACCTTCTTTGGTCTTGATTGTAAATTGAGATCTCTAATAAAAACATTAAAAAAAATGTGCCAAGAAAGAGAAAAAAAATCTGGGTCTATATTTGAATAAATACGGTAGTGGAGGTAGTTTCCGTGCCGCTGTCGATCGGAAGAGAAGCAAACTTCGACTTTCCTCTGGTTCCAGCGCCGCTGAAGTGCAATGTCACTTTTAAAGCACAATTGTAGGTTTTCGTAATATTTGTGGGTGACTGTTTTTATAGTTTATAATATTAGAGTCTTGAGTTCGGTAAGTTCATAAAACTTGGGGGGTGCATTTTTATCGAGGCGTGTTAGCAGATGTGCTGGGTTTTGCTGGCATTTTATAGAAATTATTTATGAGCTAAATAAAATACCGGGTGTAAAAGTGCGAGAGGAGAGAGGCTTTATTCCAATTAAGTGGTGCACTATGATAAATTTTTCAACATTTTTTTTGTGATAACGTAATAAGGTGGGCAAGCTGGTTAAAGGTAAACATTTCTAAAACACAAGATGGAGGCTACAAACAGAGGATAAACACAAGACTGTCTCAATTTTTTAGTGCCCATTGTTTATGGAACTTACTCTGACCGGAGCTTTATTTATGAAAGGAAGGCTCTGTGTTTTTTTTGCACCCTATCTACAGGGTCGTCGAGATAAATCCAGACTTTTTCCAGATTTCGTCTCTCAACAATACAGTGAAGCTAACCGGCTGTATTGTGCTTATGCGGTCACATGATTCGACAGCGGGCCATCGCATGACGAAAAATTCCCGACTTGCTCAAAAAAGAGCAGGGAATACAATCGGAGGGCAGCAATACTCGGATCACTTCACGCTGGAGAGTCACCTAAAAAAATTATTGCGTGGTGTGGCTACAAGAAGACACAAGTTTACAGCATTGCCAAGACATTTAGATAATCTGTCAGCCAGGACGATGTTACGGCAGATTGAGCTAAGCACAGAAAACGGTCAATATTCGTTTCATCTTTGCCTCGGTGCGTTTTCCTGAATACGATGAATTTTCCATATTTATATCGACGACCCAGCATTCTTATTACAAAAAATAACAAGTAATATGCTGCAGTATCAAAGAGGAACCCTCCATAATTATCAAAGATGAACTCATCTGGCAATGCAATCACTTTTTCATTTTCAAGTGATGAGCTAACAGATGTTGGCATCTGTTCCAAAAGCATCAATAGCTGCTCCAAACCAGTATTTCGCCTGCTACAGAACCTGCTACGAAAGGTCAATTGCCACCTCCATCACTAAACCTTTGGTTATAATTTTTATTGCAGCAAAAAAACAAACATTCATGTACCACAAATGGCAGTACAGAACGCAGCAACACAAAGTCATTGCTTTAGGAACACCTTTGTGAACTTTTTTCTTAGTGACTGTTATTCATTGTAAAAAAATATTTGTGTCACAAACCATTCAAACCGGGCACTTTCTAAAGTGCAAGGAACTTGTGGTTACTGTCAATGAGTACAGATGCCGAGTAATGACTATCAAACTAGACTAGACCAAGACTAGACCAAGACTAGACTACTTGAAGATATTTAGGTCATTCATGGCCGGACACCTTGTAGTGAATGTCGGGCTGCTGTCGCAATGTCGCAGCTGCCTAGAAAGGAAAAAAAAAGTACCAAAACTATTTTTCTTTTTAACAATAACCAAATGCACACAAGCTCAGTTCGATTCACTTTAGCATAAGACGTGTGCCACTGAGAGGCTGGGTTTCTTGCTGCAGACCGAATTTTACGCGAGTGAACTTGTACGGTGAGTAGCTTGTAGGCTCGTGTAACAAAACATGTCACATTGCACGTTTAAAGATCACCATGGCATACCCCGATTCATCTCATCTGGCTCATCTATCGTTGGGCATCACGGTCCCTTCTAGTCGCAGGCACAAACAACTAACAAGTGCTTTCTGGAAGTAGTGCTCATGCACCTAGTGCTGCTGGACTGACCTTGTTCAAAGCTCTTTCGCATGCTTTTGTGCGATGCAATGCATAAAATAAGAACTGGGCAAGATCTCTACAACTTTAACATTAACAGTTACATAGTTCTTTTTTTCACCTGTTCAGGAGTGAGATCCCGTTGAGGTTGTGCCAGCATTTCGTATCCGACCATGAACTTCTTTACGGCTGCCGAACGAAGTAGTGGAGGCAGGTAGATAGCATGCAGTTGCCAGTGTGCCATGTCTTCCTTGTCAAACTTGCCAGTGGGGGCACCTAGAACGCACCATGTGTTTAACAGCGTTGCCTCATACGTGTCCGTTTATGTTCGAACATGCCCATCCATGTTTAGGTATCGGACTAGCATGTGGCCAACTATGCGTACAAAAGTAATAAAAAAATAAGCCTCGTCACAAATCCGCTTGCTCCTCCAGCACTACCCACTTGGTGATTACCATGAGGTATTAAGGCTTGTTTACAGTGAATAACACTGAAACATTGCACGATTGTCGAAGCATTGTCTCTTGCCATGCGCATGGGAAGAATTGACCAACAGCGGGGATCTAAGGCACATGGAAATGGTCAGGCAATCTCAAAACGCAGTCATTATTCGCAGTATCAAGATCTTGGTAATCAATGGATGATCTGGTTTTATGTCCCTCATCTCCAGTCATCTGTTCTTGTAGGAAGCCTAATCGACTTCATTTTCATGACCATTCCTTCTTTTTCAAGAGAAAGAATGGGACATAGCATATACTTTCGGTGTGTCAATTTTCTCTTTAAAAATTGATAAAATTGATCAGTGTCTTTGTCAGGGAAGTTTAGTGAAGCTTGATTTTGGTGCAATGTTCATCAGGCTTTTCCTCTCTATGCACAAATAATTGTTTCAAATTTTATAGCAATGCCATGTCATCAAAACTAGAGCACACTGTAAGCAGTTAAAAAAAGCAAAAAAAGAGTGCAGTCACCGTGCCATCCCATGGAATATGGAAACGACACCTGAAAGAGGTTGTCGTATTTGGTCAGTAACATCTTCATGGCATCTGCCAAGTCTGCACATTGAGGACAACGAAAAAAGAAAAAAAAAGGAAACATGAGCGTCAAACATAGCTCTTTCAAAAGAAAGCTATAATGCTTCTCAAAAACTGGGCCGCACCTGATCTCTCGGCAGCATCCAGATCGAACAGCCTGGTCACGTGTCGCTTTGGCACCAACATAGTTTCGTATGGCCATACGGCCCAGAAGGGGACGACTGCAACCCAGTACTTGGTTTCAATGACAATTCGTTCCTACTCGGACAGTTGAAAATGATGGTGTCGCATGAAAAAAACCAAAAAGAAATAGACACGTATGAATTGGTTTTCACCTTTCACGAGGAGAGATACGTTTAACTGGTATGTGATTACTAAACCGTTTATTGAAACTGCCCCTACTAGTAATATGCGGTGATAATGCTCATGTATCAATGTATCACTTGCATCGTGCTAACAAAATTGTTCTTCTAGAGCTTAACCTGTTTCCACAACAAAAATAAATATATACCATAAAAAACCGGGGGAGCACTTCTTTCACTGAAAACTGGGATACGCTAAGCGCCGGTCAAATCAGGCACTTAACATATAATTTTCAGAATTCCCAAGTTTGGGAAGTGTTCATCGGGGACTGCAACGTTTTCTTTGCAGTCCCCGATTTGCCTGAAAATTTGTTAAACACACCAACAAACATCGCTGAAATAGAAACTCAAATATTGGGCCAAAATTCTTTTTTTTTTCTGCGAAGTTATTGAGAAGACTGAGTGCGCAAGCGAGCTGGTAGTAGCTAATAATGCCATTTAACACCTGAAACTGGTGAAGGAAATTAATAACTTTTAGTTGATGGAACGGTTCTGCATAAAGAATGGAGCATAAAGAGGGTCGTGAAAGATACAAAGAAACAATAAGGATAATGTCTATCGGAAACTACATAAGCCAAGCCTCAATACAGCTTGGAAGCCGCAATAAAAAGTTCTTCAAATTATATATAAAAAAAAAGACTTTCGGTTTTTAAAAAGAGAGAAGGGTATTTGAAGCGGTGTTAATATTTGGGAAGCTTTGCTCGGGTCGGGGTACAAAGCGCAGCAATTGCAGTGTTCCAGAGGTCGCCCAGATGCAAGTCCCGGAAAAACCTCCCCCGTAGTCCTTGATGGTAAGGCATTTTACTGTGGGTTTGACCGTGTGGTCCCTTGTATATGTTCTTTGTATTTGAAAATGATCTCTGCATAGAAGGTGGTTGACAGTGATGGTATTATGGGTTTGACCACTTGGTCTCTTGTGCATGTGTGTTTTCTTTGTATTTGAAAATGTTTTCACCAAAGGAGATCTCTGTGTAGGTGGGTGAATATACATAGGTTGCTTGAGGAATAAACCAGTTAGCCGAGTTCGAGACGTTCCCTTGTGTGTCTGTTCCTTCGACTAGAAGCTATTGAATTTACAATTCTGGTCCTCACCGTGTTTTTCAAAGTGAAAGGCTCTACTGGCGACGATGAAAAAGTGACATCAGGGGAAGGCAGGGGTTCACTCTTTGGGCTGTAGATTTTGTTAGAAACTGATTACAAATAGTTTCATGATGTCAAATAAATGCTTTGGAAGCTCGCTCTAGCTCCCGCGCAGCAGCACCATGAAACAAATGCTTGGCATAGTGCCTTTTAGGTTGACCGCTCGACCCGCAAGCTTGCCTTCCCCCGACATCACGGCATTGAAAAGCACGGGTATATTTGAACCTTGGTTTTGGTGTCATTTTCATTTGCCAATTTCACAATAACTATTCTAAATTTCACGATAGTAAATAGCATGCCAAAAAGAGTAAAGTCCAACGATGTAGAAAATACAGTTGGGATAGCTCAAAAATTCGCCGGAGCATCTCTTTAACAGTGGGCACTTGAACGAAGTGGGCGCTTCCATGGTAGTTTCCAGTAATGTGATGCCTGAACATTAAATTGCAATGATTTTCACATCAACTATAAATCAAAATGTGGTGTAAGAAAAACACCCCCACTGTTCAAATAATTATGCGAAGAGATTGTAAAAAATGAATATCTGAAGCATACACAAGCTTCACATTTTATCAAGATGTAAGAAGCTCTCATGTAACATCCTTTCCATGTTTGCTTTGATTGAGCTTCATTGTAGTTAGTCGATAAAGAGTGCGAAAGAAGACACACGGTGGAAGACTACTCTTTGCACAAGCTCAGCAGCATACACTAAGACTATGGTAGCCAAGACATTGTATGCAAACACCCCCTCTTAAAATGAAAGTGTACAGAAAAACCGAAAAAAAAAAAAGTAAAATCGTTGTTTTACCACATTTTTTTCTTTGTGTCAACGAGATAAAAAAGTGAACTTACTCGCTTCACCAATTCTTTGCTAATGTAGTCCACGAGAAGTGGCTTCCCGTGCTTTTCATAATACGCTCGTTGGGTTCTGTCCTTTATGCGAGGTTCATTCGGCAGAAACGAGCTTGCCCAGATCTAGACCAAACACACAAGCGTGCTTCAAGGTGAATAAGAGAAGAGCATTGGAAAATGAGCCAGAAAAGTGTTGCATGATCAGGGGCACTACCTGACAGTGAGGGTGGGGATTGGAGCACCCCATAATGTCTCCCTTGTTCTCAAAAACCTGAAGTCGAAAGAAGACAGAATGAAAAAAATTGTATGGCAAATTGCTAGGCAATTGTGTTGCATATGTAAAACATTCCAAAATCACAAACATTCAGTGACACTCTGAGTTTTCAGGGTCTGCCTTAAAAGATTTGTTTCAGCATATCATATAAAATGATCTGCTTCTTTTTCATTATTTCAAAGCACTTGCGGGTGAAGCGTATGTGTTTGCTCATTAATTGTGCCTGGCTATTCCTGTTGTTAGTGCTTGCTGGTTTCTGTATTATCAAATCTTTCATTTGTAGTGTTTGCTTTTTTTTTCTCAATATGCACTGCTTTTACAATGTGCATCAATATCTGAAGTGCAAATGTGTCTCCTTTATTTGTCCTAGCTTTTTCCTTTTATTTTTGCTTTTCTTTGCATTTTTTTATGTTCTACCCCCCAAAAAGGGGCCCAATCCTACAACACTTTCTATGAGAAAGTAGTATCTGTAAATGAATGAATAAAAAAATAGAATAGAGCAATACTAGCGCTAATCGGGCTGATAAACCTGGCGATCTTCCAGAGCCTTCCATACCCTCGAGCCCCTCTCCCTCACTCCCTCAGCGTGCACAGGTGGTCTAGCTCCTCCTCGCCTACCTCACTCCTCCTCGCCTGCCCCTCGGTCACATGACCTCCCCGTTAACAAACTGGCGTCAAGCACTTCACTGCCCCCCCCCCGTCAACCAATCAGTGTCGAGCGCAGGCACGCTTTTATTTAGGCTTGAGCAAAAGCCGAACACCCAGCCAAAGAATATTTCACAATAAAGCAGGAACTTAAAACTTCTACACTGCTGACAGCATGCCCATCAATATTGGATACAACACCGACAACGGTGTACGAGTAGCTCGGAAAAAAAAAAGCGCAGAGCAGCGAGGCCAGTTTAATTACATGTAACATCATTCATAGTCTTTCACAAGATGAGAATGGCAGGGAGGAGTTTTAATGATCCACCCTTCAGCACGCGCATCCTACCTTCGACGACGCTTTGGCGCCCTGTGATCCTCAAGCGTGTGCATGCAGCCGAGGTAGGTGGGTGTTCGAAAGAGACACCCTGCAATTCTCACCTTGTCAGTGACTATAGTACCTGCAACTAACTCCTTTTATTTTTGCTTTGAGGCTGTCAAAGTGCAATTCATCATATTTTACGTGCAGAAACGCTGCCTCGAAGGTGACGAAAAACACGACACACAAATATCATGTTCCAAATCTCGCCTGGCATTAAATGAAACGAGCATGTTCCGCTTTCATCTGTCGCGTCTTCCTGGTTAGCTTAGTCTGTCAGAGTTTGTTGTAGCGTCTCATTCGATGGTTGAAAGTATGCCGTGACTGCCACTAGTAGAACACGTACCAACCTGAACCCAGGTGTACTTCTTTCCGAGTTCAGCAGTCTGCGATGCCCATTCATCAATAACCGTCTCAACTTCTTCACGAGCCATCAGGGGCAATGTGACGTTGGAAGATGGGTGGAAGCACATGACAAGGCAAGTTCCTTTCGCTTCCGCCATTCGGAACAATTCGTCTCCGTCACTCTCTATGTGGACAAGATTTTGTTCTTCATTCAGTTTTCTTTTATCCGTGCCGTGGACAAAACAATATTGCATTTACAAAACTATGTTTTCACGCTATCAAAAAGTGCAGTCACCCTATTCCACAACTATTTTGTTCACTCAGTATCGTTTAATTGTACTATTATTACCTCTCTTTAGCTAGGGATCGCACTTTTGTTTTGTTTTGTTAGGTCACACCTGTCCTTTGCATGTCCAGTTCATGCAAGTGTAGTTTTACCTGCTTTGCTGAATGTACCATAATCTCTAGCCATCAGAGAAGTGTAAACAAAGCATAAAGCTAACACAGAAGAAGCTCAGGGACTTTGGATGTCCAGTACTAAGTCCCTTGGCAAAACGTGAACTCTCACGGTTTTGAGGAGGTAGTTTCTTCAGTAACCATAGATGCAAGTTAAGCTTCACAGAAAAGCTTGTAAAAAAACAAAACCGGACAGAGAAAAAGAAAAGGGGACTTACTGGGCCCAGGGGCATCCTCAAGAAGTGCGGGGAAATCATTTTTGAATGTAAAGGTGGACTTGTATTCAGGATTCACCTACAGTTTCAAGCATAGCATGCTGTTCACTAGCAGATTGCGACACGATTACCGCAAACTCGGCACACTAGTAATTCAAAAGCCAAAATAATATGAAAAGATGTGCACAGAGTTTGGCTAGAGACTATTGAAGGTATGAGGTAATTTAAAATAGTTTTCAAGTGACTTACAAAAGTTTTAAAATCTGCAAGCATTTATAACCTCAAGAAACCAAAACCTCATCTAGGGAGGTCTTATGAAAGGTTTTTCACCGCCACCAAAACAAGCTGAGCAACAAGTAACAGCTCGCAATCACGTGACTTTGGAGGCACCGAGCAATGACACGGGTAGATTCTAACACTATTGTGCTAATATCCACCTGTACTACAGGCAGATGTAGTAATAAAAAGAAGAATAGAAGCCCCCCCACCCCACAGAGGTCTCTGCTTGCCATCATTGTTGGCTTCCTCCTGTCCAGCATTCACACTAATGAATGGAAAGAGTTTCGGCAGGGTGTCGGAACGAAACGAAGAAGAATGGCATTTTTGGACGGAACGAAAACATAATTAAAAGATTACTTAATATTTTGTTCCGGAGTGAAACCGAAAAAGTTTCTTATCGGATTTTGGTTCAAGGGGAAAGTACAGGTATTTCAGTATCTTTTAGATTCCGGAGACCCAGAAGATGCCTCGAAGCATTTCTGGATCAAAAAGAAGTTCAGGCTGCACCCTCATCTGACAAGGGAGCCAGGCCCACTGGACGTAGCATGCTTGCTCAAAATGCTGGATAAGAACCTTGAATGCATCCACGATTTGGGAAGAACGAAGAGAACTTCAAACGGAACTGGACACATTAGCGCAAGTAGCCGTTGCTGTACCATCCACGTAGGCCAGCGTAGAGCGGGCATTTTAGGCGCTCAAGTTGATTTTATAGGAACAGAGGTCTCAAATTTCCCCTAGTGCACTTGAGGACGCGCTGCTTCCGGGATCATGCTCAGTGCGTCGAGTCATTCTTCCTGGCAGAGTATTTTACCCAGATTCTTAAATTTTCAATAGTTGCAAAAGCTTGCTTTTGTTATAACTTTTTAAGGACCTACATTTTGATCAAAATTAATTATTTGTTTTTTTTCTTTAGTTTTGGTTCTAAATATTTTGGCATGCAAACACAAACCAATACAGACCATAATATTTTTTTAGAGCGCAGCGCTTGTTTCCGGCTTGAGCGGCGGCGGCAACGGCGTAACCGTGAGGTCATGTGACCCTAATGACGTCACATGACACACGTAAGGTCACATGACCCCCGTGAGGTCACAAGGGCCATGCAACGTCACACGGGTCATGTGACCTCACGGTTACGGCGACGCTGCTCAGAGAGTAGCAGGCAGGATGAGAAAATGAGGAAGAGGGGTATATCCTCCCCTCAGTACCTTTCCCTCCTCCTCCTCAAGAGCTGCGCTCTAATTCGGCGTTACAAAAAATTGTAACTTTTTTTTTTTTTTTTTCATTAGCAGAATTTGAATGGAACATTGATCTATAGAACTGAAACCAGAAGAAACAAAAAAAAAAAAAAAAACTGTTTGGGCTTTGTGGAAGGAGCACATCTTGCTGTTCTTAACTTTCTATGAACTATACATCTGGTTAGATGTCCGAATAAGGTCTCAAAACAGAGGAATGAGTTGTGCAAACCTTCTAAGCTCTTTCACAATATGTGCTAAATAAGTGCAACTCATCATCTATTTTGTGTGGTGTGCAGTCACCTCTCCGCTTGCCCTCCGAACCCCGGGGCAGAGTGGGTTTTCGGGATCGAAGGCAGGCATGGGGCGCTCAACCGCCTTTTCCGTCTTTCCCGACCAGGGCCGTAGCGTTCTTTGGGGGGACACCAGCACCCATTCATCTTTCAACGGGTTGTATCGGATGTGTGGGTGTTCTATATTTATAAAAAAAAAAAAAAAAAAGTACACAGCAATTTAAAATGTGGTCTACGGAGCCGATTTTTGTATTTGATATTGCCTGGAATTATTACCAGAAAGCACCTTTATGAATAATGATTGAAGACAAAGTTGGCAAACAGGCGAGCTGGTTTAGGCCTGATATTTTAAACCGGAGACAACAAACCACCATAAAGGCCCGTTCACACTCTTGCGACCGAGTACGACTGAGAGAGACGAGATCTCTTACAACTTCTTAAATGTTTCTAAAATGAGGGAATACACTGACATTGTGGCGCCATCTATGCGGTGACCCTAGAACTGCATTTCACAAAAGCGAAGGTTTTGCGGGATTTCCGAGGTCAAATGTGCGTAATACCCATAGAAAGGCTCGTTTATAACATTGACAAAAGTTTTTCGAGCCAAAAAAGAAAGGATATTGCGCGAGAAATAAAAAAAAATATGCCGGACCGCCGAGTTTACACTGCTTCCCAATAGATGGCGCCAGTGTGTTCTCTGGTTTAAGAAGTAAGGAACCCAGGTTTAAGAGGTCGCAAGCAGTCGCAAGAGTGTGAACGGGCCTTAAGAACCAATCATGCCTCAAATATTTGCTCTTTTGTGAGACTTTGTAAACTTGTCCTAGAATGCAGTAAATTAAGACTTTCAAGAGCAAAATAAGGACTTTCAAGAGCAACTGAGTGTAGGCCAGGCTAGGTCAGGTTCAAATCTCAGTCCCGGCATTCACCGTTCAGAAAGTCCACAAACAGGAAGAAAAAGCGAACCAATGCTTTCGACCTTTGAGCCCAGCTGACGACGTAGCTGTACGGTCTGCTACGAGTTTTATCATGATTATGCTACACCCGGGGTTTTGCTTTTTCGAGTCGTGCTGTACAAACACGACTAAAATTAGCGATAACGGACGTGAATACAAGCAAAATACCTTTGGCAACGAACGTCATATCTGGAAGTATCGTCCAAGACACGAAGTAGGCGAAATCGCAGAATCGCAGAAAACCGCCCTTTCCTTGCTTTCGTCTCGTCGTTCCCCTGGCGTCGCAATGGGGAACACGTTCGGTGTTCCATTTTCGGGAGTCATTAAACCAACGTATTAAACCGATTAAACCTCGTGAAATCCAAAGAACATTTACCAATTTGTTCACGAATCGCTCGCGCTTCGTTCACTGGGTAAAACAAAGCGTTGATAAACCGTACAGAGGCAAGATGCAAGTCACTCCGTTTGTCGTCTGCAACTCGCGCTCGGCAAAAAAAAGATAAGATAAAGTTAACAATAAAAAAAAGTTTTCTAGGCATTTTTTAGAGCTATATGTAGCCATTGAATACGTATAAAAAGTTCAGTTATTTTTAAAGGCAAGTTTGACTCGCACACCGCAACTATCAGTAGCAAAAAAGTCGGCTCACAACAATGCGTTGTCCGCCATCTTGAATATTTGCTCTTTCACGTTTACCTCAAAAAAGCTTGCGGGTTGTCGGCAACGTCGGTCCCCAGATTGTCAAATCGCCGACGGTTCAAAGCCGCGCCACAAGCCCCACCATGGCCCCGAACATCACGGTAAGGGTCCATCCCGTAGTACTGTTCGCCATCGTCGATTCCTACGAGCGCCGCAACGACGGCGCCGAGCGAGTCATCGGCACCTTGTTGGGCTCGTACGAGAAAGGCGGCGTCGAAGTCACCAACTGCTTCTGCGTACCGCACAACGAGTCCCAAGACGAAGTCGCCGTCGACCTCGAGTTTGCCAAGAACATGTTCGAGCTCCACAAGAAGGTGAACAGCTCTGAAGTGATCGTGGGCTGGTACGCCACCGGCCCAGATGTCACGGGACATTCTGTCCTCATCCACGACTACTACAGTCGCGAAGCGACAAACCCCATTCACCTCACCCTCGACACACTCATGGCGGACGGCAAGATCAACATCAAGACGTACACGAGCACGCCGTTCGGCGTGCCGGGCAAAAACGTCGGCACCATGTTCTCCCCGTGTAAGGTTGAGGTGGTCGGCTACGACGCGGAGATGGTCGGGCTCAAGGTGACGCAGGGAACGAAAAACAACAAGCAGAGGAGCGTGGAGTGCATCGCTGACTTCGACTCGGTGAGCAAAGCGGCCAAGGAGATGCGCGAGATGCTCGAGGTGGTGATCACGTACGTGGACGACGTGCTGACCGGGAAGACACCGCCGGACAACCATGTCGGTCGCATGCTGCTCGACATCATACAGAGCGTGCCGCAGATGGATCACGAGAAGTTCCAGAACATGCTGAACAGTAACATGAAGGACTTGCTCATGGTGGTCTACCTGTCCCAGCTCACCAAGACGCAGCTGGCTCTGAACGAGAAGCTTAGCATGCTGTAGGCCGGATGGGTCTAAGCACTCGTTAATAAAGACAGGTCTGTGAATTGATGCCGGGAGCGAATCGTGTCTAGTCACTGTTCTAAATTTCGTGCTGCAGAAGCTATTTGCTTTCTGTTGTCATAGGTGATGAAAACTAGTCGCTGACAGGACAAGAACAGCAAAGTTGGGTTTCGGTAGTCCCGCCTCCAGTGCCGACCCTGTACGAGCACTAATTTGTCGCGAGTGAGGGTACGAAATTGGTACTGAGACAGCATTCAAAGCGCCGAGGCAGCATGGACCGATCGAGCGAATCCCAATGGCGGTCATTCGTAGACGGCTTTCACGCACTCTACAATAAGGTTCGCGAGTTTGACTTCCCAGATGTCGTCTTCTACTGCATAGAGCGCAGTTCATGCCGGGCAACGTACAGTCGCGTATTCAGTTCGACTTGCACTGAGAAACATCTTGCAAGGAAAAACATTGTGGGTTTTGCAGATTGTGTGCATACATTGCGTGGGGAGTTGGTAATAGGGTGCAAACCAAATACACCTATCTTTCTGCTGCAGTTTTCACTAGCGGGATGAGAACTGAAGGGCCTCTCCTTTGCTGAAGGACCTGAAGGGCATATCCCTCAACTGAAAGACCTCCTTATTGTTCTTAACGTGTTTGTGACTATAGTGTGATTGACTGTCTCATGATGACGTTTATTTTGGCAACATAATTTGATTCTAATGGGAAGTTCTGTTGGTAGCTGTGGAGTCCCACCCTGGGGCGATTGTGACTGTCTGCTTTGTCTATCGGTGCATTGGAAGTACTACTGGCTTTGCAGGGTTGGGTGAAGTACATATAAAATATACTCGAAGCAAAGTACAAAGTAAATTGGACGTTATGTACTTCAAGTAAAGTTGTAAGTACACTGGGTGCAACGCACTTGAAGTAAAGTACTATAAATACAATGAACTTCCAGAGAAACAATTCTTTTTAGCGCAATCTGTCATGATGAAGAGAGCATGACGTGAGCCCTGTAGCTTCTGCAAGCAATCCTCTCGTGGAGGAGTGTCCTCTTTTATCAATTATTTTTAACCTCTTCGCTTGCGCTAACAGAGCGAGAAGTAGTGCGAGTTTGAAATGCTGCAGGTAAGCCGCCGCAGTACAAATGGAGCGATGCATCCTCTGCTCATGTTTCTGGTGAGTATTTCAGAATTGACAAAGCATCATTTCATGATACAAATTTAATAAGACCCAATTTAGGGAATCTACTTTGAAGTTGGGAGTTGTACTTTCCTTGGAAAGTACCACGAAAAATACTTTAAGTACATGTTTTCTAAACCTACTTGAAGTATCACTTCAATCCAACACTGGCTTTGTGGCATTACCAAGAAAGTGGAGAAACATCTCTCCCAAAAGCGTCCGCAGCAGTCGCCAGAAGTGGAATCATTGACAGGGAAGTGCGCTCATCCTTCATTGTTGATATCCACTTACAATGTTGGTGGTCAAGTTGGATTTCTGCTCTCCTGCCTGGATTACTGGCTTTGTTGAGGATTCAGGTCAATGGTCAAAAATGCATAATTGAATTTCTAGTAAGGAACAGCCCATTAAATTTCTAAAGATGACTCATTTATTCTTGTGCAGAACCTTATCTGGTCACATGATTAATTTGCTCGTTGTAAAAGGAGTTGCAACGCAATTCAATAAATACTAGTCACCTAGATTTGATAGACACTTGCAATGTACAGCAATACAACTTGGAAAGCTCCCCTCTATGACACAAGATTTCTACAATACCCCCATAAAAATAAAGTACCAGTACTTCCATACTGCGCACTTCCTTGTTTCTCCCAAGCTATCATGACACCAGCCATAAGTTGAAGTATGACTAAGAAACACTTCATGCAACAACTGATTCACATGGTTAGATCTAATTTAAGTACGCACATGCCATCATCATGACACAAAACTTCGAATGATACGAGTGAAATCTTAGCAACTGAACAACGATAAATCACCAGCTTGTTGCCAAACAGCCGCAGGAGTGTGACACGCTGAAAATTCAGTAAATGCACCACCTCTAGCACGTGCTCATTGCATCCCGCCGGTGTTTGGCTGCACATGCGATAGTGTTATCAAAGGCAGAAAGCTCGCGCTTGAGGCAAAGCATTCACAGGATTCTTAACCTCAACCGCTGTCATGCGTCCTATACCGGCCAACATTGTTAGCACATGGTCGACGAATGTCCGGCTCATAGTCGTTTGCTTTTCTGTACAGTCTTTGGCAGTCGTCACAGGGCAGGTTTTCTTCGCAGCACTTGAACCTGGGCAGGTGCGCCGGGCAGCACATGAGCACTGCACAGGCGTCCCAAGAGTTCCACTTCAACCTCCGTGCCTGGTGTTGTCAGGAAGGTAGGGAGGTACGCCATGGCCAGGCTCTGCCTGACCTGACACCCATAGCTTCCAGATGTCGTGTAGCCAACCACCTGCATTGAAGATGAAGCGACAATTAGTGGAGCTCGTGATGGAGCAAAAAAAAGTTCACTTCGATAGTCACAGGTGGGGCTAGAACGGCAGAGAGGTTCTATCCGGCCTCCAACAAGAGCTTTCTAGCTTTGGTAACGCTTCGGCATCTTGTGAGCCTCGGACGTGCATGTACACCAAAGCGTGACATAAGGCGACGAGCGCTTGCTGGACGCCGGCATCAGAAAGAGACGCCCTGCTGCTTTCGCCCTGTCAGTGACTATGGAAACTTCCCTGAAATACTGTTCCTATTTGGGCTATCGCGAGTGTTAGATGTACTAAAGATAGGTGCGTAAACAGCCTGAAGCCCAAGGGATGTGTTTCACTGTACAGTGAGAGGTCTGCTTCCTTACACTGCAGAGATGCGCTGCTGGGAAGAGTGCTGCCAAAGCTTGTGCGGGCATATTAATGCTCGCCAAGGTTTTTATTTTTAGATGACGCATGAGAGCCCAACTACCCAGAAAACAATTCGCGGCTTGAAATTTGTTTTCTTTCAGCCCAAAAACCACCGGTCGAGAACTGGCCAGCTTGAATTGCGCTCACTCTCTTTTTTGTGGTCACATGCCAATTTCTATGGTTTAGACACAACCACCAAGTATAATCAAAGTCGTAGGCCCTTGAACGCACACACAATATTAAAAATAGAGAATAAATATGATACCCATTTTTTGTGGCTTCAAAAAAGCTGCAAATACGATGATTGAAAAAAAAAAAAAAGTTGCAGAAGCCACATGAGTTTTGGTATCTTTCTTTTTCTCTATATTTTTTCTTCCTTCCCAGTCCAGTTGTGGTTTCGAGTAGTTGCGTTTTTTACTTTATTATAATATATGTGACAGTTGCAAAATATTGACTGAGTAGTCCTCCGACACCATAATAAATCCCCTAACAAAAAATAAAAAATAAATTTTGGAGGGTTTCAGAGTCCCTTTAAGGGTGCTGCACACAGGGGCATAGTTATGGAGCTTCAGCTTTTCATAAAATCCAGTCTCCCCCTCCTCCCTCCCCCCCCTCCCTCCCTCCCTCCCTCCCTCCCTCCCTCCCTCCCTCCCTCTCTCTCTCTCCCCCCACCCCAGGAAAAGTCCTGGCAATACCACTCTTTGTTTATATCCATGTTAAGGAGGAATTCACTTACATTTGAATAAGTAAATTATAACAATTGCAATGTTAGTGAACTCTTCACTATAAATTGGTTGACTCTTCTAGGAGGCTCATTTTTAAGTTGTACAGCTTAGAGTAATGCACTGAGGAGGTATTGCACCCTCTGCCCAATTTTTGGCACAAACTGAGAAACTGTCATCAAACAGCTAAATGAAATATTCTACCGTTACCATGCGCTATAGACGAGATCTTTCGTAACGGCTTATTTTTTATTGCCACATTTGTATCCAATTGCTTCTATATCAATTTTGTGTGTTCAAGATTACACAAAACCTTCCACCGATTAACGCATGAAGAAATATTGTCTAAATTAGCTCTGAAAGAACAGTCTCTCGCCTTGCCAGAGCACCAGACAGTCTCGTTGCCCTCGGGATCAACCTCCGTCGCGTCAACACTGAGATGGACCAGTTTTTTTCTGAATCCTTCTCTCAGCGACTTTTGCAGTGCTTCCTTCCCAACAAAGTCTGCCGGTTTCTTCATTCTGATGAAGGGACCCAAGCCGGCTTCGAATGGATTGCTGTCCACTGTCATCTGGAAACAAAAGAAATGCAGCCTGCGTACTCCCTTTCATCTGAGGATGTACCATAGTGGAGGCTGCAGAAGTTCAGCCCACAGCTTTGGCAGACTCTTGCCGCTTGAGAGTTTGTGCAGCCGAGGTGTATCTTTGAGCAAGCTCACACTTATAGACTTTGCTGTGGTGCATATTAGGGTGAGACAGTATAGGTGAAATTCTCTTGTATGATTGTGTTGTCTGCACAGCTTGAAGATAACTCACATCAGCACCCCAGAGTCTGAACCCTTTCTCAATGCGCAAGCTGTTGAGCGCGTAGGTGCCGAAGTCCCCGATGCTGTAGGCTTGGCCAGCGTCCAGCAGTGCTTCGTACAATGCAGAGGTCTGTGTCCTGTCATGGTACAGCTCCCATCCAAGTTCACCTTCAGGGAAGAGCAAGACATAGTGCAGGAAAAGCTTTCAGTATTGCTGAAGATAACTGTTCTGACCTTAGAAGTACATTGTGTAAAGTGGCAGCAGTTGAGTAACTGCAATGAAACAAACACTCAGACAAAAAGCCAAAGGAGCATGCTTGAGGGTTTACTATGTCATACAGGTATTGCTGAACCACAAAGCAATCTGTTAAAGACTAAAGATCATGCAGCAAGTCTCCTGCTGTGATATGTAGCTTCTGAGACCTGCCTTCCAAGGTCTGTCTTGAAACTCTTGTTAGACATACCTTGACATACAGACCTGTCTTGTGACCTCTCTTGAGACTTGTTTTATAAGTAGGCATTTGTAAAACCAACCTTATATGACCTTTTTTGTGATCGCTGTCCTCTCATGCTTGTGCTACGAGTCCTTGCATCCTATGAATGTAATTTGTGCAAATTTTATAAACCTGCCCAAGGGAGTCATTTCTCGAGACAATTTAATTACCAAGGGACTTGCAAGTTGCACAGTTCTCAAAATACTTTGCAATTCTTTTTTTTCTTATTTAAGACAGTTTTTGTGAGGTTAGTTATTTTTAAGGCTATGGTACAGGGGCACAGCAAGGAGTAGCACCAGGGCCGTAACCAGGGGGGGGGATAGGGGGTTCTGACCCCCCCCCGAAATTTTTTTCTGGGTACGGCCCTGGTCGGTGCGCTGACAGCCAGCCGATTTTAATCTCCACCTCTGCGCACGCGCAGTGGCGCCAGTCGGCTACCGGGTACCAAACCGGGACCGGTTCTCCGGTTAGCTGTAACTCTCCATTATATGCCACCGATGCACATGATTCATAGGCGAAAATAAGACAATAGACACTTTCAAAATGGCCGCCGTTGTCCCCGAAAACCCCCCCCGAAATTTTTTTCTGGGTACGGCCCTGAGTAGCACATCCACAAAATTAGGAGCAAGGGGCATATATTAGTAAAACATAAAATAGCACAAAAAAGAAAAGGACAAGAAGTATGCAGGACAGGCACTAACTTTCAACTATGGTAGTTTTATTCAGGAAAAGTAAACATATATACACACACGACAGGCAAAGCAGCACCACGTAAAGGTTGATTAATTTTTTATCCGATCATTCAAAAACTGAAATTCATTACAATGAAGTACAATAGAAGTGTCGCTGACACATGCCCTCCCACTTTTTTTTGATAAAGAAAGCTTCCAATAGCTCTCGAGCGACCGTCTCTGGGCTTCTTCCTAGTATCCTTATCTGCTGAAGTCGCGGAACACAGCCACACGTGTTGCAATGTATTGGCAAATGCGAGCCATATTTATTTTTTACTGATAATGCGTGCTCCCGTGCTCGGTCATTGATGCACCGCCCCGTCTGGCCAATGTATACCTTTCCACAACTCAGTGGGATTTCGTAGACCACACCCACTGTGCAGTCCACGTAAGGGGTGACATGTGTCTTATCACATGGTGCTTCTGTATTCTCATCAGAAATGCGGGAGCACAACCCAGCCAACTTCTTTGGGGCAGAAAACACAACGGGAACATCGTATTTGCTTGCAACTTTCTTCAGATTGTGGGCAACCTAGTGGATGTATGGAATAACTTCTGGTCTTTTTGTTCTCTGCCTCGTTGGGACCTTTCTTTTCAACCCCTTCATTTTTTGTAGGGTGGTCTCCGCCACAGAAACCCAGACCGAACATATATTCCTTACGTGTGCAACTTGATGCACTTCTAGTGAATTCCTGACACCATAAAAGTAAAACCAACCTTTTTCTAATGCCCAAGCTTTATGCCTCAAGTCCTTACCTGTGTACGAGATCCGTAGTGCAGTGACAGGTATTCCGGCAACAGACATTTCTCGTGCATGCAGGAATGGGAACTTGTCGTCGTCCAAAGACACATCAGTCAATTTCGACAGGACATTGGCAGAATGGGGTCCTGCAATACCCAAGGCTGCTATCCTGTCGGTCACGTTGTTGATTTCCACATCTATCCGCCATTCCCTCACGTGATCTTCCATCCACCTTTGTGGTGAAGAAAGTGCAAGGTAACTGAACTCACTGCGGCAGTAAAGGCTGGTTCAGACTTTTCTGTTTGAGTGGGATTGACTGTGTTGCAATCGGTTAAAACTGCTTCCAGTGGTCTGAGAACACACTTGCACCACTTATCGAGTTTCCCTGGACCACTTCCACTCTATATTTTATGCATCATTTTTCTTTGTGTGCTTGAAATCATTCTTACTATGCTATAAGAGACCACTTTTATAGATAGTGCATAGCTTTGATTCCGCAAATACCGTAAAACCTTTAACCCAGTGCTTCAATAAATGAAAATTTATGTGCAAATATTGGAGTTTGAGTTGGAAGCGAATTCGAAAGGGATAGTGTTTTTGGCTGAATTTTCGAATTGAATATTGAATAGTTTCTTCAGGTCTTCCACTACCGTGCACCATGCTTAAATGAAAATTCAGCTGAACTCATGAAGGTTGTTGCCAACCTTTCACTCGTCCACTTCTGAGCTCAGATTATTTTAATAAAACTATATTGACGAACTGTGACATGTAAACAACAGATTTGTCACAGCTATCCCAATTGAGAGGATTTATCAGTGTGCTTGCTATATGCAAATATTCTTTCTTCTACTTCATATTTGACAAAAAAGGAAGAAAAAGAAAAATCATGAATGATGAACTCAGGCTGTCAAAACATCGCCGCTTAACATACTTGTGCATAATCGCGGCGGGATAGCCTCGTTGAGTGTGCTTCTCGCCGAGCACCGGTGCACTGCGGAGAAGCAATATCCGCAAAGCCCGCGAGCTCCGCAGGTATTGCTTCCTCGCAGTACACAATCGTTCGCGGAAAAACCCACTCAACGGGGCTAACCTGCCGCGGTCAATAGTATGAATATCGCAGTTCACCTCAAAGTGAATTTCGAATAAAACATTATTCGAAACAGCTGTTCGAAAATTCGAATATTCACACAGCACTAGAAATTATGTTTCTCGGTGAAGACAAAAGGCGGTTGCACTACGGCATGGCCCAACACGAAAACAAAAATTGAAAAGTTTTACCGAGGCCCGTTTTCTCCACATAGGAGACTATGGATCTCAGTAGTTAGAGACTTCTTTCGGAATCGCCTGTGGATTTTGTCTATGCTTGTATATATATATATCTTTCGGCTTGTCTTGGGAGTCTAGAGTTGCCAGTGCTTCATCTAGTATTTATATATGCAGTTTAGAAGTGTTCCAGATGTGCCTGATAGGTGGCGCCAGTGTGTTCTCTCATTGTAAGCGGTTGAGATGCAGTCAGTCACACTCAGACGCAAATGGGTAAATCAGCCTCAATCACAACACTGAAAGCCGTACGGTTAAATGCGGCAGACGTCATACCTGAGATCGTGCAGCTCAGATCCTGATCCCGTGATAACAAAGTATTTGTCTTGTGCGAGTCTCGTCACCGTCACCTCGGCATAAACTTTGCCCTTTGGCGTCAGCATGTGACTGATGTTGATCGAGTTAACCTGAAATGCATTTTTTTTAAATTTTTGTTGGAATGGGTGTTTTAGGGTTTCTAAAAACAATCAAACTAACCCCAAAAATCCTGCAGTTGAAAACTTTGAATTTCAACCGATTCGCAGGAGCACTTGAAAGGAAGCCAAAATACAAGAGAAATGCCTACAGAGACGACTTGCAGGTGACGGGTTTTAAGGGTCACTGGTATGCCTCACTCCAAGGATTGCAGTCTCCCACCAGTCGCCTTAATAATACCAAGGAATTTCACACACTTGTATCGATTTAGGATTTTGATAAAACTGCACTTCGCTCCTATATTCTGTTAAAATGCTGTAAGTGTTTGAGCATCTTCAATTCCCACCGATTAATATTAAAGTCGAGTGCTACAAGCTATGTTCCAAGACAATTAACTGAATAGAATGCATACTGTTGCAAAAAAATACTTCACTCCCAAACAAATTTTTGGCACAATATTTAGGTTACGAGACTGATTTTGTGTATCATAACATGCTTCTATTGAGGCTTCTACTTCGTAACACTAGTGCATGGCATCACTTCTCACTCAGAATGAGTCGCAAAATGTAAACATTGCGCTTAATTTTGGTTTTGTTTCTCTGGCAATGTTTATTTTGTGACATGTATGTCTGCACTCCAGGTGCTTCAAAATATATATTTTTATCAATTCAGTGTCTTTAGGAACGATCCTGAAATATGCTTCTATTACGGGTCAGTGTGCCAAGATGTCAGAATCTGTTCTGGGAATTCGGTGTCTTTTTAATGTTTGTTGGAAGCAGACTGTCATGGTGAGCTTAACATTAAACTTAATAGCCTTTCAGAATTTTTTTTTTACTAATAGTGAATGGGATTATTGTAGGTGCTTCGTTCTGATAAGAAACATGTGCTGACAGAGACAAACAAAGCAGACCTTCGGGAGCTTGTTGGCAAGCAGCCTGTCCAGGAAGATGTTAACGTCCTTGCCCGTGACCTCCAGCTTGGCAAATGGTGTCAGGTCAATGATCCCGACGTTCTCCAGGACGAGCCCACATTCTCGCCGAACAGGCTCGAACCAGTTAGCTCGGCGAAAGCTTGGACTGTAACAGCCGCTTTCCGCTTCCGTCGCAAACCACGCTGGCTGCTCCCAACCTTGAAAGCAGAATCAAACATAAAAGTTATTTTATCATTATTTATTTATTTATTTATTTATTTATTTATGTTATACTGCAGACCCAGAGGGTCCAGGCAGGACATACAAAAGAAAAAGATGCATACTTGTGAAGCATTATGATGCAGTATCGAAAGTTTAAGAAAGTTATATTGCCTAAGCTCTCTTGTAAGGATTGCTGACATACAATTTCGGTTCTCAGCAGGCAAGATCTTTCCTTTTCTCCCAGAACACGAGGGCAGGAAAGTTGGAAAAAAGAGAGAGGAGGGGAAGGTTCCACATGCATTCTGCTACCATGAGAGGGGATGATCAAACTTTGGGGAGGGAAAGGGTGAAGGAGAGAGAGAATATATTTGAAAGGACAAATTGAAGAAAAGTAGAAAACACAAAGTGCGTGCTGTAGCTTTAGGCATAATTTCACTCACAAGTTACTCCAATCACATCAAAATATATCATAATGTTTAACATAATATAGATAGGTATGCATGAGATCATAGAAGAATAGGCTGTAACATTGTCTCAAAGTCAAGTCACTGCTATTGCTTTGTTGCTTAATAAAACACTTTTTTTTCTCTAGTTTGCTCACTTTATCAGGCCTGTAGTGCAGGTGGAGACATACTCGATTAGTCACATAACTTTCTCGAATGAGTACAGCAAGGCAGCATAGCTTTGTGACATAGAAAGATACCATACTAAGAAGTCAGCAGGGTCGTAAAGTATTCTCACCAGCGTGAAATCCCATCTGTGCCCCCCTGTCCAGATGCCGCTGGTAGATCCCGCTGACTCGCTCGGTGGGGCGCCCAGTCCACCGTTCTTCCTTGGGAAACGTGAAGCTGTTGTTCATGCCGTATGTTTCCTTCGCCTTCGCAAACAGGTAGGACCTAAAAGAAATGAAATATCTCTTAGTCCTGCAGATAAGGTTGGAAAACACAAAATGGGCAGCATGTTTTCAGTTGCGCTGACATGCGAATGACATCACAGAACACTGTGACATCACATTAAACTATCGTGTCCTGTTACACTGCATCACATGATGTAATGTGATATGAAACCATAACATCACTTGACACCATAGCATCATATGATATCAGGTGTCACATGACACTGACCTGTCATGTCACACAGACACAAATTTAGCATGACAGATTTAGTGCTCTCACGAGATGACGCCATGTTGTGGTGTCACCCAGAATGGTCACAGGACATCATGATGTCACATTGTTGTATGGTGTCATGTTACATTGCATCACATGACGTAATGTCATGTCACATCATGACATAACATCACTCGACACCATAACATCATATGACACTACAACATGTCATGTCACGTGGACAAGTTTAGCAAGACAGATTTAGAGCTCTTAAGAGATGTGACATCATGTTGTGGTGTCACCGGGTGCATGTGGAATGATGTCACAGCTCATTGTGATGCCACATTACACTATGGTGTTATGTTACATTGCATCACATGACGTAACATAATGTGACACCATGACAACATCATGACATCATGTGACACCATAACATCATATGACACCAGATATTACATGACACAATGACAGCCACACAGACGCAAACTTAGCGTGACAGATTTAGTGCTCTCATGAGACGTGACATTATGTTGTGATGTTGCCGGGTGTCACACGGAATTCCGTCAAGGGACATTGTGACCTAACATTACACTATGGTGCCAGTGTCAGATTACATTGCATCACATGACATAATGTCATGTGACACCATGACATAACATCATGACATCACTCGACACTGTAACATAATGTGACATGTCAAATGACATCATGACAGGTTATGTCACATGGTAAAGTTGTCAATGTCCCATGACGCAAGCACCTGATGGTATTTCGTGGCATCATGTCACACTTTCTTTGGATATACCAGTCCTATGAACACATTCTGAATTGATATTAATTAGGATACATTACACCACATGTTTCGAATAAAAAAAAAGCCTCATATGGTGCATGCTGAAGACACTTGCAAAGCATCTACCTAGTGACCCATTTTCCAAAACGACCTGGATCAGTCTCGATGAGGTCAAAGGGCGGCTCTCCATTCACAATCCACTCCGCGAGGTACCGCCCCGCTCCGCCGGAATGGATGATGCCATAGCTGCAATTGCACACAAGTGGAAGCATACTTTAGCAATGGAGAAATAGTGTTAGGTGTTTTTGAAGTTTGGAGTTTTTCTGAAAGTATATTACTAATCTGTCATGTCATTCTGGAAATTAACTTTTCTTTACAAAAGGTTCTACTGTATTTCTTTTATAGATATAGTTCCTCTGGCCACTGCTGAATATCATCCGTTTTTAGTAATTGTGTGAGAAATATTGAATTCTTTTGTTTATATTCATACCATGCATTGGGTAGTGAGATTTACTTTATAAAAAAGACATTGTGATTTGTAGTTATTAAATTTATTTTTCTGTTTAAAACTATGTTTTTCAAAGATTCAGATTTTATATCAATCTATTAGTTTGTTATTTTACTGGAAAATTTGCTTTAAAAACTTTCTGGTATAGTGCTACTAATGGTACAGCTTCTTTCCCCACTAGTGAATGCCACCAACCATTTAGTGTAGTGGTTCTCAAACTTTTGGTCATCACGGACCCCTGACACACTTGTTCGGAAACCTCCAATTCATTCTGCACCAGAGATATTGTACAATGACATAGGAGGGTTTTTCTTTTTTTGGAGCTGTCTTTTGACTTGGCAAGGACCACCTCCATGGATGTTCTCGAGGGCCCCTGGGGGGCGCAGTCCACAGTTTGAGGACTGATGCTTTAGTGATTATGTGAGAAGTATTGTAAGGTGTTGGAACTATTTCAGAGATAAAAAGAGGGAGGGGGTGCATTTTCTTCCCCCCTCCCCCATACAGCTTACTGGCGGTAATTGAAATGTCAGTAAGTGACGATCGCCCCCCCCCCCCCCTCCCCATTTTGACAACACTGTTGCACGTAAGATAAGCTTAGAGGGTTCACAATTTCCAACAGTGCATTCATCTATTGTTTTTTCTGAAAATTGTCTCTGCATAGAGGGGTCCTACTTGTTTGGGCTATAATTTCTCTCACCACTATTAACTTCCATTAATTATAACAAGTTCAATGGGCATGCAATTTAGAGATTTCACAGAATATCAGGACTACTCACGCAAAACCGACAGCCACCCAGAAATTCGGAGCGTGGGGCATTGGTCCGATGCAGGGTAGCGAGTCGGCCGTGTACATGATGGGACCAGACACCGTGGTCCGTATCTGGGCAGTATGCAACGCTGGAACCAGCTCCATGGCAGCCTCAATGTGGTCCGAAAGGCGCTCCAAGTCCGGAGTAAAAAGTTCTTTCCCAAAGCCTGTTTAGTCGAACAAAGAAAACTGTGACGTGACTTCATTAGAGAAGTCACGCAACTATGTCTACATTTTACATTTTTAATTGATAGCTTTATGACTCTAGGATGAGTGTTTACATGAATCAATTTCTATAGGCACAAACACAAATGAACATTCAGAGGTTAGCAAAAGGTGATATAACTTCTGCAGTGCACTAAACATAGTTTTACTATATTCTGATAGTGTCCTGAAAATTTTATTTCATCTGAAAGGACTATGACACTGAAAAGTATAATTCATACTGTATGTGCCATAAGTACAAACAGCTTGATTCCATTGTCATAAATTTGAACATTCCTAATTAATTTTTTATTTACATATGGACACAATAAATCACCTCTCTGTTCAACAGTCCCACTGAGTGAGCAAACAGAAAGGTGAAGGGGAAGTGAATGTTGCATCGTGTTTTTCTGCAATATTAAAGCAAGACATAAAAGCCAGTAATTGACACCATTTAGGTTTTTTAGATTCAACAAGATTCTTTTAAGGTCAGTGGCATAGAAACAAAGGGGGAAATGTCTGGGGTGATCGCCCCCAGACATTTTGAGTAAAGGACTTGAGGGAGGGGAAGGGAAATCCTTCTGCTCCCCTCCCGTTGTCTCCCCCCCCTCCCCATCTCCCAAATATATCTGAAGCCACTGTTTACAGCCCTATAGAAGAGATGAGTGGAGAGGAGGAATCGGCCAATCGTAGTGAGCAGAGAGCTTTGTGGGAGGGGCTTGCCTTACTTACCTTAACCTGGAAAGGACTATAGTTAGAACAGCATAGGTGAGAACGGCAGGGAGGAGCTTCAGTTGTCCTGCCTTCAGCACGATCACGCTTTCTACCTTCAACAATGCTTCGGCATCTCAAGCAACCACGAGTGCGCATGCACAGCCAAAGAATGGTGGAAGGCATGGAGCGCATGCTGAAGACTGGGCGTTCAATGGACACGCCCCGCCGTTCTCACTCTGTCGGCGACTGTAGCTCGTCTTCAGTCGTTCAAAACTGATGAGCTCGGAAACGCACCAGGCGGCACCCGATCCGTGACCCACTCGTCGCAGATCTGCATCTTGTCCTGGTGCTCGTAAGGGCCGACCAGCATTCCGTCCCTTTCTTGGCGGAGGTAGAAGCCCCCTTCCAGGTGCCGAATCACGGGGAACTCCTTCTGCAACACCGAGTGACATGCGGCAAGGAGCTCAATAGACCAATCTCACCAAGCGTTCGACGCATGCGCGAGGCAGCCATAACTTTAGTTCACAGGAGGCAATCGGCAGTGCACCAGATTGTTCGTGCCCTGCACGCGCAGAGCTCCAGCCAGATTGTCGCACGCGCAGAAAGACTAAAGTTTTCTCGATGCATTGTGACAGCGGTGGTGTAGTCAAACTGGCTGGTGAGATCGGTCTATTAGGAGATACCGATACCTCCTTAGAGAGAAAGCTATTTCTCTTATCTGTCCCTATGTATAAGGTTGTGCGAATAGTGGCTCGAATCGAAAAGCGCTGCGTCATTCATACCCTTGACAATGCAAGGGAAATCCAAGATGGCCGGTTCTTTCAGCAGTGCAGAAGCTAGGGATGGCGCTGTGCTATTCGATTCAAACCACTATTCGCACATCCCTATCTATGTACAATATATTTGAGTAAGTATGGCTTTTGCCTTCAAACTAGGCAGTTGTAGCAAAGGAAAATTGAGTCCTTTGAAGGCGCTTTACGTAATGACTCGTATATTTGAGTATTGGTATGGTGATAACCCAAATGCAGCAGACTGCTAAGAACCATTCATTTTGTGATTACTTGGCATGGTCGGGTGTTGACTCGGGTTGGGTGGTACAACAAGTATTGGCTCCAGCAGAATCAGAAAAGTTGTGCTGGAGCCAGTACCTTACATAAATTTAAAAACAAAATATGGGCTTCTGTTTTGTGTTCCCTAGTCCATGGGTTATCAAAGAATATCCCTAGTGTCTTCAAAATATGTCCCTAGGAACTCTTTCCCTGGAAGATTTCAAAGAGGAAACATGTTATGAGATTTTGAACAATATGTTTTGCACTACCTTTGTCTTTTGGAGCTCCGGAACGGAGTTTGTGATGAAGTACTGGTGGTGAATTGGAACCAGTGGCAACTCGACACCAGCAAGGGCGTTGACTTCGTGGGCCCAGAAGCCTATTAAAAGAGAATTTTATTAGCAAAGAATGTTATAACTCAGCTTTTACGATTTGTGGATATGAAACTCTCTGGCTTTGCTAGAATTAAAAGTAAATAAAATGTATAACTATTTCTAGGGACCTTTTGCATTCTATTTGCTTTAGCAGGTTGTTAGGAACCAGACTTGTGCGTAACACGTTACAAATAATGGATTACTTGTAATCGATTACATTTTACTGTAATTTTGTAACGCTTCAATTACTTCCTTTGACGAGTAACGATCCTTGTAATTTAATTACTTCTTTGCTGTAATTGATGACAAAATTACCCATTACAATTTTCTCAATTTATTTATTTATTTATTTTTTTGCAAGAGGGTTTAGAAGTGCTAGAGTCACTCAGTTCTGGGCAAAACTGGTGGACAGGTTAAGAAATATCTGCGACCTGGAGAGGAGGAAGCAGACGAAACCTTGGAAGATAGAGCAGATGGAGTCCCCGACACTCGTAAGCTCCAAAGTCCCTGAGGGAGAATGAAAACCGCGTTCACACCAAGCCGTTCCCCGCTTCGCGTAACCTGAGCGCCCCGTACACGAGGCGTCTCTTCTTTAATTTCGTTTTATCTTTAATACCCGAGAGCTCAGTCTTTCAGCCTGACTCGGGCACGAAAGGTTGTTTGTGTGTCAGGCACGTAGCCAGGTTTTTGTTTCAGGAGGGGGGGGAGGGCCACCCATGACAAAATGCTGTATGAGGGGAAGGGGGAGAGGAGGCTCCAGCAAAATGGAAGATTTGGGGAGGGGGGCCAGGCCCATGGGCCTCCTCCCTGGCTACGTGCCTGTTGTGTGTTCTGTTCGCCAAAATGACCTGAAACGAAACAGAAAGGAGATACCGCCTCTCTAGTCCAAGCTTGCGTTTGCTTTCTCCTCTCTTCCTCATAAACTTTTCTTAACCTGTTACTGATTTTAAGAGCGCAGCTCTTAGGCGCCCGTTTCCAACTTGAGCGGCGTCGGCGTACCGCGCGGTGCATTATGCGTAAATTTCCCCGCTAAATCTAGCAGAAAAAATTGCCCCGCTAGATTTAGCGGAAATATTTCCCCGCTAAATCTTTCGGAAAATTTTCCCCGCTAAATCTAGCAGAAAAAACATCCCTGCTAGATCTAGCGGAAAAATTTCCCAGCTAGATTTAGCGGAAAAATTTCCCAACTAGATTTAGCGAAAAAATTTTCTAGCTAGATTTAGGGGAAAAATAATGTAGCGGAAAATTTTTCCCCGCTAAATCTAGTGGAAAAACTTTCCCCTCTAAATTTAGCGGAAAAATTTCCCTGCTAAATCTAGCGGAAAAATTTCCCCGCTAAATCTAGCGTAAAAATCTCCCCTTTAAATCTAGCGGGAAAAAATTTCCCTGCTAAATTTATCGGAAAATTTTCTCCTAAATGGGAGGCGAGAAGGAGAGGAGGAGGCTCATAGCCTCCTCTCCGTACCTTCCCCTCCTTCGCCTCAAGAGCTGCGCTCTAATTTGGCGTTACGGGGAGTTGTAAACGGCTTTCTTTTTTTTTTTCTTACTTTTTATATAAGATTCGCATCTAGACGATTTCTATACTCCGCTTCACCTTATGTCCGGATGCAGCGGACGCCCTACAAGCTATCCCAGCCAATCCCGCTCTGTGGAGGTAGTCAGTGATACGCTTTCCGCGTGTCGTGTCGCTGTGCCCCCTATCCAAGGTAACGTGACCAGAGCTGGCAGTAATGCAATTACTGTAATGAAATTACAGTAATTTAATTACTTGTTCCAGTAATTAGTAATGTAATTCATTACTTTTTGTAGCAGGTAATTTAGTAATGTAATGAATTACTCCAGCGACGGTAATTGTAATTAAATTACCTAATTACTTTTTCGCACCAGGCATATTGTTTTTGTCCACAATACACAAGAGCGCTTTTCTTTTTATTTTACTTTTTCCTCTACACCTTTCCAAAAACGCTCTTTGGCCGCCGCTATGTTGCTGATGCTAATGCGGCTGGTGCGACTCTCGCGCGCGCTATCAGCTAGACATTTTCTGCCACTCTCTTGAACTGTGAAAACCCGCTCAGCGCGATTCTCTACCTATGTTTTGCGGTTTTGCATTCGACGTTTTCTGGCCCATCTTGAAAGTTTCCGCTTACTTTTTCTGATGCATACTGTGTACCCTCTCTGTGTTATCTTCCACTGTGAGAAATAGGGCTGGTAAGTGCCTTCCATTCGAGCTTTTCTGCTCGACATTCTCGGGAAGCGAAGGAGGGGAAGTAGGTAGAACTATGGCCCCTGGTGGAACGGCCCTCGACGCGATTTTGCGAACAATGAAAATTGTTCTCCCCCTCCCAGAGATAATCCGCGTAGGGTCCTCAGTCATCTCCAAAAATAGTTGTCCGGGTTGGGGTGGGAAACGGATCAGTCGCGTGCGTTCCTCTGTCCATCGGTAAACATGCAACAGAGAGTTCTAGCTGTGTGCCATGAACTGTGTAAATAATGTAAATAAAGTTATCTGTAAAAGGCAGTTATCAATAGCTCCTTTATATTTAAGTCAAATTTGGGGGTTTTACGTGCCAAACCAACGACGGGCATTTGGCACGCCCCAGCGGAGGACTGAGGATTAATTTGGACCACCTGGGGATCTTTTGACGTGCAACCGAAAGCTCGGTTACACGGCGCCTCCTCCGCAATGAGCCTCCGTCAGATTGCGGGCACCTCGGCCGGGAATGGAACCCGCCACATGGGAATCCGTAGGCCAGCGCTCTCGCCTCGGAGCCACCGAGGCGGCTTCCTTTATATTTAAAAGTATACAAAAGTAGTGCGAAAGTAATGTCATTACTTTTAAAAGTAATTTGTAATGGTAATTAATTACTTTCTGGCTGTGGTTATTTGTAATGTAATTTAATTACATTTCAGCAATTTTCAGCAAAGTAATTAGTAATGTAATTTAATTACAAAATATGAGTAATTTGGCCAGCTCTGAACGTGACGCCCACACGGCCTTGGATTGGCTCTGAGTGGTCATAGCATTCACTGTTGGCCCGCTGTCTTTTTTATTTTTTTTATTTATTTTTTCTTGTATCCTGTTGTTTTCAACTCCTCTTCAGAGGAAATTGATGTATCCAATTAACAATACATTTTTTGCACATGTCGGAGGTGACGTGCTGTTCTCGTTGTTATAAAAATGAACGATAAAATCAATGTGTTGTTCGAGTGTTTGCTTTGTCGGCCACTACTCAAGATTCTTTTATGTTCAAGGGCGACCAACTCCAACATGCATACGCACATAAAGGTAACATGCTTTTTTGTTATGTTGATCATTTTACTGGGCATTTTTAAAATGTTTAATTATAACACTCTAAATTTTTGGGATGCTTAGAAAGTTTCGCTCGGCAGCTTTAGGTGACAAGCTCTAGTTTTCTACTTTTCTACGCATATTTCCAGCAGCGCTGTTGTTCGTCTACCTTCTCATCCTTGTACATGTCTTTGGACTGTTTTTGGCTTTTGACGAGGAAACAGTTTGTATTCAAATTCATGAGCATGCTCCTACAAGTTTTTGACTGGTTTAGGGGGTATCACTTTTAAACATTTATATTCTTAGTTCTTGTATAGCACATTTCATTGAGTTTGTCAAAATTATGTCTCCATCAATAATATTTGTTCCTGAATAATATCCCTCCATGAACTCTGCCAATTGAAACTAGGAGCTCTGTTCATGACTCCATGATTCGTTGGCGGATGACCGACGGAAACTTCGAGATACAACTGCAGATGAAACTCAACAAGGTGTAGAGGACAAAAAAAAAGAAGATATGTATAAATGCAGAACACCTGTCTAAATGTGTATATGTGCTACCGTAATAAAAAAAAAAAAGTTTTATTAAAAGTAACCTGGGAAGTAATCGATTACTTTAGAGTAAGTTTTTGATTACTTTTTTGAGGCTGTAATTGTAATTGTAATCAATTACTTTTTAGATTGAAGTAATTGTAATTGTAATCGGTTAATTTTTTTCAGTAACGTGTACAAGTCCGCTAGGAACTCAAATGCAAGGTATTTGTGAAGATTATATATATATAATAGTCGAAGGAGACATTAATTTTAACAGGGTTGAACGAGGACAGCACATAATATATTTTTGTGGCAGTTTTCCACTAAATCATCTTTCTTGCTATTTACACATCTGTATATTTGTAATTCTTATTATGTCGCAAAATACAGAGCACACCTCTATATTACAGTGAACATACACCCACACAACTAGTGAAACGTTTTAAAAATAAGCAAACAACAGATCAAGCGCCCACCCCTATCCTTCTAAGGTAAGCCATTCTGGCTAACCGAGATTCTCCTCCGTGTCATCCGCTTCTCCGAAAACACCGGTGCAAAGTGGTGAAGCTTGACACGCAGGCGTCAAAGCAAACGCCGTGAAGCCCACCTACCTTGTGCCCCTGTGCATTTTTATTCGCGGACCCTTTCTCCCAGTTTTTCAAGTATATGCTCGGTATTTTACGGCGTCTGATAAGATTTACTGCTTATTTGACATACAAGCTCCTTTATCCACTGGCTTACACACCAAATAATCAGTTTGCCAATAAACTAAATACCCAATGACGTGAACAAAAATAAGCAATCAGATCAGCGAATAATAAATGTACTTGTTTCTAACTAAATCAATCAATCAATCGCTAAAATCATGTAGGCAAACAATGGTTATAGTGTTTTTTTATAAACAAATCAATTAATCAGTACAATCATGTAAGTTAACAATGATTGTGCTAATCCCTCGCTAATAAACAAATAAATTATTTAATCGCTACAAAAATAAATGCAAATAGTGGTTGTACTAAATTTTTATAAATAGAAATCAATTATGCAATCATGCAAGCAAATAATGGTTGTCCTCATTCGTAAACAAATTACATAATATCAATCAGGCAATTAGCACAATCAGCTGCGAGTGACTGACCAGCACAGTTGACCACGTTGGAGGCCCTCACGGTGCCCTGGTCAGTCTCGACCGACCAAGAGTCCTCCCCGTGCCTTCTCTTCAGGCCCCGCACTCCCGTCTGCTGGAAGATGCGGGCGCCAAACTTCTTGGCCTCCGATGCCATTGCCATCGTGAGGGAATACGGGTCGATGTGTCCGTCGGCTGGATTGTACAGACCTCCCAACACCTGGACAGTCAGTGATGGAGGGAAATTGGAAAGGAAAAGCTGAGACAAGTTCCATTGTCCAGCTTTCAGATTGACCGATTTTCACCTGGATCAAGCTCAATGATATGATAGACCTTCTCGCTAGAATACTAGACTGCCAGGCCGCGGTAATGGAGGGAAGAGGAGCAGCAGGCCAGGGGTGATAGTTAGGGGGAGAAAATTGGCTTAGAAGGGAGGGAGAAATCATATGTTTGTCTTTTTACACTTAGGCCAGGTGGCGCAAGCTACCACCCGTTATAACGGGTATAGCCATTAACATCCATCCATCCGGGTATTGATTTTGAAAGCAGCACCACAAAAGCCACAAAGGTAGTGGCCGTACGACAAACCACCTATTTTCTTTTCTTTTCTTTTTATTTTGGGAGAATTTCAAGATTTTGGAGTTTTCAGGTTGTATCAACCAACAATGTGTTTGTAATCAAGTCCGCGTTTGCCCACACCAGAGTGTGGGCACTGCGCGTGCGCAGAAACCAGATTAGCGGGAGGTGGAGCGTCTGCGCCGCACCGACATCAGCGCCACCGCAGCGGAGTGACGTCAGAGCCAGGAAAGTTAAAAACAAAGAAAAAAAGTGCACTTTACAAGCGAGAAATTATGCGAAAAATAAGTGACTCATTGTTCAGACTGAATCAGTCGCTGCGCTTGTATTAGGACAGATTTGTTTTTGTGTCAAAATAGTTACAAGACTAGGGATGCCGCGAACTTTTTTCGAATCGAAGTTTCGATGATCGAATCAAGCGGTTCGAAAGGTTCGAAAGATTTCGATTTTTTTAATTGTCTACATCGTAAAATTCGACGGAAGTCGAAATTTCGAACTTGTTGAGCTAAGAAGTTCGACGCTTTTCGAAACCGTCGAACTTATTATGCTAAAAAATTCGATCTTTTTTGAACTTTCGAACTTATTGCGCTGCAAAGTTCGATGCTTGTCGAACTTCCGAACTTGACTGACCAAAAAATTCGATGAATTTCGAACTTTCGAACTTATTTATCAAGAGAATTCGAAAAGTTTCAAACTTTCGAATCCTGAAAAGTCAGAATTTCGACGAACTTCGAACTTTTAGGGTAAAAGTTCGACGTTCGTCGAATTCGAAAGACCAGTGGACGGTTTCATTTGAATTCAAGTAGTGAGGTACATTCGTAGTTTTTTTTTTCTCTCGAACTTTTACATGCGGCGCTGCGTTCCTTACGAAAGACAATGGCGTTTGTTTCAATGTTCTGGCATGCTTAGTTTTAAAGAAATAAATTTCCGAAGGGGCGAGGAAGGACGACGGGTTTTTGATGATTATCGTTTGTGCCAGATTTGAAGCGCGCTGTAACCGAAGCTATTTGTGGTAGAGATGTTATACTTTTTTAAGAATGATCTATGGATAGCCTAGGTAAGTGCCGTCTTAAGATGTGATTATTGTTAGTCAACGTGAGTTTCGAAGAAATGTCCAAACATGTATCTACATGCAATTATGCCCTAAACTTGATATTTATTTTTGTCTAAGTTGTTTGAGGTATCGCATTTAAATTAACACCACAGACAGTACATATCATTGCCATCTGCAGAATACAAAATAATGTATTCATTGTTTTTTCACGTTAAGGAATAAATTAACTCATGGGAGAAGATTTCTAATAGTGTTCAAGTTCAGCACGTCATTAAAAGAAAACTTTTTTTTTTTTTTTTTTTCGCTTTACGATCCTGGGACGTGTTTCTTTTAGCCTGTACACATCTTGGTAAAAGAAACTTGTTTCGAAGTTCTGAACCTCTGAATACGCAAGAATACAAAACTTCCGGCGAATTCTTGATAGTGTTTTTTTTTTTTTTCTCTATCTTTTTATATCCGCATTTATTGTTAAGCTTATTTTGTTCATTAATGGCACAGTTAGGTCGAAAAGACATAACTTTGAACTCCCGAACCACTAAGCATGTGACTAGTGCCTTTTGACAACGAGCTTCCGACAATGACCATCTACGCGATCTTTTATGCAGTGAAGAGCGACAGTAGCTATACATATGCATAAATAATTTCGGATTAAAATACGCTCGATCACGCCCTTTTCCCCGTATTGTTTTCTTTAACGGTCCAAAATATCTGGAAGGGAAAAAAGACTGGCTGGAGGCCCCCCTCTCCCCCCTTCCCCTGCATTTTTCCTCTTCCGACGCAACTTGTATGGTAGAACGCTCCTCGACCTCGAGTTGTGTCGGCTTCTGTGCTTTTTGCGAGGCGATTCCTCCATCCCCGAAAATAAACCTCCAGGACATTTAGAAACTTAATTTACTATATGCCAGCGTCACTCGGGCGGCGATCGATCGGATTTCTACCAACGTGCAAGGGGTGGAGAGGTAGTTTGCCAGGTCGATTCAAGGTTTTTCTGAGCCTCAACCACCTGCCCGCCCCTGGCCGTTTCGAACTGGATGAGTGTCGTAAAACAGTGCGTTTGTGTGATCACTACTGCGTGATGCACGTTAAAGACCCCCCCCCCCCCCCCCCCTTCCCCACTCCGGGCTGGCGGTCACAATTACTGATCCATGTCACACGTCACTCTGCACTGGCAAATATTCCAGCACATCCGGGACACTCGTCGCCTCATTTAATTGCATGACCAACTTCGCGGAATCTAGATATCACACCCTAACTTTTTTAAACTTGATTTTGTGAAAACCAGCGAGTCGTGAAAACGTTATTTGAAACAAACTGTGGAGGAACTTGAAAACCGGACTTCGAACTTTGAAAACTTGGACTAGAAAAAAATTCAAAATCTTCGAAGTTTTTTTTTTTTTTTTTCGAATTTAGCGTTAAAAGAGAATCGAAACCTTCGAACTTTTCGAACTTTATGCAGAAAGAAATTCGAAAACTTTGAATTGTTCGAACTTTATGTCTATAAAAATTCGAAGCGTTCGAAGTTTTCGAATTTTATTTCCAAAGAATTTCGAAATCTTCGAATTTATCGAACCTGCAGTAAAAAAAATATTCGAAATATTCGAATCCGAAATTTTAGAAACCGTGAAAGCTTCGAACTTTTCGAATTCGAAACTCCACTGTGATCGAAAGTTGCGAATTTTTCGAATTCGAACCTCGGTCGGTACGAAAAAATCGAAATTTTTCGAAATCGAACCTCAGTTCGCTTCGCAAATATCGAAACCTTTCGAAATCGAACTTGGGGTGGTTCGCGACATCCCTATACAAGACTGCGACTCGAAAGACCATATTTCCCCCTTTTGGAAGGGAAGGGTGAAATATGTTTCGATAAAAGATGCTCCGGTTGCTAGTACTGGATAAAATTGGGTCTTTGCCCAAGAACAAAGCATAATGTATTAATTAAGTTCTCGGCCATCTATAAATTTAAAATAGCACTGTTAATCGTGGTCTTCACTGAAAGGAACGCGGCACCCTCACAGAAGATGTTTTTTTTATAACAGCTTGGTTACGACATGTATGTAAAAAAATTTGTTTTCCCATGAAAATTTAGAAAAAAAAAATGGTCATGCAATATTTATGCCAAAAAATAAAATCTAGAACAAAGAACCATTTATTGATTATTCTTTAGATCATGTATCACTTTCAACTCTGGTCTTTGCGTCCTAAAGGGACACTGCACCTGCACTCGCTTATCACATTTTTTCAAAAATTTTTTTCTTATTTTCTTACATCTGCTTGGATAAGACGCGAGTATAAAGATATATCCTTTAAAAAATAATAACACAATATTTATGCTTTTCCCCCGGCAGCATCCGAGCTGCCGAGAGAGATGCACAACAGCGCATGCGCGAAGAACAATGGCGCATGCGCTGCTGCATGCTGCTGCGTCTCCTGCAAAAAAAAAAATGATGGTCGCTTCCCGCTGTTCATGGAAACTTGCTCAATCACAGAGTCATATTTTACTTCAACGACGGAGATTTTTTAAATATAGTGTTCACTGATGAAGATTGAAGGTCATACTTTCAACTTCGTTTTCCTGGGTAAAAAAAAAAAAAAAAAAGAAGAAGAAAACACAAGCTGTGGTTGTTGTGTTTATTCTAAAATTATGTACCTTGCCGGTGATTTGTACACTTGCCTTCACAGACTAATCCTAATCCCCTCCTGTTTATCCCCTCCCCCTGGGGCCGGTTTTCTGGTGAACGCGGGTATCCCTCCCGGCGGTTAGCTGCAAGAGGGATTTTGAACTCACGTGGCCGGCTCCCTAAAAACTAAAGGTTTCCTTGCGTTCGGTTCTTCAAGTCCGACTTTGTGCGCAGAAAGAGGGCGAACAGGCTTGAAATGTGAGTGAAATAAATCGCGGTCGCGTACTTTAGGAGCGGTATGTAAAGTTATATTTCTGGTAAAGATCATGTTAAGCGAGAATCAAAGAAAAACGGAAGGCATGGCTTACATCCGCTGAGCGGAATCGGCTTGATTGCTAGATACTAGGGAGTTTTAGCGAGTCGTTTTTCAAGCACACGGTTCCGAAATCACGAACGGTACAGCTGGTCCGTTCCGTGAAACCGTACGTCAAATTTCACATACTTTAGCGAATCGTAAAAGTGGCGCGACCGTGTAAACGATGATGATGATAGTGCTTAATGGTGGCGCCATCTTCTAGTAAACATGTGAAACATTCTGCAACGTGTAAATCCGGGCCGACGGTGGCGGACACCGTGGTGGCGGCTCGTGTTTCCGGCGTACGACTGATGTAAACAAGACGGCCGACGTAACATTTGCCGGTCGGAATTTCAAGAACTCCGAAGCTAGATAGAGTAAAAGGTGTCTGAACGACCGTAAAGGTATGTGGTGTGTCTCCGTCTTCTTGAACTTGAACGATCGTTCACGTTGTGTGCCGTCAAACCAAATCATTTCGTCTGCTCGCGGTCGCCACGGCAGCTAGTCTGCCCGCAGATCGCAAAAATTTACTAGCATGCGCAGTTTACAGCATTCACGATCGCTTACCATTGTGAGCAGTCCTCGAAATGATTTGGTTCAACCTCTCAATTGAAGCAGACTAACAGGACGGCAAATCACCTCCCGGTGTCCTAAGCCTAACGCTCGGTTGGGTCGGCGAAGGCGGTCGCTGAACCGACCGCCATCTTTTTTTTTACCCGAGTCGTGAACGGTGCTGGCTGCGTTGCGGTGACGACTCCAGCGGCCGGAATGGGAGAAACGAACGAGAGGAGCCTCCCGACTTCCCGAACGACTCGCGCGCGCATGCGCAGTGGCGTCGCGGATTCGTTCGAGGGCGAACCGTTCGTGTGGAAACGACCTGCTAAAACTCCCTACTTTCTCCACACGGAGCCGGTCACGTCCTCTCTTCTTGGGGCTATTTTAACCGCCCGGGAGAGATAACCGCATTTATCAGCAAACTGGACCAGATTGACGATCCCGGGTACGTGCACGCCCGTGATATTGAATTAAACTTTTTCCAGAAATACCGGTAAAGGAATTTGGAACACTCTCTCCTTCCTTCCGGCCCAGTAGAGAGAGAAGATGGCTTCTTTGTATCACCTCCGGGGCCTAAAATAATCTACGATGGGTACAAGAACGAACTTCGGAGGAGCCGTATATCTTGGTCGCAGCATCTCAATAAGCCAAACGGGGGGAAGCGCTGACTTTTTTGGGTGTCAAACGGGTGGGAGAACACTTGCGAGCGCGATGTTTTCTAGTCACTTTCTGGTCAAGAACCTAGTCGCGTGTTCAGGTGGCAGCACCCATTTGGGAAACAGGTGTCAGGGTTCCTTACCCCTGCCTTGTCGACGTCAAGCAGTGGCACGAGTTGCTTGACCTCGTCGGGGCTGACCAGTTTCTGCGGGGCGTCGTGCCAGCCCTGCCGCTGCATCTGGTAGCGGAATTCGTCCATCCGCGTCGGACTGGAGGCCAGTCGGAGGCTCCCAGGACGGTGAAAGCTCAGATCCTGCGTACAAAAGTCACCGAGGTTCGTGTCATAGGACTGGAGCGAAACGATTGTAGAGAGTTTTAGGGAACTGTGTTTGCATGTTACATGTTGCATGGCCTTCTAGATACTATTAATTAAAAAAAAAAGTCTCAGTTCTTATTTCTAAACACACCCGTTTTGTGTCCTGCTCAAGCTGAGTGAAGAAGTTGATGCTGTTGTAGTGAATCTTCTTCATGTTGATTCCAGGGTTGTACAATGCCAGAAGACCAGCCTGCAAAATACATATTGAGCGTTGTTTAATAGAAAAGGCAACACATTCATCATCATCATCATTATTTTTCGTTGAAGACACACAAGTGGCATACTTATATACAAAATAACATTCAACGCAACTTAAACAAACTCTCCCAATCTTCAATTTCCATGTCTGCATTCCGAACACTTACCGTTCGCGCTAAAAAAAAAAAAAACAAAAAAAAAACAAGAATGAGGTTGCGAAATTGAAACTGTTCATGATAGAAACACAAGGGAAATTGAACAAATGACATTTGTGAGTACCAGCAGTTATGAGGAATTTCACCTTAATTAATGCACGTGGCCTCTTCTTACTTTTAATTTAATGTCCTACAGATTAAACGCAATGCAACGAATATAAGACAAGGATATATATCAAACTTCGCAATAGTATCCAAATTGCGAGAAATAAATTTATGACTAGTCGGCGCTAAATTATTTGTGCCGTACGCACCTTTCCAGTGCTTATCACCCTGGCCAAAAATGCCGAGTCATTGAGCTGCATGCGCGGCGTCTGATATTCCACAAACTACTGCGCAAGCTCGAAAGTCAGAACATGTCGTCTGCTTTTTGCGCAGGAGTGGCGGTGACGTAAGAACGACGCCGCGCCCTTATTGGCTGATTGAAAAAAAAAAAAAAAAAATAGTGGGTAGACTTCAAAGCATCTAGCATTGAGATCTACCCACTATTGTTTTTTTCAATCAGCCAATAAGAGCTCGGCGTCGTTCTGACGTCACCACGACTCCCGTGCAAGAAGCAGGCGACGAGACCCCTTTCGAAAGACTGCCCTCTGTTGGCAGCTTTGCGATCCCTGCACAATGGCGGACTAAAACCACAATGTCACGGCAAACTTTATTGTTTTCTTAGATTAGAATCCCAAAATGCACCCACGGAAAAAGGTGGTGATTGCAGGGACGTTGCACTTTCGACGCTGTTTGATTGGTTTGTCGGTTCCTAGCGGTGGTCGTGCTCCTACGTTCGCTATCTTATCGAATGACTTGCACGTTCCAGAATGTCCGTTGTTCCGCCATTGTGCGGTGGTTCAGCCCTTCTAATAACCGGCACGTGACTTTCGAAAGGTGTCCATAGATGGTGGCTATATATAAATTTTAACGGGGGTATGAATAAATGAGCAACTGACGGCATGCCAGGTAGATCCAGCGGTGAGTTCCGATTTCTCAAGCAAGACCACCTTCTTGACACCAAACCTGGCGAGGTGGTAGGCAACGCTGGTACCGACGGCGCCACCACCAATGACCACCACGTCTGCACTGTCCACCCACTGCTGGCTGCCCTCCTCTGAATTCTGTGTGCTGAGAAGAGACGAGACGAAGTGAAATCACTCATGCGTATACCGGGTGTCCCATATAGCGGCCAGGCTCTTTAAATCGACCGCAAAAATCGGTGTCTTAACCAATCGCGTTACGATTTTGTCTAGTGTTGATCACAGGTGGTGCAGTTTTTCTATGAAATTTTCAAAGAGCGAGCTTACCCGAGGAAAAAGTAAAAAAAGAAAACGGCTTAATTCCCATGAAAACGCAGCGAAGCTACCGGTCTTCAAACCATATGGCGCCCAATTGTTTCTTTGTTTCTTTGTTTTACTTTTTCTTCAGGTAAGTTTGCCCTTTGCAAATTTTATAGAAAAAAAATGAACCACCTGTGGGCAACGCTGCACAAAATCGTAACGCGATACGTTAAGAAACCGATTTTTGCGGTAGAGTTAAAGAGCCTGGCTGCAGTTTGGTACACCGGGTAGAGTTTTTTGCTGTTAGCTTTCTGGCTGGGGACACGCCGCATGGCCCATGTGCCCGTGACCATGGCGCAGTACTACGTCTACAGGGTTCGACTAAAAAGGTGAAACCTTGGTTTTCGGCACGGATAAATAAACTACGCACCGCAGAAAGCTAAAACTCCGTGAATATGTGCATGGTGATAGAATGCGAAAGCTTGCATGAGAACATGACGTTATCATGACCAAGAGATGAGATAGCTAGGAAAAACAAATTTCTCCTTGAGCGCATGCAACGTAAGAGTATTCGTCAAAACAAGAAATCCAATTGTGGGCATCTGTAAAATTTATTTCAAAAAAGCCAATTTGTAAAAAAAAAAAAAAAAGATTTTTTTTTTTGACGTTTTTATTGGAATAGATGACCCAGACAGGCGCCCACTAGCCATTGTTTGTACTGACGAATATTCGGCCTAGGTAAACGTCGACTCATGGAGAATTTTTTTTTTTCTGGTTTATCATTTTGCATTTTATCGCCGCCGCTAGCGTCCTATTAATGATAAGTTTCAGGTTTCTGCGATGCGTAGTCTATTTATGCGGTCCGTAAAACAAAGCTTCGTTTTCTCAGTCAAGCCCTTTAAAGTTCTAAAAAAAGAATGCATGGTATTTACCACGTAATTACGGTACCACCTACCTTTGAACGGGGGTAACGTGTCCCCCATGGCGATGCATCGACTTCACACATAAAGATAACCAAAGACACCGACCGAACGGAGCTCTTTGAAACTCGAAACCTTTGTACATTAAAATAAAAAAAAAAAAAAAAAAAAAAAAGTTGATAAGTTTAGTAATTATGCCCTACGTGCCTTTTTGCGGATTCTGAACGCGCCCCACCATTCCAGTGACGCGACCAAGCTTTAAGTCCTGTGAACTCGGGAATGAACGATGGAAACATCTTATACTTGTGACGTGGGGGTGAAAAGACGGGCAAAGGTAATGGAGCGCCTGAAAACAGCCACGGAGAAACTTCGTCTTTCTTGAACGGTTCCTCAGAAGTACCCGATTGATTTTCAGGGTCTTTAGAACGCCGTCTGACAAGGGTATAAAGCACCTTGATAAAGGCCTTTTTTTCTTTTCAACCACTGTTGTGGAAACGCGCATGGCGCGTAAGACACGTGCCACTAGGGTGACCACCTTTCTGCTAGCGAAATGCGGGACACTGGAGGCGGGGAAGGGGGAGAGGGGGGGGGGGGGGGGGGGGCGAGTGGAAATTTATTAACACACACACCACGAACCTAGGCTTTGTTAACACATTTATTATCATGTGCTGTTTATACACTTGCTAATTGTATCGCAGCAATTAAGCTCAATTAAGTTTCACTAAGAGTGAGGTATTATTTATGCCAAATCTGTTATTAAATGTGTCGAAAACATATAAATCGAATGGAAATAAGAAACAGTAAATCTTTATTGGGTTGTTTTCTGCCAACGCCTACTTTTATCAGCATTGTCCTACACAAATTTTTAACATTATGTTCTTTTTAGACCGTTCGGAGTTGCAGGCTTTCTGCCTTGTGTGGCTGTGTTCACTAAAACGAAGATCCACAGCAACCCTTTCGCATTGACAGAGCGATATCAAAATAATTACAATATTTTATGTTGAAACTTTGGCTAGCAATTTTTCTTAGAATATTTTGCCACCAAGAGGAGACGCACAACGGAGCATGCGCGTCGGGTCTCCTGCAAGAACGGCGGTCGCTTCCCGCAATGCTTGGATAAAAAATGGCGCACCATTGCGGCGACCTCCGCGCTTCCCCGTGCCCCGCTGTTCGGCAGCTTCACGAGTTGCAGAGTGAATTTTACTACACTATGAAATGCGGGACATTTTGAAGATTTGGGAATTTTTTGCGGGACGCTGGACACGAGCCCTCAATGCGGGACAGTCCCGCGAGTCGCGGGACGGGTGGTCACCGTATACGTGCCACGAGCGGGTGCTTCGGCGCCATTAACTTCCAAGGGCCTCTCGTTTCAGTGCTGCGCCGCCATTTGCTTCAAAGGGCCACTCGCGATACGGGCCTCATACACTGCCACATTTGGGACGCTACTTCCAAGACAAACGCAAACACATCGAGGGGATTTATTCCGAAGTACTTGGATGATCATCGTACCGGCGTGCGGTCGTGCAATCAGTACCGCGTGGTGCAGTTTAAAGACCCGCGGATGCAGGCTAGCGGTTTGTGCTGCACTGCATGACTAAATTTCTCATCTACAGCTGGAAGACAAGTCGCCCGTTGAGGCAGACTAAGTTGTAGGCTGTGTAAATATACACACAACCCAATTTCTTTTTTCTCCCGAAGTACTTTGTTGGAGAGTTTGCGGAGAAAATTTGAAATAGATCTTGCTTAACTACCCACATACCAAGCAGCATGCTTGGTACGTGGGTAGTTCCACGAGCAGCACGTGCTGGTGTTTGCAGCAGTAACTGCCCAAAACAAATGGCATCTTTCACGCGCGTTCAGTAACGCCTTATTCCGGTTATTTAATTTACTTCGAATCTTTTATACAGGAAAGGCGAGCTCGTGCGGCGCGTAGACCTACATTTTCAGCATTCTCCTTGATGCTTTAGCAATATATATATTCAGCAAATAATGACCGTGCTCCATAATTTGCTCAATCTCACTCTAGGGTAAAGGTTCTGTTCCTTGGCGTTCGAAAACCTACCCGCGTCCAGCGCGAGTAAGATTTGGAACAGAGCCATGGTATATTACCCAACACAAGCACCGAGGAAATTATTCGAAACGAACGTAGGTACACTCGCTACACGCGCGCGCTTTTCCTCTATGAAACATTCGAGTAAAATTGTTAAAATAAGGCGTTCAGGAACGCACGTGCAAAATATAATTTGTTTTAGGTGTTTGCCTTAGAAGAGCTACTCTCACAGGCTCTAGCACGTGCAGAGCTTTTATTAACATTCACTCACGCCGTGCTACGTGACGCTTGGGTAATTAAGCAAAAGGCCTATTCTTTATAAATGATTTCTCCGTCTGTTTATCGACGTGCTAAAAGTGAATACAGGGAAGAAATGGCGTCTAAATTATTTTCTCAAGCAGGCTTTACTTCTTTGGTTTGTTTCGTGTGCGTTGCACAAACAAGTTGCGCAGCCCAAAAGGCTGCGAGCTGCAGTATGCACACGTCTTTCGCAATAACATGAGGTTTGTCGAAATATTTTGTTACTGTTTCTGCTTGGGCTTAGCCGAGAAAGCTGTTAATAATGGACCTTTTCCGAGAAGCGTTCTGCGCACGCGCGAGCGCCCGATGCCAAGCGGCGGAAGTCGGAACGAAAAATCGAGGAAATTCGGAAGGAGGCTGTATATCAGCGAGTAGAACACGTAACTGCAGCATATATATAATTGCGTTACACAAAAAAAGAACGTCGGCGGAAAGGAAAAAACGACGTTTGGGTGGACGCTACGGATGCCCCTCTTTAAAGGGATACTACAACGCAATTTCGGCGCTCATTTTTTTGGTCTATATCTGTTCGAAGGAGCAGTATCACATCGAACATACCAATATCTTGTTAAAAAAAGTCACGAAAAGGAATTTTAAAACGATTTAAACGATTAGCAAAGAGCACCTGGTGGATGTCGCTAACGCCTCGCTTGTAATGCCCGTCTAGGAACCTTGACAGCTAGTGACGGTAAAGCGCGATCCAAACCAACGCTTCTTTTTGCGCCTGTAGGTCGTGCGACTGCGGATGTGACGTATTTTCGTGACGTCGCGCCGCTTCTTCGCTCCTTCCGGGCGCGCATAAAAAAGTTGGTTGATTTCAACTTCTTTCTCGACGCGCACAAAAACGCGCGGTGACGTAGTAGGACGCTCCTGTCACCTGTGTGCCGGCCAATCGGTGGAGGGCAAGCTAGTTCCGGCTCCGCGTTTCTCGCCGTCTGGCTGCCCTCTCCTCCCCCCCCCCCCCCCCCCCTTTTATTCTCTTCCAACATGACAACGCGATCTCTCTCTCTCTCTCTTTCTCTCGCCGTCTGGCCGGCCAGTCTGTCGCAGTTGCACTTTGCAACTGCGAGAGGGGAAGGAGGAACTCCCCTCTTCCCGAGAATGCCTTTTGTGTGTCGCAGAACTCGCTATTGTCCCCGTACAAGATTACAGAAGATTAACCCGTCACTCAAAATTCGTACAAAAGCAGCCGCCTCGGTGGCTGGAACGACTAGGCCATCCCCTCGACGTCAGCCTCGCCGTAGCTTTGCTCGTCTTGAGACGACCTACGTCACGACTGCGTTGGATGTCACGTGGTCTCCGCTGGGCCTTCTCCGAGCGCTTGCCAGAGTGGGCCGTTTATAACGAAAAATAGAGCCACCAGGCTCAAAATACAAACGTGCGATTGTGATTTACGGATATTGTGGATCATATTCAACCTATTTTTGAACACGACGGGAATATTTCAAATATTGTTGAAGTATCCCTTTAAAGTCGCGTTGGGCAGGCGCCGCCGCTCAGAGAGCGAAGAAACTGGTAGCGTAGCTCCCATTATCGATTGGTAGCGCAGGTCACTTCCTCGATTTTTAGTTCGTGCAG